TCTTAAGAACGGGTACGCCGACGCGATCTGGATCGCTCTGGCAATCACGCATGGGCAAATGCGTATCAACCAGTCGGTCCTCGACGTAGCCCGCGAGTTAGGGCTAGCCGATCCTCCATCCTGGCTACTACACCCCTTCTATCGCGATTTCAACCTACTCCAAAGCCCTTTTGTTAGCCGCGAAGCCGCTTGCAACACGATCGCTCGGGCCCAACGTTGCGGGCTTGACGCAATCACTTGGACCGCGAATTTCGTCCGAGTTAGCTGCAACAATCCCCACGTCTTCCAGCGCATCCAACATGGAGAACGCGGCCTGATCGAGTACTACCGATCGATTTGTTGGCCGGAATGGGCCGCTGAAGGAAACCCCGTTCGCGCACTCGTCCTTCATCCCACTCTGGCGAGAGGTAACGAGGCGCAGTACCGTCCTACCTCACCGTACTTTGGAATCGCGCCGCGCGATCAAGCTTCGACTGCGCGCACGATCGATCCCTGCCAGCCGGCTAGACGCATCACGGAGCCGACCGAGGTCGAACTCAGCACCTTCAAGCGAGACATGCTAGGACGCTCGGTTGCTCCGATCGATCGACTCGAGACGATCGAGGAGGAAGTCGAGTTTGCAGAGGTTGGAGTCATGACCGACCCGGTCGCGGAAGAAGAAGACTTCGACGAATTAATGGCCGACGAAGATGATGCGATGTAGGTTGTGACGGTCTTGAAGTCTTGAGGGGGGTATTGCGGAGATAAGATTCGATCTCCATGTACGAATATTCAGGGAGTTGATGACAGTTTCGCTTAAAAAATTGCAAACGATCGGACGAGTACTTGGTGCATCAAGAAAACTACCGACAGCAATTACAAAGCGGATCAAGACTAGCTATCTACTCTAACAAAGACTTCTCGACCGACTACAATGCGCGATCTTTTCCTTTTCCACTAGCCTTCTTACCCGTTGAAGAACCTGAAGCTGTACATTCAGTCAGTCAAGCCACAGAACAAGTCAAGTACAAGCAAACTCACCGAGTTGACCTTGGAGCAATCGATTCTGGGACTCCAATGAGGTTGCGTGAGCTTGAAGCGACGCGTAAGCAGACCGCTGCTGCTCCAGTTCAAGTTGGAGAGCAGCGATCAGACCGGCTTGATCGGTCAAGGTACGACCTTGAGAGTCGATGACACGCTGCATGTGGCCTAGCGCGGAGGAAGGTCCTGGTCCTGCCTCAATCGGCCGAGGAGCGGAGGACAGAGGCGACGGAAAGCTTGAAACCTCTGTCGACGGAGGACCGAGGTTTGAAGACAGGCCGGTTAACCCAACCAGGGGAGAGGAATGGGCCAGGGCGCTAGGAAGCTCGATTTCTGGCGAGAACCTAGGCCCCTTACGACTTGGCTGCTAAGAAAGTAAAGAAAGGTCAAATAAGAAAGAAGTTGACTAAATTTTACTTACCTCGTCGTCCTCGACCTCTTCCTCTTCATCTTCGTTGTCATCTTCATCCTCGGACCCCTGGTCTTCGTCGTCGATCTCGTCCTTCTCACTCTCGGAATCAGAGTCGAGTACTTCAGGCGACTCCGAGTCATCGGAGCCGGACTTCATGTCCACGTCCGCGTCCAAAGACGATCGACCATCCGGATCGACTTCATCTTCTATCCCGTCCCACTCCTCGAAGTCGTTATCTTCAGCCATCCCGACTTCAGGAGAAGCCGATCTAGCCTGAATTCTCTTCGCCTTGGACTAAAGGAAGATCATCATCTGGATTTAAGGATAGAATCAGCGGTACTCACCGGCTTGTCTTGGACGAAGCTACATCCAACGCGCTTTCGATTGCACTCAGCGCAAGCCGTCAAGCCGTCCTTGACGTAGCACGCGATGGTAGTTTTCCCGCGGCTCTTAAGGCACTTCGCACAGCGAAGCTCGGCCTTGAACTACAAACGCGATTCAGTAAATCTTAAAGTCAGTTTGGGACGACTTACTAGTATCCCATCGCTAAGATACTCTGGGTTCAGTTCGGGATCGACTCCGTTCCGAGGCAGAACCTTGGCCTCTTCAATCCCCAGCTTCGTCAGTTTCTTCTCATCGGTCTCCGATCGTTTTGCAGCCGTCGACTTAGACTGAGAAGGAGACATGGACCGACTAGGAGTAAGTGAACCGGTAGTGTTTTGATCCTCGGCTAAGAAGAAGAGGTCAGGGATCGAGAACGGTACAGTTACAAGACTTACTGAAGAGGCGAGAGTCGGCTAAGAAGAGACTGAGCGATGAAGGCAGGAGAGCAAGAAGAGGATGAAGACTTACCAAGCCATTGGTTCACGAAGGACCGCGCCGCGGCATCTATCGCGATCGGATCTTCGTCGCGGAGCGGTATCTCCCATTGGTCAATGGGATGACCATGCCGCGCCATGTAGATCTTGAGAGATCCGGGCCATCCAAGTTGATCATCGGGGTGATCGTGCCACTGATAATCCCAGACGTCATGGAGAATCGGAGGAAGAGGATCGTGCAAGTCCCAGTTAAGAGATTCCAACCAATCGTCCGTCTGAAAGGGAAGATCTAGTAGCTTGATCGACTCAATCGACCGATCACTTACGAAGATGTGGATAATTAAGATCCGTTCAATGGCTCGCCAGTTCCATGGGCCGAAGATGACATATCGAACCGTTTCTTGAAGGCGATAGAGTCGAGCACCGGTCCAATAATCGGGTGGAGGATCATTGAATAAGACTCTGGAAACTCGTTTGTTGTGTCTCTTGCCGACCGAGCGCATATAGTCGACGAATCGATCGTAATCCAAGGGACCGACCATTGTTCAAACCAAGACAAGCTTCGTGATCGTAGACAAGGGGAGGTATGTTAGGAATATCTAATCGAAGTGTCTAAGTCACGAAGTCTGTCAAGTGGCTAGCGCCGACACGTGACTAACGGCACGAATCTTCCTGTTTAGGAAAAGTCAATACTTGCCTACTTAAGACTTAAGTCAAGTGACTAAGGAAGATCGTGCCGGACCTCCGATCGACTTGACTAGACTCACCTGTCGTGACCGAACCAAGGCCGATCGATTCGGCTTTTGAACAATGAATACGCGGGCAGTCGACCGAGGATCTCAATAGGGCTATTGTTCACGTATGGAATATTCTAGGACACTTTGTAGATATATAAACGCTGTTGTAGAGTATAGACGAATAACACTCTCTTGAACTTCAATCTATCGGTGTGAGCCACTCGATCGTCCATAGCTCCGCGCTGGACATACTAAGGTCGATCGTACTTATAGCCGTGCGCTAAGTCGATCTACCTTGACCCCTTCATTAGTATAGCCTCGCGCTACTCTGAAGGGTTCGGTAAGAGTAAGCTTCATCGATCTACGGTTAGAGTCGGGTTCGTGTTTAGTGGCATCCTCAACTATTGTTGTAACGCTCTATTCACTAAAGTCGTAACCGACTTACTTTGCTCAACCAAGTTTCTTAGCTTCATTAAGAACGTAGGCACTACTGTGCCACTCCGGACTTAGTGCGTGAACTTGTTGAGCGAAATCGATTCTCGATCGACTAAACCTCATAAGTCGATCACTCAAATCGTTGTGTTAATCCTCTTCACAACGAGATAATCCTCAATTCATTTCTTAACTAAGGCGACTACGATTACGTAACTACCGACGGTTGTTACTAAGTAAGTACTCGGTAAGTTAGCAATCCCAGTCCATAACAAGAGCATTCAGTGCGCACCTGAAGCTCCGTTGTACAGTATATATGACTGCTTGTTTGACGGCGGATTCAAGGTAAACATCGTACTCAGCCGTTGTGTTCTTCAGGCTGCGCAGCGTTTTCACTGCTGCTAGTTCTACTGCACTTTGTCTGCCGGCTATGCTCTTCGGCTCAAGGTACCTAACATGTCTTCTATACTGCTACACTAAAAAAAGGACCCTACTAGGCTGGTGCAGCCTCTAGGGCCTTCATTCTTGTCGAAACAACTCAGTAATAATTTGCGCTGACCGTTATTCCTCACCTCATTGGCCAGGCGATGATACCCTCTGGCGCCTTCATCTTCCTAATCAGGTACTCCTCCCAGGCGCCTCGTGCTTGGTCAGAACCATAAGCACAGCCTTGCCACGTCGGAGCAAGCGCTCTGTTCTCAGTCTTATACATGACTCGGCTTCCTTCGATGGCTTGTTCTGCCCTTGCTCGTTCGTCCTTCAAAGTCCCTGCTCTCTTGTCCTTCGAAATCGGCACGCGCACGAACGCAAGCATCTCAACGAGAGCTATCATGGTGCAGGTAACGCAAGTTCGTAGTATTGTCTCATCCTTATGTACTGACACCCCGGCGGCCACGGAAGACATCCATGCAATATCCAATCATCACAGTTGCACGAGCAACCCGTCTATCAAGATCGCCCAAGGTATGTTGGTAAAGGGTCAATTCGTCTCTGACACTCACACGTGGTCGCAACAGAAGTCGTCTTCCATCCCAGTGGGGGTCGCTCTACTCGTATCTATCAGGCGCGGTTCAGGCGCGGTACTCGCTCGCTCAGCTTTGTCTCGAGGATAGGTGTTTGAAACGGCAGACTCCCAGCTGAGTCAGTTTGAGCATGATCGCCGGTAGTACGACACTTGCGATATCCGTCACAACATCACATTTTAGGGGGAAGAACACGTCATCATCACCGTCGTAGTAGATCACAAACCAATTACCCCAAAGCTCGCTTATCATCCCTATCTTGCGTCTGAGACGATGAACATGGCGAGTCGGAGGGCGACGCGGGCTCCGGGCGCTGAAGTACGTGCGGCTGCGCTTACAACGTACACGAGAATGACCCCAGTTTGTGAGTTGGTCCGCTACAGTGTGGCCCATCGTGACTGACCTCGGGTACGTGGAGGCAGGAAATTTGCCACCATTTTTCAGACTTACACCATTGCGATTGTGTAGCGCGTGCCGTCTAGGGTGATATGCGAGTCTGGATGTGCCGTTTGTCTTCCTGCCGAACTGATTACCTCAATCTAGATGACGAGGAAGGCAACGTTCATGTGCACATCAGAAGATGCTCCGAAACAAGTTAGTGCATGGTACTAGCTCGTCCCCCATTTTTCCTTGACTTGGCGCTGAATTTGTCGTCCTTCTCGCAGTCCGGAATTGTTCTATTGGAGTCTGATTCACAGCCACACGCCACTAGCGAACGGTGAGCAGATCCTCCGTAGATTGTTTGGTCTCTGGATCTCATCATGACCGCGGCGCACCACGAGTCGTGTCGCGCAAATTAGCAGCGGCGCACTGCGAGTTGTGCCGCACATTTCACATTGTAATTTAGTAATGATACAAACTATACAGACTCCTGTATTCGCAGTGATGTGTTCAATACCGGCCGTCTAAGGGCTTACCGCAATTCTACCTCTTGTCCCAATGTCTGGGATTGCGAAGAAACGAAGAAGGGCACAAGCTGGTGTTCACTTCTACGACGACGACGACGACCGTGGCTCTAATCATGCACGGGCTAAGACGCGCCATCAGCACACCTCCTTCGTTGCTCGAGCGGGGGCAATCTCAACGCAAACATCTTACATCACGGCCACGGAGCGAAGTAGCGAACCAGTGCAGGACAACGTACCCGGGCCATCGACAGCCGACGAAGAGGGTGGACTCCTCAATCCGAGACTGAATGCCCTAGACGAGGAGTCGTTTGAGCTGCTAGAGCCGGAGCTCTTCATCGACATTGGAGAGTACCTCGAAGAGACTAAGAGGCGGAAACGCACCGCAGGGGTGAGTCCATGCCGTGCTCATATTGACGTTTGCTCATGAGATTGAACAAGGACCATCCACTCAAAGAGTGGACGAACCATATCGACGAGTGGTTAGCCGAACTCATTCGGCTTGAGGGTCGTGGAAGCTTCGCAAGCGAGACTTGCGCGGGATGCCTGAGCACGGAAACACTGTACCGTTGTGAAGACTGCTGCGACCTCCAGCTCTTCTGTCGGGATTGTACTGTTTCGCGTCATCAGTGCAACCCATTTCATCGCGTTGAGGTACGGTCATTGTTTGAAGTCGAGGTCTTTGTATGTGCTGACAATCTCGTGCCGGCACTTAGGGATGGGCCAACCGACGGTTTCAGAAGACGACACTGAAGGCCCTAGGATTGCGAATTCAACTCGGCCATGCCGTCGGGGAGCGCTGCGCAAATCCTTGGAGGGCGTTTGGTGACGACTTCACCGTCCTCGACATCGGCGGCATCCATGAAGTCGCCCTTGACTACTGCAGCTGCGAACATGCTGAAGCAAAGCACATTCAGCTGCTGCGTTTCCGGCTCTTCCCAGCCACCGGTGTCGACCCGAAGACGGCGTGCACGTTCAAGCTGATGGAGCTTTTTCATCTCCTGCGAAACCAAACAAAGGTCTCCGGCTTTGAGTTCTACAACTCGTTGGCTAGACTGACAGATAACACGGGAACGGTGGACGTCAAGGTGCACACGCCATTTGTCATGACATATGTATGCTTACTCATAGGGTTGCAGAGCCGATATACGAGTTTCATGCGTATGGCGCGGATGTGGATGCATCTGAAGATGCTGAAACGCTTCGGTCGCGGTCATGACCCGAAGGGTGTGAACGCGACAGCGTGTGGATCCTGTGCGGTACTATGTCCCGCTTGTCCGCATCCCGGTATAAACCTCCCAGAGAACTGGAAGGATGCACCTCCGGAGAAGAGGTACGTCGATGTGCACGGCGACGTAACCAAACTTTGAGAGCTAAACATACTGCAGCTGGCTCTACCGGCTGTTCCTAGGGATTGATGCTAACTTTCGTCTCAAGCGAAAGGAGGTCTCTACCGACGTCGCAGACCCAGGCTTGAACCATGGTTATGCCTACTTCGTTGAGGAGAAAGCTTACAAGTCTCACTTACAGATACATGGGAAGGTCGAGCAGAAGGACGTGAACACGTGCAACAATCACGACGCCGTCAAGCTAGCCAACATGAGAGGAATCCAAGGGATTGCGGCGAGTGGGGTTGGGACTGTCGAGTGTGTACGACATGATATGAAGCGTCCCTGTTCTGTTGGAGATCTGCAGAAGGGCGAGCGGTGCGTTCTCCTTACATACTGCAGACAATGAGTTGATTGACGTGCTCAGTTATGTGAATATGGATTACTTATTCGCGAGTAGCGTGCGGCAGCAAGGCGACAAGATGGCTCTTGTTGTGTCATACGACATCGCCTGCCAATGGAGCGTGAACCTGTGGGAACGCATGCTGCAATACGATCCTGAGTGGGACTTCGATCGACAAACCATCACATTCCTCATTCCCAAGTTCCACCTCCCGGCGCATCAAGCGTCTTGTCAAACTCAGTATTCGTATAACTACAGGAAGCACGTGGGCCGTACGGATGGTGAGGCTGTTGAACGGGGCTGGGCTGCCGTAAACGGCTTCTCCGGGAGCACAAAAGAAATGGGCCCCGGATATCGCCGTGATGTCCTCGACGACGCATTTGGGGATTACAACTGGCGTAAGGTCACTCAATTGGGTACGTTTTTGACGCTTGATCAGCATATGTAACTGCTGATGTTAATACAGGCAAGACACTTCTCGAAAAGGTCAAGAATGCTGTCGATGAGCGCAGCACGCACGTCCTGCAGTTCGAGGAGATCTGCAAAAACACAGATCCCGTGCGCGTAGCTGAATGGACGCAGCTCGTCGAAGCTTGGGAGAATGGTGCGGAGTATGACCCCTTGGCCGTTCATCGCCATCGTAAGTCGTGTCTTCTGAGCGTCGTGAGGCAAAGTCTTATGCTTGGCACTTTCTTATCAGCTGTCACAGTGGCCTCGGTCCGGCGCGCCCTTGCAGAGGAGGACGCGGCTGCGCAAGCCGATGACCGGAGTACCACCATGCTGCACGAGGACGTCTCTCCCAGTGTGCTCATCATTGCAGGGCTGGAAATCGAGGAGCTGCAGTGAGTCCCCTCGCTGTATTACAGTGTCTGACTACTGCTGATACCTACATCGTGTCTCCGACCTCTCAGGCGTCGTCTTCGGAAAGACGCTTTGAACCTTAGTTCAACCGCGACTGACTTACAACAGGCTGCGATCATTCGGCGCCGGAGTAGCTTGCAGCTTCGCATCGATGCGTGGCGCGAGTTTCAAGTGCTCTACATGCCAGCGGTGGCCCTCTTGCGGTCAAAAGAGGCATCCAAGTCGAGCAAACCAGTCAATGCAGAAGATACACCTCTGTACCTACCCTCCGATATCATCAATACTGACACCGCCGCGCGAAATGCTAACCTTGAAAGTATCGAGCTGCGACTGCGGTATGCGCAGGCCAATGACGCACTCGAGCAAATGCGGAGGCATCTCCGCGCTAGAAGCAAGCTCTACAACGTCAAGGACCGCGATGTACGCGGCCAGCGGTACAACACCCGTTCACGAACGTACATCAATACTGTACAAGACAAGATCGACGCTGACGCTGCCCGATACCGTGCGGCGCATACGGCGCTCCTCGTTCTCGATCCCAAGGACACTCTCGCGTGGATGAAGGTTCTGCGGTACCTCGGACCTGAGGATGTCCGCGGGATGAAGGAGCGCCTTGAGAAGGAGTCGGAGGGGAAGCGTGTTCTACCGTGGATATGGCGGACGACTGGGTTCTGCGGGGGAGATGACGAGGACGAGGATGATCTCGAGGGTGTGTATTGGACTGTCATACTCGAATGCAAGGCACTCATCCTTTCTTTCAAAGCTGTCCGGATAGAGTGGTGTCAAGCTCGCGCACGAGCCCATCGATTCAACGAAGAATGCGACCTTCTCGAGGAGGAGATGCGGCGCGTTGTCGATTTTTGGAACTGGCAAGCATGGTGGTGGTTGCATAAGGCAGACGAGGCCGTTTGGGATGCGAGTACATCTCCTGTCGGCTGCTCTCCGCAACATGCAGAAGGCCGGCTTGCTTACGCCCGACGTCAGGCTGACATTAGGTTGGCCATGATGACGAAAGTCGCCAAAAACTGGCAGTGTGTACCTGAGTGTCTCGACTCAGGTGCTAAGTTGTAGCCCGCTACGTCATATTCAATGTAATTGTTATTAGTAGCAGTGCTCTATGGAGTCCATACTTCGACATAGGTCTACAGATATCTGAGTCCTGCTAGTAGTAAACTTTCGCCACTACCCAAGTCTGAAAACCGTGGGGGAGGCCGGCGTAAGCAACAAAAAGACCTACAGTATGTCACAATAGCATATTGAGACAGTATTGAAGCGTCCGAATGTGTTTTGAAACTGGTATAGGACATGTCGGGGCTCTGCTGGTCGAACGTGCCCTAGGCGCCCGCGGTCGGACAAGGTGTGTGTCCTCCCAAGGGCAAACCGGGGTGTAACCGCACCGTTCAACTTGCAGTTTGCTCGTTTACAGCCTAGGAACACGTTTATACATACCAGTTTCTTTCTATCTTGTTGCCCCGTGCTCGAGGTTCCAGGGTTACATGTCACTCGCGTCACTTGTGTCACTTGGAGTGACACGTGTGGCGACCCCGAAGCATGTCCGAGTCATTGTTATATATTAGTGCTTGGACTGCGTGGCTGTAATAGATACGAACTGCGTTGCCATCGTGTTTGCTGTTATACATCATGTATGTACCCTTACTGTTATACATTGCACTACCACTGACTACCATAGCGCTTCCACGGCTGCCTGTGATATTCAAAGTTTGATGTGATATGGTACATACAAATGAACAGTGCGCGGCGACATTTACTACAAATCCTGTATGTGTAGCAGGTAAACGCAATCGACATACTACCTTATCACCATTTCCAACACAAAAAGCAGCTGGAGAATGCTGGGAGAAGGCTGCAGACGGCTCGGCGGTCGGGGAGCGCTGAACCGGGAAGCCGCCGATCGCGGGTGGTGCTAACTTAGTCGTTGGAACGTGCGAGTGGCAAAGTAATTAGCAGGGCCCGTCATGTATGAGAGACGTACGAGTACCTTAGTGACCGGCTGTGATGTATCAGCGTTTGCTAACGAGTCAAGGATCGGAGTCAGTACTCACACACTGACATCGCAGCAAACGATCTGCTTTCCCATCCCCTGAACTCAGGATCCATTAGCGGTAGCGGACAGCGGTCGACCTGCAGTACGATGGTGGAATTATAGAGACTGAGCTATTGTGCGCCAGAGCCAGGCGGCGAGCTGTCGATTGGGAAAGCAGGGCGGCGACTCGGACCGTCGATCGGGCAAGCACCAATACCCGGCGATACAGTAGAAGCCCGAGGCTGTTATGTATGAGAGCAGGTCTGCAATGTATCAAGCGCTGAACGTACCAGAGCCGGAGACCGCCGCGACGCGCAAGAAATGGGTCCGAGCCGAGCCGTCGAGACTCCCGGAGGCGGTGAACTGTGATACTATAGTTTGTGATATATGAGAGGGTGGACTGTCGGGCGTTGATGAGAGTATGAGAGCGTCTGGCCAGATGCAGCGACGTCACGGTAAGTGATGTATGAGAGACCGCGGCGATCATATCAGTAACATCCCAGACAGTAATGTATGAGAGAGGGACCTACAAGGTGAGGATGAGAGCGACTGGCCAGATGCGGCGACGTTACTGTCATATTAGAAACCGCGGCGCGAGCGATCGAGTGGCATCGAGAGCTGCTGCCTAGATCTTATCAGTAACATCCCAGACGGTAATGTATGACAGAGGGACCTACAAGCGACTAGCCGGGTGCGGTGCAGCCTGAACGTTGCGGCTTCAATGTAGATGCAGTAGATAATGTATTAGAGTAGGAGTGTTTCGGTGTCGACTCGGAGACGTTGTGGTCAGTGATGTATGATAGAAGGCCGTATAGATCGTGCAAAGATCGTGCGTGTCGGCGACGCTCGGTCGGTGATGTATTAGAAGCTGCAGCGGGAGCGATCGACTTGTGGCATCTGGCCAGACCATATCAGATCTCAGTCGGCAATGTATGAGAGAGGGCCCGGGACCTACAAGTGACGAGCCGGGTGGGGTAACGGTTGGTAATGTATGAGAAAGGGCCCGGCGGGACCTACAATTGACGAGCCTAGCCGGGTGGAGTAACGTCGCGCTTGCAGTAGGTAATGTATCAGAGTGGGAGCTGTCGCGCTCGCAGTAGGTAATGTATCAGAGTGGGAGCTGTCGGCAAGACGCAGGGGGACGCGCGCCAACGAAAGCCGGATTAGGTGGGCCTGTAATGCATTGAGCGTCGGTGAGTGCCCAATTTGGCAGCTGGTTGTAATGCATGAGGGATGGCTCTGCAATGTATCACGGGGACCACTCGATAGGCCTGTACTGTACGACAGGCGTGCATGTATCACGGCTGTACTCTAATGACAAGGGTGTATGTATCACTCTGCCAGCTCCAGGTGACACAACTGGATTCTACTCACTTGTTATGCTGTAAGCACCATGCACTAGAGCTCAACAAGGCAAATCAAATGGCGTTCAAATTGAGGCAATAGGATAAGAATTGAGTGATACTCTGCAAGTGATCAGTAGCGTGCAATGTGCAATGATTTCTATTTTTGGTGCCACAACACAATATATGCAAACAGCAACAATACAGTACAGGACAGTACAGGACAGGACAGGACGGTACAGGACAGGACAGGACGGTACAGGACAGGACAGGAAGGTACAGGACAGGACAGGACAGGACAGGACAGGATGTACCAGCAGCCACAGGATCTGGAGAGATCCTGTAGAATCCTGTAGAATCCTGTAAGATCTGGGACGTGCCTGTGAGCCATTGAAGAGCTGTGGAGCATTTTTGTCCAGTATTCACATATGGGATTTCACCATAAATGAACAGACAGGACAGGAATTAACATGAGGGGACAGTAAGGGACAGGACATACCGGGTCGGGACAGTACCAGACGGTACAGGATTCGAAGTGTTCCTACAGGATCGTACCAGATTGTACCGGATCGTACCGGATCAGGCAAGCTCCTGGACAATCCTATCTTATCTGTCCAGTTTCCGTGATCTCCTGAGCAAACCGGAGTGAGCTCCAGAGATCCGGTAGGATCCGGTAAGATCTTTTGAGTTCTGATATGATCCGACAAGATATGCCTCAGTAGGTCGATTTTTGTCCCATACGGGCCTTCATATGGGTGATTCTCCGGGGTGTTTGCGTTGCCTGAATTAGTCGCAATCATGAACAAAGCCGGGCGGAACGCGTCTCCTCGGCACTAGACATTTCGGAAGACCCAGGCCCGACATCCGCCGTACTAACGCACTGGCAGGCATAGCTACTACTAAGTACGTACCTCTCAGTCTTCCGGGTTCACAAAGGTTTCGATTATCCTCCGTCCCTACTAGCCAGGACAACATTCACATAGTGCTCGAGCTCGGGACCACCTCAGCGTCATGAGCGCCACTAGCAGTCCGCACAGGGGGCGGGCGAACTTGAAGCCTCTGCCATGGGAGATTAGACTCGCGTTGTTCCTCGTGAGTACTACGGCCCTGCTGCGCTATTTCTGCGGGCTCTGATGGATGAGTAGTCAGAGCACTTCAACAGAATACATCTTGAGGTGGCGGGCGTCGCTGCAGGCGCGACCCTTACCGCGGTCCTTGCATTCAGTCCTCTGTATCGGAGGTGGAACACTGCGCTCACACGCCACGATGTGCTCCGCAAGGCATTTGTATGAAGGCCCGTATGGGACAAAAATCGACCTACTGAGGCATATCTTGTCGGATCATATCAGAACTCAAAAGATCTTACCGGATCCTACCGGATCTCTGGAGCTCACTCCGGTTTGCTCAGGAGATCACGGAAACTGGACAGATAAGATAGGATTGTCCAGGAGCTTGCCTGATCCGGTACGATCCGGTACAATCTGGTACGATCCTGTAGGAACACTTCGAATCCTGTACCGTCTGGTACTGTCCCGACCCGGTATGTCCTGTCCCTTACTGTCCCCTCATGTTAATTCCTGTCCTGTCTGTTCATTTATGGTGAAATCCCATATGTGAATACTGGACAAAAATGCTCCACAGCTCTTCAATGGCTCACAGGCACGTCCCAGATCTTACAGGATTCTACAGGATTCTACAGGATCTCTCCAGATCCTGTGGCTGCTGGTACATCCTGTCCTGTCCTGTCCTGTCCTGTCCTGTACCTTCCTGTCCTGTCCTGTACCGTCCTGTCCTGTCCTGTACCGTCCTGTCCTGTCCTGTACTGTCCTGTACTGTATTGTTGCTGTTTGCATATATTGTGTTGTGGCACCAAAAATAGAAATCATTGCACATTGCACGCTACTGATCACTTGCAGAGTATCACTCAATTCTTATCCTATTGCCTCAATTTGAACGCCATTTGATTTGCCTTGTTGAGCTCTAGTGCATGGTGCTTACAGCATAACAAGTGAGTAGAATCCAGTTGTGTGAACTACAATGACCTCCAGATCAATGGGTTGAGGACTAGCATAGGCTTCTGATAATTCATTAGGCTATTTTCCATGCTCATGAAGTTGCTCAGGGTACATCAGTGATTCTGAAGGCATTGCATCAGCTGGTGGATTGAGTATCTTGGGAATCAATCATCAAACTGTCATGGGTGTAAGTGAGCAGAACAGCACATGTGATAAAGTAGATGAGATTGGCATGTTCAAGTGGCAAGCCTACTCATAGGCAAGGTTTAGCCTAAGTCTGAGTATTATTGAATTTAGACAACTGCTGGAACATCATGTTACTCAGTGATGCTACATGTTGACATTTGTGGCATTGCATTCAACTAGAATCAGCAAATAAACCATCATTCACTTTTATCAGGATTATACTACTGATTGACATGAGAAGAATAACACTAACAGAATGTACTAACATTCACAGCAATGAAGACAATTCAACATGGAGTTCAAGATGGACAGTATGGAGAGCAGTAGTGAGGCAATTTAAGGTCTCATTTAAATTTGTACATGGTCAGTAGACCCTCACACTGGACTATGGTCATTTCTGTTTTGATTCAACTTCAAGGAACAACAAATGAGTGATATCACGAGAAAGCTTGTTCAATTCAGTAAGACAAATATGTCATTTTTCTTTACATGTATAACTTTGGTGGGAAATGAGTTGACAAACTCCTTTGTACTGATTGATTTTTGTGTGCCTTGCCAATGCTCACTTCAACAGAATGAGTACAAGATGCTCTGCTCTATATCTAGCTGCTGGCAACCCCCAGCATGGTAAGATCTGGAGCAATAGAGCTGAACGTATCATACTTTGTATCAAATAACAATGTACTATTATACTACCTATAACACATGTTTAAAGCAGTGAGCCGCTGTGAGTGGAGCAAGCAGTAAAACAGAATCAATGATATAGTCAGCCCAGGTTTGTCTTCTCATTGGGGTGGGAAGGCAAACACACGATCTGAAGGTTACATACATGTGCCCACAGTAGATAAAGGTAGTATCATTGATGGGCAAGGTACATAAAGGACAGTGTTAGGTACAGTCACTAGTACAGTAACATTGCATGGGTACAGTAGCATTGTGCTGCAGTGCAACATCAGTGATTGTGTACAGACTCTGAAGTAATGTAAGCCTGGTATCTGCACACTGGGAAATCACTCAAAGAACAGAACAGGAACTGGAGTTCTTCAGAGTCTTCACAACAGTAAGACTTCTGCCTGAAGTATAGCAATGTTGCAAGGAATGAGCGAGCATACCTTCCTTGCACAACAGTAAGACCAAAGAGCAACAAAGGCAGAAATGAACCAAGATGTAGGTAACACTTACATCATGTATCACAAGAGCAGTGATTGTGTGACAATGTGAAGTCAGCAATTGTGTGCATAATGCAAGTAAGTTGTATAATGATCAGGGTATAATAATATAGTAACCAAACAGGGATTCAGTTACAAGCAAGCAAAGTGAACACAGTATACTAACCAAAAGTGTGAGTACACAACAAGTCAATATTTACTGACCATCTGGGAAAGCAATAGTTCTAGTTGATACTCTCATACTCACCTATATTGCTGAAGGTCAGCAATATAGTACTGAGTGATGTGCAAAGAACCACATTGACAGAGATGTACTAGCACTTGCAGCAATGAAGATGACACTGTCTTTGACTCAAAGGTTGAGATGGGTAGCATGGAGGGCACTGAGGTAGTGAATTGAGGGCTCATTTATTGATTCTTGGAGTCTATGCAATGGACATTGAGAGAACAACAAAGGAGTAAGATCAAAAGGATTCAGGACAAACAAGAGACCAGGTTCAATAAGACAAAGAAAGGTCATTGTTCTTTGCATGTTCAGCTTTGGGAAACAATGGTCTGACTGATCAATATAACTCTGATTATCTCTCTGTAGCACACACTGAGGCTCTGACTGTCCGATTAAACAGTCAATCCAAGATACTTACCAAGAGAATTAGTACACAAAAAGTCAAGTCATATTATCTAACTGGGTTAGCAATAGGTTGCTAGCTAAGAATACTTCATCAATACAAGAAAACTAGCATACAAGTCATAGTGGAGACTAGTTAAGACAACTAGTCAATACTCTCCTAGTCATACACATTACTGAAGATAGTACACATATATGTAAGCCTTGTCATTAACTACAAGGACAATAGGAAATAGTTTGTCCTTGATCAGGACCAACTAATCTCTAGGTGATTGGTAACCCTTCTCACATATCCAACCAATCATCACCTGTCAGTAACTATACATAGCCCTGACCTAACTACATAAGGACATCCTTGTTTAGGACCAACTAAAGTCTGGGTGTTGGTAAGACTTTGTTACATATACAATCAACTACTGTCTGGTATAGATAGCCATATTCAGGCTGTCCAAGCATTTTAAATCATCTTGAACCTTAGCATGTACTTTGATTCATGATGAGAAATGACTATGGCAGCAGTAGATTGTACTATATACTATACTATACTATATACATACAGGTTTTGTGAATTTGTGTGTTACTTGTATATAGCTGGAGCGTCGCTTACGAAACTTACCGTGGCAGTCCAGCCTTGCCCCTGTTGAACTCATGGTTGGTGAGTTGTTTTCCTGAGGCCTCACGATATTCATAATCGCGAAGGGTTCGGGCCCCGCAGTCTGGGCGGCCGTTTCGAGCTGGTGTGTACGTACCCAGGCTTGCCAGTATTCACGCATCATGACGGCGTGAGTGTTCACACACGTCACAGCTTGACCGTGTGAGTTTGCAGGTCCTCAGGGAACATTGGCGTGAGCCCGTTGCTTGTGTGGAGCATCGCCGGAGGCTCACCCGTCTTCGCATCCAGTGCAGGTATGGGTACGGCAATCTTTGTTTGTCGTGTCAGCTGTGGCGGGGCAGCTGCGAAGTGCACGGAGGGGTCGCATCTCTTCGCAGACCTTGAGATGTACATCGCGGAGAGATTGACGTGTCGGAAGACGTGGGAGGAGGAACGTTGCACGTTGAAGGTCGGCGCAAGACAACTCGGAGTGCAGATTGCGGGCGGTGTTGGTAGAGGGTGCGCAACTGGCGCGCGAAGGGAGGGCTGACGATGGTGGTGGGAGCAGCAGGCTGGCGGCGGCGTGCAGTGGGCGGCGGCGGTACGTCAGCGGATCCCTCGCATGCTGACGGGCCCGCGTTGCACATGCCTGAGGTGGCGGACGAGGCGCGAGGCGGAGGGTGGCCGATGAGGCAGGGAGGGTAATTAGGGTTAATGAGTGCGCCGAAACGGACAGGGAGCGACCACACACCTTGTTTGCGGCACTACTGGCCGTGCTACGCCCCGCTAACCTCCCACCGCTCCAGTGATGCACTTGGCGCATCGCTGGAGCCTGTTGATCACCGTCGGAGGCGCGATGTTTGAACGCGCGGACGCGTTTGCGCGTCGTCTGTGCCACGCCACGGGCCCGTCGCTTGTCGATGCACTCGCAGGGTGTACCAAGGAGCGGTGTGAGTGGCCGCAGGTGCGAGGGAGGCGGTGTCAGGAAGGAGAGAGGGGCCTTACAGGTCGCGCATGCGGCGACGCGCGGCCTGTTCCTTGTTGGCGGGTGTGCGTGTGACGGTGGCCTCGGGATGCTATCGACGTCGCGGGTGGGTGCTAGTAGAGCGGGAAGGAGTGGTGGGCGAGACTGAGACAGCCTAGACAACCTCAACGCGCTTGGGCGCTCACGCGACAGTGGGATTCCCACGGGCCTCCGGATACTCAGGCTCGAACCTATGGCATTACGTAGTACTGTGGTCCACTTGGACAAAAACATTTATTGGACAATATCACTAGGTCATAGTGAATGATTGACCAACTAATCATAACGGTACATGAACGGGACCGAGCGGGACGGGACGGAAGGGGAGCATACAAGAGAGGACGTGGCCGGCAGGATATAACAGGATCCTACGAATTATGACAGGATGGGAGGAGAACTCACAGGCATGTACATTATGGGACAGTATCAGACAGGATGTGAGGGGTCAGGCTCATTCAGGAACAGACAGGATCGTACAGGATAGTACGGAAAGCGGCCAGTAACGATAGGATCGCTCAAGATCGGTCGGGATCTTGCCAGATCCCGACCGATCTTGAGCGATCCCGTACTAGCCCGTACTGTCCTGTATGGTCCTTCCGGATCCGGGCTGGACGCATAAATACGTTACTAGGCCCCTCGATTTTTGTCCGATAAAGCCCTTCATACACCCAGGAGACTGCATGGCGTCGTAATTGATAGCGTTGCGGCCAGGTTGTGGCCGTTCGAATGCCATCCGGTACTTGCTGGCGCTTAGTACGAGGTTCTTCGGAAATTCTGTACTTACAGCGGGGGATGGGCTTGCTGCGCCACGTCCAGATTCATTCGCTCTGTGTTGAGGATTCGACCAAGATTCGACCTGGAGGATGACTCCTTGAAACCATATAATGTCTTTTGCGATATAGCACAATATTGAGATTGACAACCCACTTCGGTCTAGCCACCGAAGATCACGTGTGCAATATGTACCAAACCTATCGACGCCACCACGCTACTGCGGCGGCTACATTCTAATACATACCGACACAGTGAGAATTGCCAGTGGACAGCAGTGGACTCGGAAATGGTGTGCACGCCTTGTTCACGCTCCGCAGAGAAGTATGATCATGAACACGCCAAGCAGCGTCCGGAGGTCCTCTATGTATTTCCCAAAGTAGCCAGCTACTGCCGGACTGTCGCCGACTCACGACGCGTCGCTTCGGCATTGTTGCCGTCAAGCACGACTCATGAGATGGCCACGGCTATATTTCATACATGGTCTTCGGGCTGGAAGGGTGGTCCCCGAGGCTGTCTCCCCCCAATCCTACTAGAAGGCTACAGCTCGAGCGCGTATCTGAGGCCGCGCAGTCATCACCATGGCCAAACCCGGAGCTGAGGCCTCGGTGCAATCATCGTCCAAGGGTAGAATGCTGAGCCTCATCGTGAGCACTTCAGCTATTCTGTTTCTCTGAATGACATACGATGAGTGAACATACTGTAGTGGAAAGATGCGCCTTTCTGGACGGCGAGCATCAGTGCAGGGGCGACCTTCGTTGCCGCCGTTGCGTTCAGTCCCTTGTATCGCAGGTGGAACACGACGCTCACGCGTCGGGATATCCTGCGCAAGGCCGTGACCAGCTCCGCCGGCGCAGGATGTGTCGGATACGCTTTCGGGCACACGTTTCGGTACTCCGTGGATTGGGCACTCGACGAGAACAACGGCACGATCAGCGGAGTGTACGGCACTCTCTTGAAGACCAACAGATCCGAGTTCCTCGCATCCCACCCCGGGAACTCCAACTCCGTTAGACTCATCGACGGCCCCGAGAATGGTTCGCAATGCTCGTTTCAACTACAGTCTTACTGGTGTTGATGCACCGTTTGCAGCGCCATCCCCACCGCTGTCTATATCCGAGAGGATATTGACTGCATGTTATCAATCCACAACGACTTCGAAATCGCTCCAGAGCATGCGACGCTACTTGGAACACGACCTATTAGCAAGCGGGGTTTCCCAACGAGATGCAGATATCGCCATCACGTACGCAGCCAGTGGACTCGATTATGGTCTAGTGTGGGCGCTCGTAAGTCCTTTCCTCGCGCACCCTACTGTCTTTACTGTCAGGATTGACGTTGTTCTAGCCTGCCATCCCTCTCTTCACCGCATTGAGTATGGGACGAGACTCTGGAAGAGCCCATTACCGTTCCGCTCTATATCGAGCACCGTCTGTGCCGCGCGTACTCATGCTGGCCGATTATCTACTCATTGGGATGGCCATCCACGCAGGTTTGACGGTTCTGGAAACCACTTACGTTGATTCCATCCAGAACAAGGCCGCTGTCGCTGCTGTACTACGTCAGAAGTTCCGCAAAGAGCTGAAGAGCTAAAGCCATAGTGCCCTGGTACTCAACCCACCGCTCTCACTTACCTTGTTGTCGACGTGCTGCTATACTGACTGTTGATCGCACTGCTCTCGTGCTTTGTAATATTGCTGATGCTGCCCGTCGAATCCTGAATGAAATACCATCCCACCTCGTGAACCTCAGATACTATGTTTCTGCAGATTCCAGAAGCCATGATACTATACTTGGCCCTCAGTCACGAGTCTGAGGTAGGTACGGAAAGAGTCAGGCTCGGCTGGGACGCTGCGTTCCATGAGACGGTCGTGTGCAGCAAACGTGTCCGACTAGCTGCAGTAACTTCTCGGATACTTCCTCGTGGTTCACAACTTCCCCGGGGGCGCAAGCTGTTTTGTGATAGAAGGCTGATTCGTTGAACGGAAGTTGGGCAACTTGAACGGACAGAGCCCAGTGGGCGCAAATATTGCTAGGCTCTAGCTATGCCTATGCGCGTACACAGGACCTCCGTTTGAGCCTATATGTTTGCTTTCGCTGCTAGTCGCATCGCTGTTTTGCTTTCTGTAATAGTTCTGAAGTGCAATCACTCAGTTCATCGCATCGTCAGTAACTTACAAGGCATTGTAAAGTACAATTGCCACCCGAGTGGCTGCTATATCGGAGATCTGGATGTCCCACGCCACCAGCCTCGAGGACGAGAAATCGGACGGCGGCCTCGAGCGTGAGGCTGCTGGGTGCGAGCCCTGCACTGCCCTCGCACGCACAATAGGGCCCATGTCTGCTATTTAGCTGACAGGTGCGCGTCTCTCCCGCTGTCCATTACGTTCACCTTCTGATACCCTTCCCGCTCACCTCACATTCCTTTCTTCCGCGCCGATCCTGACGCGCCACGCTACCAGACTACTTATCAGGGCTACGACAAATTCACGAGAACCGCAAGGATGCGAGGGTGGAAGGCGTTTCTGCTGCCGCTTGTGGCTGCATTGCGTGTGTCCGCGCACGGCTATGTCAGCAGGGTCGTGATCGACGGCGTCGCGTACGCCGGAAACGAGCCCAATGCCGACACAGGTGAGTGCGTCATTGCCAGTGCATGCCATTTAGGCCTCGGTATTGCGGACGATACTACGGTGGAGGAGTCGCATGTAACCATCAGTGGGCTCTGGTAGAATTGGGGGAGCAATTTAGTCGGGCGCAGCGGGCCGTAGCTTTGTCCCGAAGACCGACTCGCGCCCACTCAGTCTAGCACTGGCGACTGATTTTGACTTTTGTCAGGTTCGAGCCCGATTCGCATGATTTCGAGCATCTCCCCGGTACAGCCTGCGACCAACGCCGACTTGAACTGTGGCCTGGATGCACAGGTCGCCGCGATCACTGCACCCGCTAAGCCTGGAAGCAACGTCACCTTCCAATGGTCTGGAGCGCCTGGCGGAGGGGACAATGTACGTCTGCTCTAGTTCCTCTGCACAGCATCATGTGTGCTGACCCCTCGAATCATAGTGGCCGCATAATGTTGGGCCGCTGATGACTTACATGACACAATGCACAACGACCAATTGCACCGAGTTCGACTCAACGTCTGCCGAGTGGTTCAAGATCGCCGAGCTCGGGATGAGCTCGTCGAGTGCGTGGTTCCAAGCCTATCTCAGTATGTCGTCAGCTCTCCGCACGGAACGTCCATATTGAGGTTGGAGTAGCGCAAGGGGACTCGTACACGCTCACGCTCCCGAAGAATATCAAGCCTGGAGGCTATCTCATCCGCCACGAAGTGCGTCACGCTCCTCTGTCATTTGTCGCCAGGCTAACCTCTCCCCTAGGTCATCGCTCTTCATCAGGCCGTCTCTGTCGGAGGCGCAGAGTTCTATCCGTCCTGTACGCAAGTGCTCATTAGCGGCAGCGGGGACGGCACTCCAAGCAGTGGCGAGACGTGTACCTTTCCCGGCGGCTACTCCAACACTGACCCAGGGATCTACGTGCCAGACGTGAGTGCGCTTTTCTCGGAAAAGGTTCTCGATCGCGCCGGCGGCTGACCCCGCTTCCGCCTCAGATCTACGACGGCGACCTGGACTATGTCTTCCCCGGGCCCAACATCTCCCATCTGGCGTCCCCGGGTGATGGGATGATCACCGCCAAGGTCCCAGGGGGCGATGCGGCCCCGTCTGGCACGGAGATCGCGTCCAGCACTGCTTCCGTCTCGGTGGTGGCTGCCCCCACGGGCGCTGGTGGGAGTGGCGGCTCCTCCGCCTCCTCTGGCTCGGACACGGGTTCAGACTCTGGCTCGGGAGGCTCGGCAGGCGCGTCGGCCACTGCAGCGCCGACAGTTGGTGGGGGCTCTGCCGCGGCATCGTCCCCGCCGAAGTGTGCGCTCAGATCGAGCGTCGCGCAGACCCCGCTCTCGACCCTCAGCCGGCGGCGCCTGCATCATGTTATCAAACGCTTTTTCGCTCGCTCGTCGTGAACGGCGCTCGACGGACCGTGGATGGGTGTGCACGTTCGTCGTGTGCTCGGGGATCTCGGACAACGGATGGAGCAGGCCTCCTATCTCCTATGTGTCGTGCGCGTTGGGACCCGAAGCTTGTGTCTGCAGAAGGTTCTCTGGGACGGATTATTGCCTGCGTCGAACGTCTGCGACCGACGCCTGTGTATGTGTATTGTATGTGCTGTATTGTACTCTTCCTCGAAATGATGGATCTGGTGCCCCCGCAGCTTAATGCAGATACCGTTGGATCTCCAATGGAGAGATTTCAGGTGTATCTGCGCAATGCCGAAGATGTGGCGCAACCCGTAAACACGCGGACATCGAACGCTCGCTTGCTCGGGTGTCGACATGCCTAATCGGGTATTCCCGCCATCAGTACCCGACGCTTGGTGGCGCGCCCGTCACTTCGGGTCGCAAAAAGATAATGGCGGCTCGACGTGGCTTTGCGGGCACAGCGCAGCGCTTCTGACCTCTCCTGACCATCCTGGCAGTATGTACACCATGACGGCCTGGACTCGTCGGGCGTATCGTTCTGCAGGCGGAGAATATCGCTGTAGACTGGCAGCATGGAATCGCGCGCTCATGATCTGAGCGGAACAAGTTTTGTCGCAAAAAAAGGAAAGTCTTCCGCACAACATGACTCTCCTATGTTACTGAGTCGGCCTCTAGTGGACCCAGGTACAGTGGTGGGTGTCCGCTTTGGGCAGCGTCGGAACCAAGGGCTCTAGACCCGTGACCGCGTTGTGGATGGCCGAAACATTGGTAAGTTGACCAGATCGACAGCACGCTCCTCCTCCACTGCGGAAGTAAACCACACAGGATCCGAATGTCCGAGTATTTCGTCCCAGCCTGGCGGGCGCGAGGCATTCAAAATCAGGCGTCCAGCCGCTTGTCTCTCACTTCTCCACTCTGTCACTGCATACCTACCCATGGACGACTACTCGCCGTACTCCAAAGGCCAGCTCTCTATGGAGCTCGCCGCCGCGGCACTAGGCATGCAGCACATGCCGATCTCGTCTTACCAGACTCTTGCAGGCTTGGATGCGTTCTCGCCAGCCTCATACCAGACCACGAGGCACTCGACCGCTGCATACCCTCCGTCTCAGTACCATCAGTTTGCGAACGAGCAGCCGGGGTCGTACATGCCCTCCGCGCTCTCGGGGAGCAATCTCGCTCTGCACGACGCCCTCACGAACGTCTACCTCTCGGCGCAGTACCCGCAGCAACGCCCGCCGTCTCCCCAGCTCCACTACCCTCTGAGATGGCCGGAGGCTGACAGCTACCCCCAATATCCGATGACGAATGCGATCGACCCCGCGCTCGCGCAGGGCGCCTCCCATTTTCCACCGTCGTACTCTGTGGCTCCGCAGAGTACGTACCAGTCGATGCAAGATGCCCAGAGCGCGGCTAGCCATCCCGCATGGGCTGTGTCTGGCTCCCTGGACCCTGTCACCGGAGTGTTCCAGCGTATGGCAGAGCACCCCCGGATGCGTACCGCTCAGGCTTGCGAGAAGTGTAGGACGCGGAAGGCGAAGGTGTGTTGTTCACCCAGTGATGCTATGGATATGCGTATTTACCCCCTGGTTCTTTCTAGTGCAGCGGAGAGCATCCATCGTGCCAGCGTTGCCGCTCTCGCGGGCTCCTCTGTGAGTACGCACCAGAGCGCCGTATGCGCGGGCCCAACAAGAAGAAACGTGATGAATCCAGCACCGAGCGCAAGTCGTCACCGTCATTCGATGAGCAGCGCCGCGGTTCCGTCATCTCCGTCGCGTCGACCAGCTCCGGTAGTGACCTCGACAGCTACCGCTTCCCCGAGATCCCTCCCGCCGTACAGGCCTCCGTCGCAGCGTCCCCGCGCCCGGCGTCCCACACCGCGTCGCCCTACGCCGGCTCTCCCCACCCGCCTTCGCCCCGGCGTCAGCTCAGTCGCTCGCAAGACTTATCCGCCGGTATGCCGGCGTCCCCTCTGCGGTTCCACATCACCGAAGCACCCAGCACGATGACGCCCCCTCCTGCCCCGGCAAAAAGTCCGACGCAAACTCGCCGGCGTCCGCGCCCACCGCCTCTGCACCTCGGCGATGCCATGTTCTTCGACGCTTCTGCGTTCATGGGACGTTCACCCCGCACGCCGATGACGCCGGACCCCGTAACGCACTCTAAGGTCGAGCTCGTCGATGATATCACCCCGACGTATGCGGCGCGCAGGCAGTCCCTTCCATCCTACCTTGTACAGGGGTACACGTCGACGCCGCCCGTGCTCAGCGAGGGGTTCTCGCAGCAATCGAACCATTCGCACTCACGCTCGAACTCGACGAGCGAGGCGCCGCTGACGCCGTTATCGCTGGACCCTGTGGGGGGCCTGGCTTACCCTGAGGACTTTAGTCTTGGGTTCGAGGGTCAATTGGGGGATATCCAGGAGAGTAAGGAACCGTTTGAGCCTGAGCTGCCGCGCCTGGAGATTCATCCGGACGAGCCGGGGAAACACAGTTCGGTGGGTGTCACAGTTGTGGATGTCAGTCCTGCCGAGGTGCACGCCTTCGTGGACGCTCCTGACTTGGAGACATGACAGCACGCCCCTGCCAGTGGATGAGATTGTAAAACATCATGTCATTATTACTATGTATTCGTCGGTCTTGTTGTATGGGTACTGTATTAGTAGAGTTCGCACAATGATATTCAGTGAGCATGAACCATTTGACGCGTGCGTATCCAATATGTATCGCTTATCCACTCTGAAGCGTGAAAAAGAACCGTACTTACTTGCCACGCGAACGAAGCGATTGTTGGCACATTTTCTGAGATTGAAATTCACTGGCAGGCTTGCTCTACATAGAGAACAACATCGTAGATCACGACAGAGTACGCAGTGCTACGAATACATCCTATGCAGAGGGGACGATGACAACCGTCTTTTCACCCTTACCAGAGGGACCGAGCTCCCAGGCACTAATCTCTAAGCCCCCCGTACGGTCCACGAGGAACTGTGCCTCTACTGTTGTCGTCCATCTGCCCTCTACCTGCCTCGCCTCCTTCGCGGCGAAGGACAGCGCGGTGAGTAGAGTCTCCTTCTCTACCGTCTTCTCCTTCACCTCGATGTCTTCCTCCTCCTCCTCTTCATCGTCGGCGGGAGCGTCCTCCTCGTCATCCAATTTAGGTGGCTTCACCCTGTCAATCTTGACGCCCTCTTTCGCCTCCCACACCTCGAAGCCAACCTTCTTCTCACCCTCGCCCTCGCCAAGGTCGACGTCAAGGCGGTACAGTCGCCTCGCCGGCACGACGGTGTCGCGAAGGACAGCAGGTATCCACTGGCCACCAAGCGGGCCCTCGGCGTTCTCCTCGGGGAAGAGCATGCCGATCGTCTTCGACGTCGCCGTCTGCGTCCAATTGTGGCCGTCCGTGAATGACGCCAGGATTTCGCGTTCATCATCAGTGTCATCAGGAAGCACCACAACCAGCTTCGCCTGCAGCGCACACCCACGGGAGATGATGGTCGTCGGGTCACCGACACCACCACCAATGACGGTGCCAGCAGTGAACGGCGTGACGATCGACTCTGGGAAGCCCTGAGCAAGCGTCTCGTCCAGCCCGGGCAGGCTCGTGGAGCCACCGACGTACACGATCTCGTCGACATCGTACAGGTCCAAGCCGGCCTTCTCCACGAGCTCCTTCACGCGGGTGTACACCTGGTCGTACACGCTCCGGACCTCCATGTCGAACCGCAGGCGCGTGATCGTGCCCGTGAAGTCAAGCCCATCCTTGAGCGATTCGACGGAGCACGTCGCGGCGCCGGGTGACGCGGAGAGCGTGCGCTTCGTGTGCTCGACCGCGAGCCGAAGCTTCGCCTCCGCGCGCTTGTCCTGCGACTCCGTCGCGGGCGCAACCGTTAAGGGCGTCTTGGTCTTCTTGGTGAACTCCTTGGCGAAGAACTTGATCAGCTTGTCATCGATCGCGTTCCCGCTGACGGTCGGGTCCGAGAGCGTGGCCAGCGAGAAGGCGATTCCTTCGCGGATGGAGAGCAGGGAAAGCTCGAGCGAAGAGGCACCAAGGTCGACGACTAGCTGCGTGCGGTCGTGGCTAAGCTCCTTGGGGGTGAGACCTGTGGTGGTGATCAATGCCGCAGCACCTGCGACCTCGAGCAGCTGAAGGACGCGGATGCCAGCATCTTCTGCGGCTTTTTGCAGGGCGTTACGCTGAATGCTGTCGAACCAGGTAGGAACACTGATGACAGCACCCTGAACCTTCCGGCCGAGGAAGTCCTCTGCGGATTGCACGAGGGACTTGAGAAAAAGCGTGGTGACCTCCAACACGGTCAGAATGCGTTCTGCAGGGACCGGCTCCGAGCGCGGAGTAGCGGTGTTAGAGGCAGCAGGCGTTGTAGTCGTTGACTTGGGGAGAGGCGAAGGGGCGGCCTGCAACACCTGGACTTTGTAAGCAGGGACGTCTGGCTGCTCCGGGTGTTGGATGACAGGAGCAGAAGTGATGGGCTTGTCTTGAGGTATCTCAGAGAACCTAATGTGCACCCATGAAGAAGAGCAAACAGGTTGTGCGAAACGTACTCACTTCTTGCCAAGGAGGTTACGGAAACCCATAATCGTGTTGTGCGAATTCTTGACCAGCTGTGGCTTAGCCTGGTTGCCTATGTACTACGGACATGTTCAGGAATAATACGGTGTCAACCAGTCAAGACTGACGTACCACTTCCTCGCCAAGGAAAGCCACAGCGCAAGCGATCTGACGTTCTCCATCTTCATTGGCAATGCAATCTGCCGACCCTTCCTATGAAGCTGCAGGGTCAGAAATTGCTAGGTGGATGAGAATAGCCATTCTGAGGCGCAAAGCGGTGGTACAGGCATCATGGACAAATGCATGTGCCATCGTTTGGAACTCCTCAGACTGTAGCATAATGGGCGACAGGGCATACCTTCGCCAGTACTGCGATAGACGCGTAGGAGTTGCCGAAGTTGATGCCCACGACGGTGGGGATAGAGGAGACCTCAATTGGCGCGTCGGCCGTTCCGTTCGGTTGCGCCGCCATCGTCAAGCACAGCGTCGAGGAGGATTTGGTCGATGCTAAACACGAAAAACAGATTTTGCCACAGGGCGCTCGCGCCGTCACGTGCCTGTGTCTCTATTTAGCGTGTTACGCACCGGCGCTTGGCAGACGCGTCCTCTCTTCGACCTGTCGCGTTCGGCTGTGAGTCCTGTCCTCCACAGTTACTTGCTGGCTCATCGACCGACGCAATTCGCCGTGGCTAGTCGCATTGATATTTGAGATCTAACAGAGCAGCAATTGAGTGTCACAAACAGGTGCGATCTCTCCGACTCGAGGCATATTCGCGGGAAGCTCAGGTATTATATCGCGCCAACTCCTCCGGTCAGTCGAAATGGCTTGCAGTCACATTCGCGAGATTGCCGGACTTCAGTCTCCAAGGCTCTCTCAGTCTGTACACAGGGAAGAATGTACGCAGTGCTTCGACAACCAGGTGGCGTATGCGACCCGTCTCCAGAGGTCGGGTGAACTCAATCGAGGCGTTAGGATCATCCACTGGGAGTCGATGTTTGCTTGACGTGCTTTAACGGAGGATGTCTTGGCCAAGACAGACATCATGCTCGAACGCATGTCGAAAAGACCGGCCACTCCTTCACGCTGAATGTCAAGAGGAAGTTGAAGCCCTCTGCGAACCGTGTATGCCGAGACATATGACATACCTATGCGCGCTACTGACATCTATGTTTAGGCTGATGAAGAGGAACCTCCAACGAAGATGAAGAAGCTCGCCATTGTCGAGGACCGCGAAGAGGACAAGTACGAGCACAAGACCGTCCTCAAGTGCTGGAAGTGCGATCCCGTGAACGGGCTTGAAATTCCTGACGCGATGGCTGACCCGCATGTCAAGTCATTGAGCGATGGTGTTATGCAGTCCCTCTCATCTGCAAGGCAGTCCGAGGTCAAGGCCTGGGAGGAAGAGATTACTCCTTGCGAGCATACCTTGACGCTACAGCAGCAGGCGACTGGGCCGATTCTTGCATCAGGTGAGAGGCACTGACTCCATGGGAGTGATGCTTTCCGACTCACTTCTCACAGGACTGGCACATTGTTCCAAATGCGACCTCAAGGAGAACTTGTGGCTATGCTTGACATGTGGTACCTTCGGTTGCGGCCGTCAGCAGTTTGGTGGTATTGGAGGCAACGGTCACGGTCTGCAGCACTATGAAGAGACGAAGCATCCTGTTAGTGTCAAGCTTGGTACAATCACGCCCGAGGGCAGTGCAGGTCAGTTCTACAGGCGGCCGTATCGACCACGCAGCATTGACCCTATAGCCTGCTAGATATTTACTGCTATACCTGTAACGATGCCAAGACAGACCCAGAGTTGGCAGTGCATCTCTCGACATTCGGCATTAATGTCCAGACGCAGACAAAGACAGAAAAGTCAATGACCGAGCTGGTGCGTAGTCCGCGTCGCCATGCTAAGTGACGCTGACACCGTTACAGCAAATCGAACACAACCTCAAATTTGACTTTTCACTCACAGATGAATCGGGCAAGGCTCTCGAGCCTGTCTTCGGACCTGGACTCACTGGTCTGTCCAACCTTGGCAACAGGCATGTCACCATGCCCTACCTTCTGCATCCGTTAATTAACATCCGTGCAGCTGTTACATGGCGTCTGTCGTACAAACGCTCTTCTCTCTACCCGCTTTCCAACAGCGGTACTACCCTTCTGCCACCCAGCACTGGGCCACCTGCACGGAATCGCTTCCAGCCAGCTGCGTCGACTGTCAGATGCACAAACTTGCGGACGGCCTGCTTTCGGGGCGCTACTCGCACCCACGACCAACCACCACTGGTGCGCCCGAACCCAAGGCAACGAACCCGCTCGCGCACGACTCGCCCACCCCTGTCTTCCAGGAGGGCGTGCGCCCGAGCGGGTTCAAGGCGCTCATCGGGAAGGGCCACGAGGAGTTCAGCACGATGCGGCAGCAGGACTCGGAGGAGTTCCTCACGCACCTGCTCACTGTCCTCCGGCGACACTCAAAGAGGGCGGGTGGCACGCAGGGTGCAGAGCCAACTGAGTTGTTCGCGTTGGGCATGGAGCAGCGTCTGCAGTGCGGCGAGTGCAAGCGGGTGCGGTACCGCGTAGATGAGATAGACGTTGTGAGCGTACCAGTGCCGGCGCGCGAGAAGGGGAAGGACGTGGAGGGGAAGACCCTGTACGCGGACACCCAGCTCTCCGAGTGCTTGGACATCCTCACGGGGCCGGAGGCGCTCGAGTACACCTGCCCGGCGTGCCAGAAGAGCGTAATTGCGACGAAGTGCGTTTGGCTGCGGATTCCTTTGTGTTTGGGGGTATGACGTCTGACGGACGCTGTTGCAGGCGATCGCGGTTCGCGACCTTCCCGCAAGTCCTCATCGTCCACGCGAAGAAGTTCCAGCTCGTCAATTGGGTGCCGTCGAAGCTCGGTGGGTTTTGACTCATGTTGCGCGGACCCTTTTCACTTGCTAATCTTGTCTAGACATCCCATTGAATGTCTCCGACGAGCTGCAGCTCGATAACTATCTTGGGCGGGGACTGCAGCCTGGGGAAGTCGAACTGCCCAACGATCAGCAAGGTAGGTCGATACCTTTTTGGCACCCTACGTATAAGGGTTCATCGATGTTCTCCCAGCTTCCGCCCTTCCGCAGTTCAATGAAGCGGCGATGGCCCAGCTGGAAGGAATGGGGTTCCCGGCCGTGCGGTGTCAGAAAGCACTCATCGCCACCGGTAATAGCGACGCGGAGGCCGCCATGGAATGGCTCTTCCAGCACATGGAAGATCCGGGTGAGATCGCCCCCCGGGGATAACGCGAGCGATGCTGACGCGTAGGACAGATATCGATGCACCAATCCAAGCTCCGGGAACTGGAAGTTCTGCTCCCGAGCCGCCGCAGGAGCAAATAAGCATGCTCGCCGAGATGGGCTTCACTCAAGCCCAGGCCCGCAAGGCCCTGAGGGAAACGGTGCGTGTAATCTCATTCAGGATCTGACCCCAGAGGATGGCACCCTGATATATCCCGTAGGGCGGGAACGCCGAGCGGGCTGTGGAATGGCTCTTCTCCCACCCTGATGACAATGGCGAAGACGCACCGAGCACTTCGGCGGGGCCGTCGAAGACGGCCAGTCCAGGAGGCTCGGCGGAGTTGCCGGCGAAATACAAGCTCAAGGCATTCATCTCGCACAAGGGCCCGTCCGTCCATTCTGGGCACTACGTTGCGCACATCCGGGTGAAGGACGAGCAAACCGGCGGAGAGAACTGGGTCCTGTTCAACGATGAGAAGGTGGTCAAGGCTGATGCTGAAAGCGTACGCGAGCTGAAGAAGCTGGCGTACTTGTACGTGTACGAGCGTGTGTAGAATGGGTCGGATGCAAATATACTGTATTATCACTCATTACATGTTGTGCTACCTTTTCACCGAAGGACTGCGACTTGGCCGGGCTCATGCAGACCGATGCGAATGGACACCAGTTCCTGAGTACGTGCATCGGCTCGGACACCCAAAGCCCCTGTCGTATGATGAGCTGATGCCTGTCACACCGTCCCATTCTGAGACAGTGCACGAGCCTCATCCATCGCGGTGTTCAAGATCCAGTCGATGTCCATAGCCCAGTACCTCCACCCTTGTGTCACCAAGTGGTCTACGCGCCGCCTGAACCTCGCTCTGCGGTCCGTATAGAGCGCCGCCAGCTCCGGATCGAATTTCCGCAGAGCGTCCCTAAATCTCTTACGCAGATGCGTTTCCTCGATTGATAACCTCCAAAATGACGTGTCCTCAAAGAGCGTGCCGGGCGGTATTGCGAATACGTCAGCAGGATCGGGAGGCCATGCGTGATGTGTAAGTTCCTCGGGATACTGAGCTGCTATATCGCGGGGAACGACGATGGCGTCGTCCCAGTCGACGATTCCTTCGATGCGCGTGCGGTCCGCCGAAAACAACACGTTCCGCCAGAATGCGAAATCTACGTGCATCAGCGCAACTCCAGGAGCTGCCGAACCTTTGCCCAAGTCCATGAGTGGATCGAGAGAGGAGGCGATATTGACGAGCTCTCGTAGAGTATCGAGGCACTGCACGAACAAGTGTTTCTCATCATCATCTGGAGGGATATTGGCGATGGAATGGCGTGCGGCATCGAGGTGGTAGTGCCAGTGCTCGGCGATAGTGGTGGGCCCGCATCGCGTCTCCATCGACGGGTCGAGTAATGTGGTAGAGTCGTGAGCATATCGTGGGATCATAGGTATAATGCGGAACGTGCGTTGAGGCGCACTACGTCCCTGCCACATCCAAGATGACGTGCTCGGGCCATCAGCCATGATACTTCCTAGCGCATTGAAAGGGACGGGCGCGGCCATTTTGGCCCATTGTTCGGCCAATAAATCGACGATAATGCCCTTGCTCGTATTCGGCATGTTGAGCCACTCCAGATGGGCAATCGACGTGCCCTTGCAGAATTCGGCCAGTGTGTAAGGCACATCTGCCGGATTCGCACTACTGGGCTGCGCAGAGAGGATTCGGGGAACAGGGACGTCTGGTCTGTATAAAGCCATGAACTCCAGTGTCGCGGTGTAGGACTTGAGCCGGATAGGGTCGCGAGCTGCTGCGGATTGAGGAAGTGGAACTCTCGCAATGAGGGAAGTCGAGCCGAATTCGATGAGGAAAACCTTGTTGTATGCACCGTGTGCAAGAATACGGATGCCGTTGGGAGCTGCTGTCTTGTGAAGTCGAAGGGCAGCACGCGCGGCCTCGATGAGGTGTTCGACGTTAAGGCCACATATAACACTGTAACCATCGCGAAAAGCGGAGTTGAGGGCCGCCTCGGAGGGTGCAACGTATGTCAGAACTGCGATGGGTATATAAGTTACTTCTGCTCCTCTATGTCATGGAATAGCATTACACACCTCGTTCGCCTGTGGACATCATGTCCGATGAACCTCCTACACTCGAAGTGCCGCCAACGATGGCGTGCCAGCCTTGCTCGGATGTTTCGCGTGAGCGTCTTGATTTCGTTCTTCGTTCAAGTTGTGTGTTGTTGAATGCGTTCACGTGCACTAGGCTTGAAACAGATTGGCCGTGCATCATTTGGAGCCGAAACTCGTGCCCGTGCGCATCCGCACTCCGGCACTCAGTACTCAGTACTCAGTACTCAGCTGCTGCCTCGCGGTAGATAGTGAACGTGGATGAGGCGGTCGCGGCGCGGGGGCCGGGCGCGCCAGTTCTCGCGGTTCGGACGTATGGACGTTCAAACGTTCACTTGTACATTTTTGCGCGATGCTCGACTGATTCTCCTCTGCTGCTGAGGCGGGCCGCAAATATTGAGTCAAGCGAGTCAGAGCAGGCTAGCCGGGTTCATGCAGACCGATGCGAATGGACACCAGTTCTCATTCCATTGATACCTGTCACACCGTCCCATTGTGAGACAGTGCACGAGCCTCATCCATCGCTTTGTCCAAGATCCAGTCTGTGTGAAAAGCCCAGTACCTCCACCCTCGCGCCAGCAAATGGTCTACGCGCCGCCTGAACCTCGCTCTGCGGTCCGTATAGAGCGCCGCCAGCTCCGGATCGAATTTCCGCAGAGTGTCCCTAAATCTCTTCCGCAGATGCGTTTCCTCGATTGAATACTCCCACAACGACGTGTCCTCAAAGAGCGTGCCGGGCGGTATTGCGAACACGTCAGCAGGATCGGGATGCCATCCGTAATGTGTAAGTTCCTCGGGATACTGAGCTGCTATATCGCGGGGAACGACGATGGCGTCGTCCCAGTCGACGATTCCTTCGATGCGCGTGCGGTCTGCCGAAAACAACACGTTCCGCCAGAAGGCGAAATCTACGTGCAGCAGTGCAACTTTAGGAGCTGCCGAGTTTTTGCCCAAGTCCATGAGTGGATCGAGAGAGGAGGCGATATTGACGAGCTCTCGTAGAGTATCGACGCACTGCATGAACACGGGTTTCTCTTCAAAACCTTTAAGAGGGATCTTGGCGACATCAGGAAAAATACCTCCGATGAATGAGCAAGAACGTCGTGTTATTCCATGATATTGAGAGTAACAATGATCATACATTCTGTTCTCGTACAACCGAGAATTACCCAGCCCCACTGGGTTCATCTGTGAATGCTCGATATTACCTGTAATTATGAGGCATTCACTCGACATACTCATGCATCGATCAGCATGTTCTACAGTATACCATGAACATTTCACAGTATATTGTGAACATTCACAACAATACAGCATCTTACTTTTGTTCGCGCAGACTACTGAGGAGAACATTACGTGCATTGCACTGCATTCAAACGGTAGTACTAGTAGAGGCCAATCCAGTGTCCGAGATCATAACGAAAGCAATAGCTGATAAGCGGAGAGAACAATAGCAACGAGATGAGCGAACGATACCAACTGATAGCAATGCAACGAAGGAACATTAGGAACTGATAGCTACGCGACGAAGGAACAATAGCAACCGGTGATAGTAACAAGCTGAGAGAACGATAGTGATGAGTCGAGGAGACGATTGTAAGGGATTACGAGTGGCTACGAGTAAAGATACCTGAACAGCGAGACTACTGACATTCTACTCATCTGGGATACCAGCCCAATCAATGGCTTCACCATTGTTCGCGCCCGGATGCATCGCATGCCCCGTTCTAAACAGAGATATCAGCTTGACTCGATTACGAGTGATACGTCAAAAGCAAACGACGCACGTCGCAGCCACGAAGAGGCTGTGCATCACACGGTGGTATCGCTTGGGCCGTGCTCGCCGGAAGTCGGTGAGACGCACCAGGTGCGCGCGATAGGCAGATGAACTTGTGGCGTTGAAGTCGGTCGGTTTGATGAGGTTGAGATTGTGATCAGAAATCACCGACTCGACCTGAGGGATAGAATGAAGATGAAAAGAAACCGTGTGATATATACTAGACGTACCGCTGTCATCGCCAAAGACAGCATCTCCGCCGGGATCTCGAGCTCGGAAGGAGCATCTTCCATCGAGGATTTGAATTGATTGCTGTTCTGCAACCCCACATGGTGATATTGCTGCTGTGTGAAGAAGGCGGCGCGCAGTGCCTCCTGGATAGCGGTGTTCTCGTATGGTGCTCGGCGATCAAAGCCGTTCTACACAAAAAATGTCAAAATCAAATTGAACCATGCACGCGCCATCTTACCGTCGCAGACCATGGGTAGATATAATTCATATCCTGCAAGAGGCTCCCGCTGCTAGGAGATGGCGAGCTGCCACGAGTAACCCGGCCGAGGTCGTAAGCATAGTTGACTGGAGGCGTGACTGCTCGCTTGACTGCTGATCGAAAGAGGCTCAGACGATGAGCGACCTACGACAAAGGCATCAGTACACAACAGGATAAGAAGAAGACGGTACTAACGTAGTTGGTAAGCGGCTTGGTGTAGTCATCATGCGATCCGCGTTCGAGACGATCTGCAATGTCGAAGTCGTCATCATACCCTAGCATTTCAGCTGCTCGGATGAGAGCCGTCAACGCGACTGCGTCCAGCCCGGCTTTCTCCATCACAGTATGCTTGGAGGTCACGAAGTCGAGGTCAGGAGCATTGCTGATCGAGTAAGAAGAACCAAAGACCATGATACAGTCGCCGATCGCATAGGAGTGATGGATGACCTTCTGAATCACTGAGCTCTGGGGTTTGATGTCCATCGTCACGCTTTGGTGCCTACGAATCACTTTGATCTGTGTTCGTGGAAGCCAAGGGATAGCGTCTTGGTCGCTGTTGTCCACCGCACGCCCTGCCGGGGCATGGGACTTGCCCCTTGTGGTCGACGGTTGGATGGAAGGAGCCTGCACATCGTCAATATATGACAAGTCATACTAATCTGAGCTTACCTCCTGCGCCAGCTTGGCTCGCTGCTTCTCCGTCAGCTGCACGATTACAATTAGAAAACACTCATAGGATCATTGCGGAATTGAGCACACCTGTCGCGGAGCCTTAGTGGCGGCATGGACGATCTTCACGTCGTCCAGTTCATCTTCACTCTCCGCAGAAGATCGGCCCCTACGTGCGACAGCATAGACACTTGCCTGGTCTGCGTCGACGTGATCTTGATCATCGTCCTCTTGCTCAGGCTGCAGATCGACCATGTCATAGTCGTCGTAGTCCGTGGCTGGCGGTCCGCTGTGCTGCGAGCTTGCTATGCTCGACGAGCGGGATGTTCTCGATCGACGGCTAGGAGGTCGTACGAAGCCGCTGTGCTCGGGGCTTGTTTCATCAACCGCGGCCGAATCAGATCCTGTTCCAAACATTCAAGCAATGTGAGTGCATATTAATTAGCGTGCTCACCTGGTGCGTAGAAGGTAACACGCTATGATGTCCGAGGCCGGGTAAGTCGTCGCTGCAGTGAACCATACTCCAGTGCGTACCTCAGCTTCGAAGTCCTCACACGCTTCACGGCCCTCATATTCATCCCCGTCGACCTCGGCATCCTCACTCACTCGGGACTCCTCTTCTCCGTCATCGTCAAAGAGATTCTCGACCGCCTTCGTTTGGGTCTGGGTTGCCTGAGGTGCGCCTTTTCGCAACCTTGGTGGCGGCGGCGGCGGCGGTGGCAGCAGCTGAAGGCCATCAGAATCAGAATCACTGTTGATATCGGGGGCTGCATAGGCTCTGCCTGCCGATGATGAGGGGATCAAGAGTACGTCCACGCATTATTGAGAGTGAGCTGAGGCGTACCTTTGTTGGACTTGGGTAGTTGCGTCCCAGAGGAGCCAACCTTGGCCTTCTTCGGACGATGCTCCATGCTCTTGTCACCCGGTGATACCCTTGTGGCGGTAATTGCTACGGTAGGTTTGCCGGTATTGGTGTCCATGGCTTTTGTCGCCACTGAGTCTGCCCGCCTCCGCTTCCCTTGGGTTACTTGCGCGCGTTCACCATGATTGGCGTGGGTATCTCCTGCTGAAAACGGAAGTTGAACGTGACTGTAAACCCAGTATGGTCGTTCGTGCACTCAGGAGGTAGCCTACCATTAACAGACGTCGCAGTACCACTGGAAGTCAAAACAGTACGAGGTTTCTTGATCATACCGGCCCATGCTGTGCGCGAGACATGCTTACTGTCAGCGACAACAGCGGATTACAACGACATCGAGATATGCACCTTTAGGAGCGGCCTGAGATGCTGCCCGTGTCGGTCGACCTGCTGTAAAGAGTAGCAAGGTGAGTGTTGAATATGGAATAGTCAGTTGGGTGCTTACACGGTGTAATGACAGCTTGTTCTGAGTCATCTTCGCCCCGAGAATTGTTCGTGAGACCTTGCAACAACCTCGTCTTCCGTTGACCAATCTGGCGCTGACTATTGGATGGCATTTCATCCGTGTTGCGCTCAGATATCGACTGCGACATGGCACGCCAACAAGACCCGGACGGTCTGGGAGGAGAAATGCATGTGGTGTCAGAGCAGACACAGAGACGTTCGATGTGAGTCACAGTCCTAAAACAGACAGCCGGGGCAATATATACTCACCTATTGCCCACACTCTCACCAGGACTTCAGCTTTGCTTTGGCCAGAGCTAAGGGCAGGGGAGTACGGTGATGGCACCTGGGCTGAGTAACGACGTACGATCCGTTATTCAATAAGTGATTGACCGAAAACTGATAGTTAGATGAAAGGGAGCAATTGGAACGCAGGATGAGGAACGTCGACTTGGGAGGTTTGCTGGCAGAGGCGTGTGATGCAGTGCACGCGTGCTCGGCAAGTGCAGAGACTGCGTGACCAAGGCGCGTAATACCTACCTCATTCTCACCTGAACATCGATCTAAGGCAATCGTCTCCGCTGTGCAGCTCGCTGACTTCTACTCTCCCCTCCTTTGCACGTCATTCTCTGTGCCTACTGGTAAGCAACAGTCTGGTCATGCGTACCGAAAGGCAGCTTGATTACTGACACATCTCCAGTCGTTTATTGTACATACCGCCTCTATTGCTATGAAATACATCTGCAGCGGCTGTACCGCTTCGTTCGACCAACACGGCTACTATCTTCAACACCTACGAAAAAGTCAACTACTTGCCTGTAAGGCAGCTCTTCGAGAGCACGAGGAGTCGATGCGGCAGCCTACCCGTCTGGCTGCTCATCGGCGAGCCTCACGCTCACGCTCCAAAGGCCGTTCCCACTCTGCTGACGCCGAAGCCAACGCAGCCACTTCCGCAGGAGATGCTGACGTGGAGGACCCGGCTGCAGGAGATGTCGAGGTGGATGATGACCCGGTACCGTTCGAGGGTGATTTCTTCGGCGAGGCAGATGCGTATGGTGCCGACGACCTTCCGTTTGGCGCTGAACGCATGGATATGGATCCCGACTCCTATGAGCCTGCCGAGGAGTCGAGCGACGATGAAGGGTCTGATGATGAGGCCGTTGGCCGTGATATCGCTCAACCCATCCCTGAACAGGAACGAGATGGCCGCCGCCTTGATCCACCGCCTGCAGGCCCAATCTCTGAGTCGAATGACCAGCCAATTGCCGACAACGTCCACGATGAGGCTTCTGACCAGAACACGGCACCTGGACAGCAACCGAAGGGTGGTCCCCCTGGTGGGATAACGTCGGCACAACACGAGCAAGTCCGTGACGCACCTGTACACGTTGTCCCCTTTGGAGGGGATGCAGGAGTGCCTACACGGCCAGGTCAAGGGCCGCGCTCTGCCTACACGTCCTACGCTCATGAGGTCGATCCTGACGCGAAGAATCCATACGCACCCTTTGCGTCGCGCATAGACTGGGAGATCGCTCGGTGGGCGAAGCTTCGTGGGTCGGGATCGACCGCGTTCACAGATCTGCTCGCAATTCCGGAGGTACGTCAACTCATTCAGTGTTCATAGTACTATCACTCACTATGATGTTAAGGTACGCGATCTACTGAAGTTGTCGTTCAAGAATAGCGAGGAGCTGAACAAGATCATTGATGAGAAGCTGCCGAACCGCCGTCCAGAATTCCGCTGCTTTGAAGCATGTGTGGGCGGCGAGCGATTCGAGATGTTCTGCCGCGACATCCTCGAATGCATCCTTGCGCTTTGGGGCGATCCTGAGCATGCGGCAATCCTCTGTATCACGCCGGAGCGCCATTATGCTGATGCTGACCAAACACTACGGCTCTATCATGATCTCCACACGGGGAAATGGTGGTGGGCTACCCAGGTACGTCATATGATCTGTCACTTCAATACAATGCTAAGCTATCAAGTAGACTCGGCTCGAAGCAGAGAAACCGGGCGCGACCATCATCCCTGTCATCATCTCGTCTGACAAGACCCAACTGACCCAGTTCCGGAACAAGACCGCGTACCCGGTCTACCTGACCATCGGCAACCTGCCGAAGGAGATACGTCGCAAGCCCTCGCACCGCGGGCAGATACTCCTTGCTTACCTGCCAACAAGCCGCCTCGAACACATCACAAACAAGGCCGCTCGTAGGCGAACACTTGCGAACATCTTTCACGCGTGCATGTCGATGGTTGTCGAGCCTCTGCGAAAGGCTGGGATTGACGGCATCTCCATGACGAGTGGTGACGGCGTAGAGCGTCGATGCCATCCCATCCTAGCCGTCTACGTCGGGGACTACCCCGAGCAGGTTCTCGTGACGGGAACCTATACCGGCGACTGCCCGATCTGCCAGTGCCCTCATGACGCGCTCGGGTCTTACCCATGTACTGCAGGATATCGCGACATCGAGGCTACGTTTGACGCTTTCAGCAAATTCGGGACTGCCGACTACAATAAAGCGTGCGATGCTGCGGGTATCAAGCCGATCCAGCATCCATTCTGGGAACACTTACCCTACGTCAATATCTATCGTGCCATCACTCCTGATTTGCTTCACCAGCTCTATCAGGGGATCATTAAGCACGTTCTGGTCTGGATTACGAGCATTGTAGGAAAGGACGAGGTCGACGCTCGGGTTCGGCGGCTGCCGCCAAACCATAGCATCCGGATTTTCCACAAAGGGATCACCGGTCTCTCGCGGGTCACCGGTACCGAGCACAGGCAAATGGCGAAATTTCTACTCGCACTTCTTGTCGACGTGCGGATACCTGGTGGCGAGCCGGCTCGAACCGATCTCGTTGCCGCGACAAAGGCACTCCTTGACTTCATCTACATGGCTCAGTACTCGGTTCATTCAGAAACCACCCTCCTAGCACTCGAGGAGTCCCTGGCCACCTTCCACTCGAAGAAGGACATCTTCGTCCGCCTCGGTGCACGTGATCATTTCGATTTCCCCAAGCTTCACTCAATGGTTCACTACGTCCGTGCAATCAGGCTTTATGGTACCACAGATAACTACAATACCGAGTCTACGGAGCGCCTGCATATCGACTTTGCGAAGGAGGCCTACCGTGCGACTAATCATAAAGACGAATTTCCGCAGATGACCAAGTGGCTCGAACGGCGTGAGAAGGTACTACAGCACGCTAACTATGTCGAATGGCGCCTTCTACAGGCTCAGCGCGGACACCAAGACGTTATCGCTGCACGACAGGAGATCCGCTGGCGACCACCAGATATGGCATGTCCACTTCATCACGTCATGACGAAGTATCCGAGCCGTAAAGCGGTTCCTCTCGCGGACATTGTATCACCGCAAGGTTATGGTGCGACGTTCTTCACGGCAGCGTTTGCTCGGTTTGTGGTTGAGCTGAACAACCCCCATCTGACACGGAACGAAGTCGAAGCGAGAGCTGCGCAGATGCGAATTCCATTCACGGCTCTTCCTGTCTTCCACAAGATTAAATTCCGGAACGTCGAGCAGCATGGGAAAGAGACACTCGACTCTATCCATGCACGGCCGCGACAGGTGGGACGTAACACCGAGGTACTTATCCCTGCACGGTTTGACACGGCCCTTGTATGTGTGTCTGGCGAGAGTGAGCCTGCAATGGCCCGGGAACAACATGGTCTTTCTGGTACGTGTCGCTGGTTGTTCATCTGGTATGTGATTGGACTGATTATGGTCACATATGTAGGTATGCGAGTGGGCCGCATTCGAGTGGTCTTCTCAATTCCAGACAGAGTAATACCTTTCCTTTTCCCTCCGGCAATGCCACGTCGTAACGTGCCGCGTCATCTCGTCTACGTCGAGTGGCTTTCCAAATTTGCAGACGCCCCGGACCGACAATATCAAATGTACAAGATCAGATCACTACAAGGACCTAATCAGCTAGGTTCGATCGTACCACTGTCGTTGATACAACGTAGTGTTCATCTCAACCCGAAGTGGGGAGGTCCAGTTCCAGTACATTGGACCAGCGAGAACGTCCTGGACGAGTGTGCAGTGTTTTACTTGAATCATTACCAAAGCCCACATAGCTTCTACAATTTGTATTAATATTACTCTTTCCGTACGGGAATTGATGCCAATTGTGAATTCAAAACCTGATGCGATCATTGGTGTGAACGGCCACTACATTACTTGGTACTCAGAGACAATTAGGGTTATACATGAGACTCCGCGCTAATACGGAGAATGTTGTGAATGGCTGCCAGAATGGGTACGAACTGTAAGTATTCGCAGTAATAACGTGGATCTTGTGGATGTTGCACTGTTGGTGCCAATTCTGAGGGGGGGATTTTCCTGATGGATAGCATGGCCTGCGACATCGAGGGTATAGTGCCATTGCTCAGCGATAGTGGTGGGCCCGCATCGCGTCTCCATCGACGGGTCGAGTAACGTGGTAGAGTCGTAAGGAAATCGTGGGATCATAGGTATGATGCGGAACGTGTGTTGTGGCGTACTGTGTCCCTGCCACATCCAAGATGATGTGCTCGGGCCATCGGCCATGATACTTCCTAGCGCGTTGAAAGGGACAGGCGCGGCAATTTTGGCCCATTGTTCGGCCAATAAATCGACGATCATGCCCTTGCTCGTATTCGGCATTTTGTGCCACTCTAGATGAGCAATCGACGTGCCCTTGCAGTATTCGGATAGTATGTAGGGCACACCTGCCGGATTCGCACGACTGGGCTGAGTAGAGAGGATTTGAGGGATAGGGATGTCTGGTCTGTATGAAGTCATGAACTCCAGTGTCGCGGCGTAGGACTTGAGCCGGATGGGGTCGCGAGCTGCTGCGGATTGAGGAAGTGGAACTCTCGCAACGAGGGAGGCCGAGCCGAATTCGATGAGGAAAACCTTGTTGTATGCACCATGTGCAAGAATACGGATGCCGTTGGGAGCTGCTGTCTTGTGAAGGCGAAGGGCAGCACGCGCGGCGTCGATGAGGCGTTCGACGTTAACGCCACATATAACACTGTAACCATCGCGGAAAGCGGCATTGACTACCTCCTCAGAGGGCGCGACATAGTTGAGGACTATATTGTACATCACGTTTTACCATTATGCAGCCGCCTTGATGAAGGACCACGCACCTCGCTCGGGGCCTGTGGAAGGCATATGGTCACCGCGCTCCATTCGCCATTTGCTTACTCCGCTTGTGAACTTTGAAGGCTATCACTCGAGCAGCAAATACACTGAGCAGTTGTCAAGAGTTCAATAAGAAGAATCGTGCTATAACGGGGTCGAGACGCTCTGTGCAGGATGAGTATCAGAGTAACTCAGGCTCCGGAGTAGTATGTATGTAGCTAGCCTCAGGCTGGCTGTCATGCATGTCATGTTCCGCGATCGAGTTCAAGATCTCGATCCTAGGCGGGACAGTCACAGTGTCACTGGCAGTTTGGTCACGGTAAGTACTAATTTGAAGTACTGCGCAAGTACTGCGTGTCGAGCTCACATTCATAATAGTCTCTCACAACATTCTTGTTTCCTAAATAACCTCAGGCTACGAATACTCTGTATGACCACAGAGAGTCGTGTGAGTGCATTCCCGCATTCGCAGGCGATGGGCGATACAGTCACCAGATGACAACAGTAAGCAATCGCAACCTATTCCCGATCAACTCGACGTTATTCCATTCCAGCATGGACTCGGACGCCGTCGCCGAAATTCAAATGTCTTCCGGTGATTAAGAAGTTCTTCTTCGTATAATGGATGCTCATAATACAAGTTGATAGCTCGTATACCATCCGAGGCGGCTCTCAACGAGTCCTATAGACCGGGATATACGCGACTCTGCCCCGTTGACGTTCCTCGCCTCGTAGATGTGGCGCGTGCCGCCCTTCGACTAGATCCATCCACCATTCCCACTGGTCTACGTATCCTTGCTGCTGTTGTATTCAACAAGGTGTTCTTCATGCAATTCGGCTCCATCGCTGTGATTGCGCGAGTCCCATTCAACACACCGGCAGCGCACGACCCAGTCCGGCTCAGATCCCAGATCGCTACGTTGGACTTCCTCAGCATCCACAAACCGACTGTCCCTGTACCGAAAGTCCTCGCCGCTTCACCGGATAGCCAGAGTCCGCCGTGCGCGCCGTACGTCATAGCGGAGTTCTGCAAAGGGACACCCTTGACGATTCAAGAGTGGTATAGGGACATGTCGGCCGCGAGCCGTGACAGAGCCATCGACCTGCTTGCCGACATGTGGGTCAAGATTACTGCTCCACTACCTTTCAAGGCGATCGGCAGCATCATTCGCCGTACTGTGGATCCCCACAGCGCTATGTCGAGAATGGGTGGCGCGGCGGAATCGCCTGCCTTTCACATCATGCCCATGATTCCGCAGTTCCCAAAGAAATGGACTGAACTGGTCGACCCATCGGCGGAGACACGTGCTGGTCCTAGGAGCATTGCCGAACACTGGGCCGCGCGGATGAAAGAACAACGCGACGATATAGTGGCGACATTCCCAGATGAAGACCATTCTGTCCTCGTATGCGACAACGTAGGCTCTAAACATACGTTGGGGAAACTCTGGCAATGCGTTCGAGCCATGCAGGAGCTCACCGACATAGCTGTCTCTCTGGACCCCCTGGCTCATGCGCCCGCAATGGCACTCATGCACGCGGACTATTCGTGCTGGAGGAATATACTCTTCTCACCAGACCGCGCGCGCATAGAAGGCGTCATTGACTGGGACGATGCTATCGTCGTTCCGCGCGATCTCGCTGCTCTATACCCCGAAGAACTGACGCATCACACTCGTGGCTGGCGCGTTGATCCGCCGGACGTATTCGCCATCCCGCCGGGGACGCTGTACGAGGATGAGGGTCTATGGGAGACGGCCATCGAGGAGACGAAGCAGAGGCGGATGTTCAGAAAGGCTGTGGGAAGGCGGGACCCTCAGCTGGCAGAACTTTACACGGACCGCCGGGCCAGGCTGAGAAGAAGAGTGGACATTCTTCTTCGTGATGGATGGTATGCTTGGCTGTCGCGCAACGACTGGGTGCTGGGACAGGGCCTCGAGGAGGCACGTGCACTGGCTAGTTGAGGTGGATAATGAATGGGACGGACTATAGAGAATCTGTATCTCTTTTTCGACGAACGGGTTCTGCTGGATCCCGTACAAGAGTTTCCTTACTGTGGGAAATGAAGGAACGGATGTTTTACTACGTGATCAACGTTGCAAACGTTAACCGCATCTCCTGAGCCTGAGCTTCTGAGCACTACTCCGAGTCATCCAGCGCGAAACGTGAAATGCCCCCGTATTCCGGTGATTGTATGAGTTCTTTGTCATGAACGTATGCTCACCGTACATGTTGTCAGCTCCTAAGCCGTCTGAGGCGGCTCTCAACGCGTCGTATAGACAGGGATACACACGACTCTGCCCCGTTGATGTTCCTCGCCTCGTAGATGTGGCGCGTGCCGCCCTTCGACTACACCCATCCACCATACCCGTGACTGGTCTCCGTATACTTGGTGCTGGTGTTTTCAACAAGGTTTTCTTCATGCAATTCGGCTCTATTGCTGTAATTGCCCGAGTCCCATTCAACACACCGGCCCGGGCAGCGCGCGACCCAGTCCGGCTCATATCCCAGATCGCTACGTTGGACTTCCTCAGCATCCACATACCGACTGTCCCTGTACCGAAAGTCCTCGCTGCTTCACCCGATAGCCAGAATCCGCCATGCGCGCCGTATGTCATAGCGGAGTTTTGCAAAGGGACACCCTTGACGATTCAAGAGTGGTATACGGACATGTCGGTGACGAGCCGTGGCAGAGCCATCGACCTGCTTGCCGAAATGTGGGTCAAAATTACTGCTCCAGTACCTTTCAAGACCATCGGCAGCATCATGCGCGGTATGTCGAGAAAGGATGGCGCGGGGGATTCGCCTGTTTTTCGCATCATGCCCATGATTCCGCAATACCCCCAGGAATGGACTGCACTGCTCGATCCATCGACGGAGACACGTCCTGGTCCCAGGAGCATTGCTAATCACTGGGCCGCGCGGATGAAAGAACAATGCGACGATATAATGGCGACATTCCCAGATCAAGACCATTCTGTCCTCATAGTGGACGGGTGTGCCAGAGGCTCTCAACATACGTTGGGGAAACTCTGGCAATGCGTACGAGCCATGCAGGAGCTCACCGACATAGCTGTTTTTCTGGACCCCCTGGCTCATGCGCCCGCGATGGCACTCATGCACGCGGACTATTCGTGCTGGAGGAATATACTCTTCTCAGCAGACCGCACGCGCATAGAAGGCGTCGTTGACTGGGACGATGCTATCGTCATTCCGCGCGATCTCGCAGCTCTATACCCCGAAGAGCTGACGCATGAGGCTGGCAGCTGGCGCGTTGATCCGCCGGACGTATTCGCCATCCCACCGGGGACGCTGTACGAGGATGAGGGCCTATGGGAGACGGCCATCGAGGAGACGAAGCAGAGACGGATGTTCAGAGAGGCTGTGGGAAGGCGGGACCCACAGCTGGCGGGACTTTACACGGATCGCCGGGCAAGGCTGAGAAGAAGAGTGGACATTCTTGTTCGTGATGGATGGTCTGCTTGGCTGGAGCAAGACAAATGGGTGCTGGGACAGGGTCTCGAGGAGGCGCGTGCTTTGGCTAGAAGTGGAGGGTGAATGGGAAGGTCTATAAACGTATCTCTTGCTCGACGATTTGGTTCTGCTGAACCCTGTATATGAGTTTCTTGCCATTACGCACTAGTGGTTCAAGATATGATCGTTATGAAGTTTTGAATGTACTCTTCACTAGGCGGCGTTCTCTGCAAGCGTTGATTTTCCTCTGTTGAACAGTCATACGCCTGTTTTATAACACGCTACATAAGCACCGCGGAAGCGGCTACCGTTACACGTTATCCGCTAGTCCGTGGCCCGATGAAGGCGTCGCGGTGTGGCGCGACCCCTTCATCCACAGACTAGCGGGTAACGGTATGTGTATAATAGTAGTAACGTTCACTTCGAGCCAGCGATTCGGCGAGCTGCGCGAGGAGACGAACGCCAAGATTCCGCCGGCGATGACGGTGAAGCGTTGTTCGCGACGTGTCAGCATTGTGCAGAAATGGTCGAGTGTCTTTGCGTGTTGAAGAGGTAAGTCAAACGGCGCTGAGCAATGTCATGCTCAATGCGCGTGTCCCTGAACACCCTCCATACTCAGGCGTAGAACTCTGCCGTACACTGTCTCATGCCAAAACTATTTGACGCAAACCAGAGGGTATATAAGTATGGTCAAGAAACGACGAAAGCGATTCGTCGTGTCACCCGATCTAACATGCATCCCTGCACGAGGCCTTACTCCACCTTCTACGTACGGCACCGGTGCGTCCAAATCCAAATCCAGACTCAACGTCGATGCCTTGCGAGCATGCGGACTACGGAGGCATGCAACTAAGGAATTAGCCTCTCCGAACATGGAGTTCCTCGATCTCCCTGTCATGTTTCCCAAAAGAAGGTTTCCGCGAGCTGCATCTGATGCATCCTCGCCCGATACCACATACATTCGCGTTCCTGTAAGCCTCAGCAAAGTAGAAGACCGCGGTGTAGTCATGTATTCAAAGTCCAGAAGGCCCGATTGCCAGCAGCGTACACAACAGCGGGTACAGCACTCGGCTCCAGGCGTTTCACAGAGACAGAGATGTCTGTCAGCACCGGTGAGCGAGCCAGAGGTACGCAAGGATCGTCGCTCCTATCTCTTTTGAGGCGATACGATCGGTGGCGACACCTCGGGTGTGTAATGATGATATGCGCGTAGAAGGCGCGTGCGTGGCGTGCGCGAGGTTTGCAGGTCATGCCCGTAGCCCGCCATTGTCCAAGACTGGTTAATTCGGCCACGAAAGTGCGGGACGGACCTCGGAGTCTCGTCAAACACCACCAGCGACGTGAAACCCTGACGTCGTTGCCCGACGGCCAGATTTGGGCCAGATGTTCATACCTCCATCGTCGAGGTGTCCAGCCGAGCTGTCCCGTCTGCGCGAGGAGCCCGGGGACATCATCGCGGCCTTGCTTCCGCAGCGACACGTGCCAATGCTGGTAATCATGTACAGGGACTCGTCATGCTGGCGAGACGTAGTCTTCTTCGCGGACTGCACGCACAGAGGCAGTGTCGTCGTTCCTCACGATCCACTTAGTTGCCCCGGGAAGCTCGTGGGACACGGCGCTTGCCGAGTGGTCGCCCAGCCGCCTAGGATGCTGCTTGAGAGACTAACGGTCTCCTGGAGGAGGAAACCACGGCACTACTGTGCAGGCGGTTGTCGGGTTCAGATAGGCAATACTTAGCGAAGAGTGACTCGCAACCGGTGGTACTGCATATTGGGCGGCGAAAGAGACACCGGAGGAGAGTTTCTTGTTTGAATTTCGTCGGGGCGAGTGAGTGAGGGTTGGCTGAGCGTGTAAATGAGCAGACTAACTAACCGGTCATGTGCACTGCTCAACCCGCGAGACACATTGTGTCGACTTCGTTTGGAGCATGTATTTTTGGTCGCTTCCTCGCAGTTGCTGTCGTACGCTTGCATGCTTCGCAATGACCGAGGAGCGTTGCGGCGAGAAAATCGATGGTCGGCATCTACACGTGTCAATTCAGTTCCTCGTAACTTAGTTGTGCACCCATGCGCACCAATACATAGCGCGTCGACGAATGCGAAGCTGCCGGTGAGTCAAACAAATGAAATACGGCATCATGAACTGTCATCGTGATCCCTGTCAATGTGGTGCCATGCAGACGTGTATTGAAGGACTTCGCCGCTGCGCACGAAGACGCAGCGTGTACGAGGCACGAGTGGGAGCCAGGACCATCTGACACAACGATTCCGTCAGGCAGGACGTAGACATCCATCCCAATTGCGATATGATGGTGCAGGTTCGACGACAGTAATTGAGGCGCTGTAAGCTTGCAGCGCTACGCCCGGCCTCCTCTGGACACTCCGCAGCGGGACATCGGCCGATCATAAAGGGGTGGGGCGGTCGTGGACGAAGGACGCAGCCGTGCGAGAGAAGCGAGATGCAGGACATCTACTCGCCAGCTGTGCGTGAAGTCGGTGTTCTAGGATTGATTCTCACCATTCGACGACCGCCTGCAAGAGACGGGTCAGCTACAGCCTGCCTGAGAGTGGGTGGGAGGTAGCCGTGAAATTGCAGACTCATGTCGCATTGGTCCGCCCGTGCACTCGGGGCACTGCGCGCATGTCGGGATTACGGTGTGCAGACATTCATGTCGCGAGAAAGCGGCAACAAACTTGCGGCGAAAACACACAGACTCGCGCGATTGTACGTGTACTGTGGCGGGTAGGAGGTTGTGGAATGGGAGGGGGCAGCCCTTGGCCCAGTGGACTGAGCCTCGAACGCGTCGCGGAGGTAAAGGCATGGATTAGAAGAATTGAAACTCCGCAGTGGTGGCTTTGGCCGGTTTTTTCGGTGCCGTCTTTATCCAAGTCCGGGCCTGCCTGTCCTCTCCCTCCCCACTCGCCCTACTCCTGTCTCTCCTCCCAGCCATGTCCTCCCACATCAACATCAGCCAGGTCGACCCCACCGCACCCACCCCCCAAAACACCCCCCTCAGCCACGCCCCCATCGCACAGGGCCTCTCCCGCCCGACCGTCCCGGACATCAGCGAGGACAACGAGCCGGAGGAGGAGGAGGAGCTGGGCATCCACCATGCCATGCAGGGCCTCGTCAGCGCGAAGCTCGCCACCCTCATCGGCAAGAGCTCCGGCTACGTCGAGAGCCTCCCGGAGAACGTCCGCAAGAGCGTCGAGGCGCTCAAGGGCGTCCAGGTGAAGCAGGTCGAGCTGCAGAACCAGTACAAGCGCGAGTGCCTCGAGCTTGAGAAAAAGGTGCGCCTTCCCATCGCGCATCCCGCGTCGCGTGCGCTGACCCGCGTGCGTGCAGTACCACGAGATGCAAAAACCGCTGTTCGAGCGTCGATTCAAGATCCTTACCGGAGCCGAGGAGGCCACCATGGAGGAGGTCGAGGCAGGCGAGAAGGAGTGGGCTAAGGAGGACGAGGACTACTCGCCCCTCGGCGCGGAAGCGACCTACCCGTCCGTCGCCATCCCCGAGTTCTGGCTCACCGCGCTCCGCAACCACGTCGGCCTGTCGGAGATCATCACAGATCGCGACGCCGAGGCACTCAAGCACCTCGTCGACATCCACCTCGAGTACCTCCCGACGACGGACCCCAAGCCTGGCTTCAAGCTCATCTTCGTGTTCACGCCGAACGACTTCTTCGAGAACGAGCTGCTCGAGAAGACGTATCTCTACCAGGAGGAGGTCGGCTACACGGGCGATTTCATGTACGATCATGCGATTGGCACGGCGATCAAGTGGAAAGAGGACAAGGACCTCACGAAGGAGTTTGAGATCAAGAAGCAGAGGAACAAGAGTGCGTCGCTCGACCTTGGCTAATGCGCATGCGCGAATGGCTGACGATCACTGATCAGACACGAACCGGACGCGTCTAGTACGGAAGGCGAAGCCGACGGAGTCGTTCTTCAACTTCTTCGCGCCCCCGCAGCCACCGAGCGAGGAGGACGACATTGATGGCGAGGAGCTCGAGGAGATCGAGGAAAAACTGGAGATGGACTACCAGATCGGCGAGGATATCAAGGAGAAGGTCAGTCTGTGCCCGAGATCGAGATCGCCCTGCTCATGTGAAGGTCGCTCATTGCTTCGATTGCGCTAGATCATCCCCCGCGCGATCGACTACTTCACCGGCCGCGCGCTCGAGTTCGAGGACTTCGAGGACGACGATGAGTTTGAGGACATCGAAACCGAGGAAGACGATGAGGACCACTTTGACGACGAGGTACGCGTGCCCGCTGCTCACCGCCCGGGAAGGTCGCCAGACTGAATCAAAGGACTGATGACAGGACTCGGACTCGGACGATGCGTCGCCCGCACAACGGCGGCGCATGCCCGCGAAGGGCGGCGCAGGCGCGAACCAGAACGTGAATCCGGAGGAATGCAAGCAGCAGTGATCCTGCGCGCGTCGTCGGTGGAATGGAGCTCTCATGTTCTCGGTGTCTCCCTTGCCTCGTCATTGTCGGTTGTCGGTTGTCGGCTGTTGGAAGGTATGCAATCTGGTAGGTCATCAATCGTGTTACTGTTGTTGTTCAATCATACATACGTGCGCCTGCGAAAACGTAATTTTGTCATGTTTGTATTCATTATTCACGCGCTCCCTCATTCCAATCCCGTGTTCTCATCCTGTCTGCGTATGTTGCGCCTTGGTGTGTCTCAATGAAAGAGGATTCAGAGTCTCATCAGGCGCATCGTGCGCCCTCTCATTCTCATAGATGCGAAGCATCATGCATCATGGGAGGATGTCGTCCATTACAAGAGCTGAATGTGTTTCGGGACCATGGGGCGAGCAGAACTTGAAGAGATTGGATGTCTATTTCGAGACAGGTCCGAGACACGACCCTGAGTTCGCAGCGACTGCTGATCGCAACTACTTGGGTGGGCATGCCTCAATTATTGCTTGCTACTTGTAGTACTTGCATCGCATCATATATGCCTGTCTGCACGGTAGTGTCGTCAAATGCAAGTAGGTGGACTTCACCGCTCGGTTGGGAGGTGGCGCGCCGTTGCGATCGGGGGCAGCCGAGGATGTGACTGGACGCGTGGGTCACGTCACGCGTTGATACCGCAATCGGCGCGGCGGCGGGACGCGCCTCGACTCGAAGCAGCTCTCACAGGCGCCTGGCCCCTCCGCCTACTTCAGGTCGACATGGCCTATTCCTCTCTCGCCAACTGGGACGGCAGGGCCTCTTCGTCCCGACACTCATCGCCCTCCCCACACACTTCCGCGGACGACAGCAACCCCTCGCTGGCGGCGCAGGCAGCGCAGAGCGGGCCCAGTACCAGTGCAGTTTCTGCGGAGCGTGTGTCCAAGTTGCGGCCTGGTGAAGATCGTACAAGTTCGTTCGACATGCCGCCATCGCCAACGACCAACGAAGAGCGGGCTGTACCCGTGTCTGGGAGTCCTGAGCGTGCTGTCGACAAAATGCTGTTTCTGCCAGAGTCAGCCTCGGAGCCGGAGCCAGTTCAGGCGGGGATCGCGGTGCGTGCTGGGTTGCTTCTTGTGTGCCACGGTGGGCGCGCAGCTGACTTCTTCTTCCGTTTAGCTTCCTGCACAGGAGGTCGATACGCGCGTAGCTGGCAGTGAGGTCACGGATCATTTGGTGCAGACGGCGGTGCGTGGTTCTTTTCATTCTGTTGTGCACAGGATGTTCATGGGTCGACGTGCGGATGTTAGGTGAAGTCAAGACCTTCGACTCCTCCAACTGCACAGTCCTCAACCCCTCTGCTTGATATGCAAGTACCTTCCGAGCCTTCCTCGAAGGGTTCAACTGCGGTTGATCCCGAACCTTTGCAATCAACACTCGAAGTGCCATTGTCGGCGATACCTTCTGATGTGAATTCAGTGCGTATGCATTGTACAGACTACTTTGTGGAAGCTTATGCATTGCAACGTCAACAGAATACTACTGCATTGTCAAATTCGAAAACAAATTCAGCTTCATCTACTGCGCCTCCTGCTGGCTCTCTTGTGGTGTCTACAGACGCGCCTTCTGGATCCTCGAAGTACATCGATGCTACGCGTACGGAAAGTTCACCTGGGATTCACGACTCTACTCCTGCGCAAGATGCAGACGTTGAGATGGCTGATATCACTACCGATGCGCCTGATCGACAGTCTCAAGACATGCCTTCCGACTCAGGATCGAGCAGGTCGCGTCGCCGCGCCGTCCCACGGATCGCAGCGGCAGCAGTGCTCAATGCACTTGCTTCGCCACAAGCAGGCCCGTCTTCAGACCAGCTAGGCGTACGATCGTCCGGCCCACCTCCTCGTCTAGGGAATCTTGGACCATCCGAATCGTTCACATCGTTCACGAGCTTCACACGGTTGGCATCTAGGGGCAGCAGCACTAGCAGTCATGGTATCAAGAGGACCTTCTTCGTGCGTGCGCTGAAAATGTTGGTTATATGCGTATTGACCTTTCGTTAGGAATCGCCAAGTCCTGGCTCGACTAGCCGTGACTCGACAGCTCCGCCGCCTAGAAAGCAGCAGAAGCAAAGGCATGCATACGAGGCCGAAGCCGGCCCATCCACGTTATACCGTTCTATCTCCCCCCCACCTTTCCAAACTCGATCAACACATCGCTCGTTGCATGGTGGAACGAAGAACCGGCAACTTTGTTACGTTAATGTGCCTCCTTTCCCACAGGGCGTCTCGCGCGAGGAGTATTTCCCCATGGAGTTGTACGTGCCCATAGAGGTGAACGGGGGGAAGACCCCCAAGCGTAAGGCCAAGGAGCGCGCGGAACAAACGATCAAGGTAGTCGCGAGCCTCGACCTCGCGGCGGAACTTCAGCTCCAGGCCGGCCCGCCTCCACCAGACTCATCGAAGCGGAAGAGACCGATGAAGAAGGATACGTCCGTCGCGCGCAATAGTAGTGAAGTGCGCACAGCTCAGCCTCCACCCCAACCGCGTAAACGGGCAGACCCCAAAGGCAAGGAAAAGGCGGTATCACGAATGAGCGAGTTGCGTGCGACGACGCAGCTACCCGAACCACCAAACTCCGTCCGGTACCCGTCGCTCCCGGCCACCCCACCGCCTCCCGACCCTTATCACGACAAATATGCCAACTTCGCCCCGCCGAACGCGAACACCGCAATTGTTCCCGCGGATGGCTTCGCTCCGCTGGAGATAGCAGGCGTCGAGGTCGACTACCCGGACGAGCTACCGCTGACCTCTCTGCTGCTGTGCGCTTCGCTGAGGCACATCGCCCCTGGGCGCAGCGCGGATTGGTGGCGTAGGCGGGCGCGAGAAGAGGAGGAGGTGATGAAGCTGTGGAGGGAGCAGGTAGAGAGGGAGAAGCAGAAGCTGATGACACCGTTCGGGCCCGGCCCTCAAATTGGTTGGGCGTCCTCTTCTGCGTCTGCGTCCGCGTCGACGTCGAAGAAAGTGAAAGCCGAGCCTTCGACTTCGAAGGCGAACATGAACGCATCGGCTTCGTCAGCCCGCCGGAAACGGGAGGCAAAGGGCAAGGCTGCATTGCGCAAACAAGCGGGCGCGAGCGCGAGCGGGGGGGTCCCTCCGCCGCAGCCATCGCTACCTCCACCATCACTACCCCCACAGTCAGTCCGTTCCCCGCCTCCCTACTATGGACCATCGTATGACGTGCCAATAGTGATGGGATATCCTCCCCCGCTCCTGCCCCCGCCTCCGCCCGCTCCTCCAGGATACGTCGGCCTTCCGCACGCGCACGCGCTTCCGCCGTCGATGCTACAGAATAACCTCGCCGACCCGCTTTCCTTGAGCGCGCCAATGCGTGTCCAGATCCAGCGGCGAGAGTCGGTCGCGCCGCGGGAAGAGGGGCGGGACTTGGAGGCGTTTTTTATTTCGTTTGATGAGCATGCGCGCGGACGGGAGCAGAGGCAGGGGGGTAAGCAGGGAGGCGCGGCGATGGGACTGCCCTTTGGTGGGCCTGAAGAAGAAAGCGGGCCGATGGAGCTGTCCTTTCGAGAGGATGGAGAAGCAAGCGGAAGCGGTGAGATAGACTCGCTCTCCCGCGAGCGTGAGCGGGGAGATGCGTCGACTGGCACGACTTTTGAAACACGTGAAGCGGCAAACGGAATGATTGCCATGCCCTTCGGAGGGCCTGAGCGAGGAGACGCGGAGGTCGGCATATCGTTCGCAGAACAAGCAGCGGGGACAGTCGGTATGCAGTTTCTGGAGCTCGGGGATGGGACGATCGACCCAACGCTACTCGGGGCACCCCTTCCACTACCTGAGCCTGAGCCCGAGCGATCTCGGTCTCCGTCCGAGCGTCAGTCGTCTACGCTCGAGCGTACGCGGTCGCCCTCCGAGCCGGTACAGGAAGGTACGAACGGACCGAGCAGCGACGAACAGACTCTCGCTGCTACGGAAGACCCCCGCGACTCCGACTATGAAGAGAAACCCAGTAAGGGAAAGGGCAAAGGCAAGGGGAAGGCGACGGCGATTGGCAAAGTCAAGATAGCGGAAGTCGATGATGGGGAGTACGAGGTGCCGGTGGAGGTTACGTTCTGCCACCACTGCCGACGGACTACGCCCATACCAAAGATGCGCTGCACGCTTCTCAAACACGATGGGGAGCCATGCGGGAAGAGGTTCTGTATAAACTGTATCGTGAAGAAGTCAGTGTCGGTCTTGCTTCCGTCCTCTCTGAAGTTGTACTCACTTCGAATTCCGGCCCTCCGTTTGGGCCATACGCTTGACAGGTATCCGAAAATTCAGTTCAATGATTACGCCACGATGTTCCGGTGCCCCTATTGCGAGCAGACTTGCACTTGCACGGCGTGCTGCCAGAAGCGCGGTGAGACCTACGTGCCAATGCCACGCTATCAGATCGACTACGAGACCCTCGAGCCTATCATTAGAGGCAAGCCGAAGGCTACACCGAAGGCAGCCAAGTCCAAACGAGAGCCACGACGTACGTCCTGATTGTTTAGCCAGTGGCAAGGGCATACGTTGACATCTTCCTCTGTATAGCGTCAACCACCAGCGCTCGACCGCGGCGCAAGTCTCCCTCACCACAGCCTCTGCCGGAGAACCACGCAGACCAGCTGACGAGCGGGTTGTTCTGGGGATCTGTATATGGCATCGACGGCGCGCGATTGGGCGGGGCGTACATCAATGCGGACAAGCAGGCTGTCGTTTTGAAGCCGCTCGCCGCACTTGCGGCGGTGCCTCCGCGGGCGCCGAAGCGGCGGGTCTTTATTGGGAAGCCTGATCCCAGCTGGGGTGCCGGGACCCAGGGCAAGGACGTCGAAGCGGGATATGAACCTGTCCCGCCCTGGAGGCGCGCGTATATTGGCAAGCGGAGGATACTTGCGGGAGGTTGGTCATCTGAGTCTGATTCGGAGGATGTGGACGAAAAGTTCGGGAGCGACCCCTTCGACGGCCCGTTGTCGCCAGTGCCGGACGAGGCGGATGAGGATGTGATGGACGCCCCGCCGGAGATGCCCCCGGCCCACGAATTGTCCTTCGTGATTGCGAAGGCCCTGTTCAACACCTCCCCCTCCCCTTGGGGCAACAACGAGGTATAGTACGTGTGGGGAGTGCTTAGACTCGTGTGACAGTCGTCGTTCATCTTCATCTATATGTATCTCATTTCTTGGATTGTTCTTGTTCCTTCATTAGCACTAGGATCGCATAGTAATTTCCGGCAACAATAGTTGAATTGGATTCTTTCATTGAGCAATAGGGCACGCTGACACGACGGTGACATGTACGTGAGCGTATATGCATGGCAGTGAACGGCGAAGGATACTAGCAAAAGCAAACATGTTGCATGATCATGAACCACTCTGATCGCAGGTATCATCGGTAGCTTGCGATACGACTTACTGTGTCTTTCACTTTGCTTTCACTTCATGATTATATGATCCACAGAGCAGGCGACATTATCGGTGCGTGGCCCTGACCCAGGCACTAGGAACGATGTTTGCCCACTCATCTGCCACGTCCCTCCTATCTCTCCTCCTCCCACCACCTTCCCCGATGACTCCCCCGCCCACCAGCAGCACCAGCAGTTCGCTCTCCCCGCAAGACGCCCTCGGCCTGCGCACCGCCCTCGCCGCCGCGCGCAAGTCGTACGCCGAGGGCGGCGTGCCCATCGGTGCGTCGCTCGTGCTCCCGCACCCACCGGGTGAGCCGAGCGGTGCGCCCGTCGTGCTCGGCCAGGGCCATAACTCACGCGTGCAGCTCGACTCCCCCATTTTGCATGGAGAGACGGCGGCGCTGCTCGACGCGGGGCGGTTAAAGGCAGAGGTATATCGCCAGGCGACGATGGTGCGTCTACGTTCCCGCATATCGACCTCTTCATTTCCTTTACTGGTTCGCTTGGGCCGATACTCAATAATTCAACACACTACAGTATACGACGCTCTCGCCTTGTTCAATGTGCTCCGGTGCGATCCTGTTGTACAAGATCCCTCGGCTCGTAATCGGTGAGCACCACAACTTCGTCGGAGACGAGGAGCTCCTCCGGTCGCGCGGCGTCGACGTCGTCGTGCTGGACGACCCGGAGTGCATCGACCTTATGGAGAGGTTCATCAGGGAGAAGCCGGAGGTGCGTTGATCTCATCTGAAGTGTAGCCCGTTTTTGTCACCGCGGCGGAGGAGAACTATTGGTGGTATTGTGAGCCATCATGAACTGACTTTTGGTACCAGGAGTGGTATGAGGACATTGGGGAAGTCCCGCCGGCGCAACAGTAGGAAGACGGGGCCGTGGTTTGTGATGCATATATGCACACCGAACGCTCGGTTCATGCGCCATGGCCCGAGCTCACAACAAAACTCAAGACTCATTGCATGACGGAAGACGAGGAGGATTCATACAAACGCGCTTTAAACCCGGAAGAGCGCACAGACGACAATGCGACTGACGAAGATAACGACAATGTATGCGAGGTCCGGATAGAGCCAGACGAGGTGCCGGGAACACCCAATCGGACGTTTGTGATGTGTACCGACTTCGCGTGCTTTGGGGCCCTTTGAACCCGCCATATATGCGTATCGCTTGGTTCATCGCCATCTACCAATCAGTCGTATCGAAGACTACATATACGAGTACTCTCGTATTCGCCCTCTTGTTCATACATGCTACCGCGCTCAGGTTTGCTTTCCGAAGACAATTACTCCGTCCGTCCGTTTCCCCCCACTCATTGCTGCCATACTTGCCTCTCCTCGGCTCTTGCCTCCAAAACCTTCACGATCTCCTCAAAGCTGTCCACCACCATATCGACCTCTCCACCCTCCGTTTTCGCGCGCACGTCAGGCGGCGAGTCCGCTTCGCGCGGGCGGCGCACGAAGACGGTGCGCAGCCCATGCGACGCGGCTGCGCGGAGGTCGTAGATGTGCGCGGCGACCATGCAGAGCTGCGGCGGCGAGGTGAGCGAGAGGTGGTGCAGCGCGCCGAGGTACGTTTTCGGATTTCTGGAGCGCGGGCGGATGAGGTGTGTCAGCGGGTGCGGGAAGGGCAGGAGAGGGACGTACGGCTTGTAAGAGCCGAGGAGCTCGGAGGAGAGGACGACGTCCCATGGGAGGTCAGCGAACTTCGCCTGCACGTCCGTCCGTCGATCGGTGAGCCATTCCGCATCCGTCAGCCCACAAGGCCCGAGTGCGCACCATGTCGACCAGAGTCCGCACGCTCCCGTTCGAGAGCGTCCCGATGATGGCGTGTTTCTTGATGCCGTGCAGCCCCGCGGACGTGTCCGGCCACCCCGGCAGGCGGTGCCAGAAGAGGACGAGCTCGTGCCGCGCGATGTCGTCGAGGTGGGGCGCAAGATGTGACCACTGGCGGTCGGTCGCGAGCATATCGTCGAGGATCTGCGAGGCAATCCAGTGAGATGCGATGGGAGGATCGTGGCGGAGGCTGAGTGCGCACCTCCCTGTGAAGCTGATCGACGTTGAGGGGGCCTGAGCCGCCGGACGCGACGGAGGCACTACGGATGTGTGAGTAGGGTGGGCAGTAGGAGCGTGATCGCGATTGCTGGTACGCTCACGTCTTCTTGTAGTACCCCTTCCTCCACTGCTCCGCGAACACGTCCCAGTCTGGGGCGCCCCGTTTGTTGCTCTTCGCGGTGGAATGGGAGTGGATGCGACTGACCTTGGTCGGGTGCGACGGCACCGAGCTTTGCTTCGAGCTGGTCGTACATGCCCTTGCGCCAGTTTACGACCGTGCCGAACACGTCGAACACGAAGGCTTGTACGCCTTCGAGCGGGTTCTGAGTCTCTGACGACATACCAGAGCTTGCTGTTGAGCCGAGTGTGAGTGCGCGTGTCCGCTATCGAGTGTCAAGACTATCACAGGGTATATATAGCGCGGCACCTATGACTCTGAGGTATTGGTGACACAGCCGGACGAAGCCGGAGGGTGGGGAGATCGACTCGGACTGTTGTGACTATCGTGATAAATGGACAGCTGGTGGTCATGCGTCCTGACTAGAACTCCTCGCTGCAGCACGCGCGAGCACGTCAGCTTATATCATCGAGGAACGCGTTCGATGGGTTAAACATGTGCGAATCATTCAATAACTTAAAGGGCCTGCAGGTTGGAGACATTAATATTGCGGCAGCATGTCCATTGATTTGTCCGTGTTCTGTGCAGCATGGTAGTGCTGCCATAAGCTGGGTATTCCCATCTTGACAGTGCTGAGAGCCTCACATACCAACTCGTCATTAGTCTATGTCATATGGATACAGTAGTTTCCGTCCCGTGGGGGTCTAAGCAATCTATGGTGGATTGAATGTCTCGCAGACTACGCGCCTTCAAGGACCAGTCAGTACTGAATAATGCACAGAACTCACATCTTACGAACCTGCTCTAGGCAACGAGTCTACGGGCGCCGCACCCCTCTCCTCGTCTACGATCGCCTGCTTCTCGCTCTTCGCTGTCGCCCCTCTCGTTTCCTTGCTATCCGACGTCTCCTCGACGTCTGCGCTCCCAAGCTCATTAGCTGCCACAGCCGCCTCCGCGTCTGCTTCACGCTGCCTCTCCCGCTCCGCCAGCTTGCTCTTCCGCGCCTCGATCCCGCCCTCGTATCCGAACCACGTGTACCTCTTGACGTGCGGGCCGCGGAGGAGCATCATGAACAGCATGAAGCCCGTCCACGCAAGGGAGAGCGCCGCTGCGGGACGCCACCCGTACTTCACGAACACCTGTGTGCCGACAGACGTACCCATCACCTGGCCCATGAACAGCTGCACACCGGCGTCAGCCACGCATCCACCGCGCGTATATGCGCTGCGAACGCACCGAGAGAAGAAGAACCGCGTTCAGGCGCGAGCGCGCGGAGGCGTCGAGCCCGAAGACGGAGCTCGTCAGCGAGACCTGGACCATCTGCCGGAAGACGTCGAGCCCGATGCAGACGAACACGACCGCGGCGATGTTGATCCCGTCGGCGCCCACGCCGATTGACTGGAAGACGAGCAGCCAGAGGATCGCGACCACGCCTGCGAACCAGGGGACCAGCCCGTCGATGACGCGCCCAACCAAGGGGGCCATCGCTACGCCGAACATGCCGACGAGGCCGAAGAGGCCAATGACCAGCCTGCCAGAAGGGATGAGCGGGAGGTGGGAGTAGCAGAATGAACGAGAGACTTACGTTGAGTAGTAGTATGGCGGGCCACCGAGCAGGAAGGTGAGTGTTACCTATACGCCGGCTGAGCACACGATCGAGCGCGGAACAGCGAGCACACGCACCCAAAAGTTCGAGAAGCACGCGCTCGAGGCCAAGTTGATGAGCGCCGCCTGGATGAGCTGCGGCTCCGTGACGCTGAACTTCGCCATGCTGTACAGGATACCGAAGTACGTCGCACCCGCGTTCTTCGCCGGGTAGTCAGGCAACATCAAGTAGAGCAAGCCCCACACGGCGTACTGCACACCGATGGCCATGTAATACACCACCCGCCACGACGCGAACTGCGCGATGATGCCAGCAAGGACTCGCGCGATGAGCACTCCGAGAAGGAGGCCGGCGAGGACGATGGAGAGCGCGGAGGCGCGGCGTTCTGGAGGGGCGAGGTCTGCGGCGAGCGGCATGAGGATCTGCGGGACGACGCTAACCATGCCGATGATGAAGCAGATCGCTTCGAAGGCGGCCAGGCTGTTCGTGACGGCGAGGCCGATGGTGAGGGAGGCGGAAATGAACACCAAGAGTAGGAGAAGCCCTCGGCGGCGGACGAGGTCGCCCAAGGTGGAGATGAATACGATGCCGGTTGCATATCTGGATATTGAGGCATTTGTGAGTTACTGGTCAATAGCTCCTAGATACGGGTGATACTGGATTTCTGTGAAATGAACTCACCCTGCCTGTATCAACGTTGGAATGTTTGAGACTTCGTCATACGTGACACCGAACGACTTTGAGTATTCGATCAAAAGCGGTTGGCAATAATACAAGTTTGCGACGACTGTTACAACGCAGTCAGTTCAACCCTGTTCAACCGCGGAGTTCCACTCGAGTGATACCAATTGGTGAGTCGTGACTTACTGAATGTGCTTGCTATTCCAAACGTCGCATTCAGCAGGAGGCCAAAATGGACCGGTCGTTCTGGGTCGTAACGCAATCTTCTGGGAATTGGAATGAAACCGAGGTCCTTCGTGATGGGAGTGAATGAGTCTTCCGCCTTCGGAACAGAGGCAGCGTCCCCTACGGCGAGAGTCTCTCCGCTGGTACGCGACGACTGGCCTGCTTGAACGCGCTTTTCGTCGGCCATGGTCGTCGCTGGGCACTGGGAGACGCCTTCGGATAGCGAGCAGGGTGCTCGACGGCCGCCATGATGAGAGTTTTATAGTCCAGAGCGCCGCCGGACCTCGTCGGCGGGCCGTGTGGGTATGGTGCAATCCATACAAACTTATATATAGTCGATAGTTGACCTTCTAATGCGTATGTTACCCATCAGTAAGCCGTGGCGGCTAGTGAGTGCTATGATGGCCATGATTGGCTGCTACGCCGGCGCCTCTGCCGTCGTCCGCTACCACCACTACCGCAGACTTGTGCGATATGTCCCAGCCAGAGACATTGACTCTTGCCTCCATTTGGGCCCTGTTCAATCTCAGGAGCCTGTATACCGTCGGTTATGCTTGGCTTCTGGGCATGTGTGCGTGTTTCAGATCACCGCCACGTCGTTGAAATGGTCTTGACCACAATCGCACGCTAGCAATCTGGGTTACGTTCTTTGCGGGTACGTGTTCTGCAATGTGTCGAGTGCTGAGGTGAACTTTGGTACCATAGGCCCCATTGCCTACAGAGCCTTGCGTACGTGTCTCTCGCGATATCTAAGCCGCCATGGGACTGAGGGCCGTTCTCAGCCAGACACCAGTTTGGTGCCCTCCAGCATCGTGTCTTCCCCATCTACTTCGTTCAAAGCATTGTCGCGTCCGCCGTGCTCCTCGTCCTCTGGGTACGCGCCCATCCGGCTGTGTCGGCGCACCTCTCCCCGGCTGTCGCGGATGTAGCGCAGACGTACACACTGTCGTCCGTTCTTGTCATGCAGTCGGCGAACCATTTTGTCGCGGGACCATTGACGAGCAAGTACGTGCACCACAGTCATCCATGCACATTCCTCTTATTTACGTCTGCATCGCAGAATCATGTTTGACAGGCACAAGCTAGAGAAAGCCGAGGGAAAGTCCTACAACGAGGAAGGCGTACGTACTTATGCCGGCTATACCTCCAGCATGGGCGTTGACGATGACGCCATGCCGACAGGTGTCCGACGCCATGAAGGCACTCAACAGCAAGTTCAGCACGCTGCACGGGGTTAGCTCGCTGCTTAACCTCTTTGCTGTTATCGCTCTCCTCTTCCACGGTCTCTGGATCAGCAATGCTGGTACTGGTCTTTAGACCACGTGGAATTGTGACAGCTGTAAGTACGTCGCTTCCTTGCCATATACGTTCTTAGCGCGCTGGCAGACGTCCGTATTGTAGCACTGGAACGTGCGTGCACATATATACAGTGTGATGCACCACATGTGTGTAGTTCCCAATCGAGCAGCATCTGCATAACTGGATATGACTGTACCCATGCACGACAGCCGACTGCTCGAAACCCGAAATTTCGTTGACGCAAATATCCTGAACATCCACTAGCAACACGGAACCTTCCTAATCCTCCGCTCAAGCCGTGGTCTCCACCGCCCGCGTAGTCGCCTCCTTCCGCATATCTCTGGGGTCAAGCTGACGTTGGGCGCGGAGTCAACGAGTTGTGACTGCACACCCGATCTGTCATGCTCAGAGGATTGTCGGATGACGAGGTAAGCATATTGTTTTGAGTATTCAGTCGTAGCAACTGCCCGTGTGCCGAGACGCTAAGGACAGCGCTAACAACACCTGTGAATGTAGTCTCTCCGAGCTCGCGCACGCAGGTGTTTCGCACATCCAGTGTAGGCGTTTTCATGAACTGACTGACGTACTCCTGCATGTTTCAGCACGGACACATGACCATCAGGTCGACTGACCATTCGCCGCACCAGACACGGCAGTCCGAGTTCGAGTCAACCTCCCCATTCTCCGGTTTCGCCCGGTTGTGCCGCCAGTACCGCATGGGTGCCGCGCTGTATATAAACCCTGATAGTCCAGGCATTCGATAGCAGACATTCAACGGACCAGATTGTGCTCAGCATCGAACGCTGGTATGTCGGCAGAGTCTCCGAATCCGCTCGAGGGCGTGCAGGCCTTTGTATTCGACGTGTTCGGCACGGTCGTCAACTTGCGCAAGGGCATGTACGATCAGCTCGAGGCAAAGCTCGGTGCCGTCGCACCTGACCAAGGTCAGTCGCGTCCCCTTCTTCCTCGCAAAGCGGATGAGAGCGAACACACCGGACACCCCAGACTGGGACGAGTTCGCGGAGCAATGGAGGGACGGGGACTACCAGAGGACGTAAGCGCAACATCTTCATGCTCCCATTATTGCCCATCCTTCTCACGGACCCGTAACGGTAGTGCCTCCGTCGCATCTGGCGGCCCAGGCCCCCTCAACCTCGATCAGCTTCACAAAGAGGTACGTGCTCACTGGCCTCCGTCATCACCCTCCCTTCGTAACTTACTGAATGGCCTCGCAGATCCTCGACGATATGCTCGCGACCGACCGCTGGTCGCATCTCGCGCCGCACCTCGACGACACCGCGCGACACGAGCTCGTGCTCTTCTGGAACCGCCTACCGGGGTGGCCGGACACGTCCGCGGGGCTGCACGGCATGAAGAAACACGCCATCATCGGGACGCTCTCGAACGGGAGCGTGCGGGGTCTGGTCGACATGGTGCGCACCCCGGCACGGTGGACTAATGGAGGGACACCGGCTCACCGATCGACGCATGGACGTGCAGGCGAAATTCGCTGACCTCCCATGGGACGTCGTCCTCTCCCCCGAGCTCCTCGGCTCCTACAAGCCGTACGTCCCTCTCCTGCCCCTCCCACACCTGCTGACGCGCGCCCCAGCAACCCCAAGATGTACCTCGGCGCGCTGCACCACCTCGCGATCACGTCGCCCTCGCAGCTCTGCTTGGTCGCCGCGCACATCTACGACCTCCGCGCGGCGGCGTCGCACGGGCTGCGCACCGTCTTCGTGCGCCGTCCGCGCGAGCCAGATTCCCCGCCTGACGTGCGCACGAAGAGAGAGGGAGGCGAGGTTGATCTGGTGGTGGACAGCTTTGAGGAGATCGTGAAGGTTTTGGAGGCGAGAGCCGAGGAGAGGCAGGTATGGCAGCAATGACTCTGAGTGGGGGACACAGACAGAGTAAGTGTCTTCGGAAAGCAGAGCCTATGCGCGATGTCATGTATGTATGAGTAGGACAACGGATGTTATTTCAGAGTTGCGACTGTCTTAGGGCCTAGTAGTGCCCATCACGAACGTTGCAGTAACGGTGTCATGATGCATCGGTGCTTAAGATGGGCAACTCAATGAAGAGTGCGGGTCCGTGCTGCGCTCATGCACCGCTCAGTGCTGCCACCGCAAAAGGGATGTGAACCGAGATCGACCCACCTCGGAAGTTATTCATGCAACTTGAAACGGCCGTGTCTTCTACATCCAACAAAACAAGACAGTAGTTACGCTGAACGGGAGTCGGACCCATGCCGCTGCCCGACATCGTCGCCATGCGCTATCCGCTGTGCCTCTTGCAAGCGGGAATTCCGCGCATTGACCGCACTGAGGTAGGTGTCTATGACGGACAACATCAGCGCTACAATCTAAGCCGAGACAGAACACATATAATGCATACTCCAGAAGGGCGAGATCGTCGTGACCACGAAGAATCGGTATTGCACCGGGACGAGGGAGAAGCTGAGTGCCTGCGCGGGGACGAAGATCGAGCTGTGAAGACACCGGTTTCAGTTGGGGGCTATGCGACGCGAGAAGCGTTCAGATTCAAGCGCTCACCAGCTCCGAACCACTGCTGGCGGATACGCCTAGTGCGCAGAACGCGTCAGAACGCGTCGATAGATGGAATGTGCTGAGTTGGAAGCGTACCGTCCGTAGTCGTTCCTTCGCGTCCGCTGCTGTCTTCCCTTCCATGAATGTCATCGTCGTGAAATACGTCGCGATAATTGCTGGGGGCACGAAGATTAGCACGAGGGTCAAGTGACGTCTAGAATGCGAGCTCACTTGGTGCGTAGACGAACTGGTCAAGGAACACCTTACATATGATCTCCCTGAACCTAGACGAGAACTTGAGGCTGTTGAGCCATTTCAACCACGTCGTATATGTCGGACCAAAGATGGTCGCTGGCTTAGAGTCATTCCCCAGGGGTCTTTGAGATCAACGCGCCGTGCTCACCGCCATAGAGAGCGCCGCGGCCAGTCCGCACTAGCTAGACACGGGAAGCGCACTCAGTAAAGCGGAAAGGGGTGTGTAGTCGATGAAGCGCAAGGCTTACGTCGTGCTGCAGACCCTTTGTCTCAACGAGTTGCTGTGCCATTATATCACCGAGCGCAAACATCGACATTGAAGTCGCAGACCGGGTCAGCATGGGCCTGGTCACCAGTGCTTGACTGGGCACGAAACATCGACCTGTAAGCGAGACGTTCGAAGATGGAACCAAGTTGTCAATCCACTCACTTGAACGCGGCAAGAAGGGAGGCCATTTGGTACGCTCAATGACCTAATGCGAAGTGGATGTAGTCAGGGCTGATGATCTTCAAGCTTCAAGACCTGCCACGCTCGCGTTCAAGGATAGGCGAGGCGAATGCGGTACTAGCCCGACAAGTTGGATGGGTGGGAATCAAGAGAAGAATAGCCCGAAGGGCGGTGCGAGTCACATCTTTAGCGGGGGTGGGGGTTTTGGGCCCGCGAATGGACAAAGGTCTTGCAGGACGTGCGTGAGAGCGTCTGTCGCTCGGTGGTCGTCCCCATATGGCAGGCACGCGTCGCGACGCGTTTGTCATGTGACTCACGCGATCATAGCCAATCACGTTCGCCGGCAACATCCTCTTCCTCGTCTCTGGCAGTCGGGGAATGGATCCAAGGCAAGAGTCATGACATAACGTGGTTGCATACAGCGCAGCTGCAGCAGACGGCGTGACAGTAAAGCTACAGAGTAACGACGAGAGCAGAGTCCAGACAATGACACTATGAGACAGCACAACGAGTCCTATGCTACAGTCAGTAAATCAACGAGTGATGATACAGTATCTTCAACCCTCAAACCAGCAAGAAAAAACCCAAGACGTAAAGTGCAAAGCCAAGCAGTAACCTCACTCCTTCACTGCGGTGATCTTCATATCCCGCTCGCGGCGGAGGTGCTCGATCGTGACGTCCACCCTCTCCGAGTGGCCCACGCCCGCCGTATCCTCGCACCCGCCGCCGCCAAACACCACGCGCGCGTCAACGACAAACCTACGCACGTCGCGGCCCCTAAACAGGTGCATCGGCACGGGCACCCAGAAGCGCAGCGCCCATGCGCCGCCAGCGCCCGCACCGGGCCAGTCTGGCTGCAGGAAGGTCCACACCGGCTGCGTGTAGATGCCCCTGGTGGGCTTCATCTGCGCGAGAATCTGCGTGCCAGGAAGCGCCGCGCCCTCGTAATGCGCCGCGTACTCAGGCTCGCTGTCGCTCCGGAGGGTGCGCGCGCGCGTGTCGATCGTGCGCCACTCGAGGTCGATGTCGAGCATGGGTAAGCGCGGCGGTATACCGGTGTAGGGCTTCGCGTCGGTGACGACAAGAAGGCCTTGCCAAGCATAGGTGTCCCTGCGGATGATGGTCAGCGGGAACGACGAGAGGTGGAGAGGGTGACGCACTCGAAGTCGACGTCCCACATCGTGCTGTGTTTGTTCATAGGCTTTACGATCACGTCGAAGCGCTCGTGGGCCTCCCAGCGCGCAAACGGCGGGACCGACGGAGCTCGCTCGCCGAGCCACGCCCGCGAGTCCTCTTCCTCGTCAGAGAACACATCCGGGATCTCCTCGAGGTCGTCCATGACGATACGTCCTCTCGGGGAGCGCCTCAGTGCCTCGGCCTCAGCAGCGACGTCCGGGTCCGCGACCACGTCCCGGACGACCTTCTGGACGATCTCTTCATCCTCGTCGTCGAGGAGCTCGCGGTGCGCCTCCTTCGCCCGCCTGATCTCGCTGAGCGCGGCGTCCACCTGAGCCTCGTACACCTCGACAGACACAGACGTCTTACAGAGCCGATCGAGGTGATCATAGTCCTTCTCCACGAGCAGGTCACGGCGCGACTTCGTGCGCTTCAGACTCTTCCCTAGCTTGTTGGCGGCGACGGGTGGTGACTGGTCCCGGGCGACAGAGAGCCGCGTCTTGTCCATGCCAGTACGCACCCGAGCCACAGGGATCGACGCAATGTCGGACGGGAAACTCAGCGTGTTGGCCTCGTCATCGCCGGCCTTGTTGTGGTATGTAGTGCGCCGCAGCGCACTCGCTGTCCTCGCGATGTTTGCAAGCGCGCTCGCGCGATCGGGGCGAGACAGAGTGGCGCGGGGTGGCTCGCTCAACGACTTGACTAGCGGGGGCGCTGGTACGGTAGGACTCGCCTTCAGACTTAGGCTTGCCCTCGGGATGGCCAATGTTTCAGCCTTGAGCTTGATCGTGCGGACGCTCTCTTGACTGTTCGTCCGCGTCCGAGGTAAAACGGTCCGCACTGAGCTGCCAGAGTCGCAGCGCTGGCGGATGTGCGCCTGCCTCACATCGCCGGACGTCTCGTTCTCGTCCAGCGCAACCTCGGAGTGCTCGCGCTTCTTCCGGATCGGTATGCGTGTTTGGAACGACGCATCGCTAGGTGGCGAAGGGATGACACGCGGCTTGGGCGCGAGTATAGTGCGCAGCTTCCCGCTGAGAGCTGGGCCTGTGCTTGCCAGAGCTCTGGGCCGCGCGGGCGCGTTCGAGGGGACGATCTGCGCAGTGGCAGTGAGAGTAGCCATGGTAGTCCTGCTGGGTATTGAAGGGTATGTGTAATTGTACGTGAAGGGGTAATGTCGTAGTGCGAGAAGCAGGTCTGGTGGTTAAGGAGAGTGGTTTGCGCCTCGGAGGAGAGTAGGGCTACACAGAGTCGTCGCGATGAACGTAGATCTCGCACCAGCGAGAGCAATACAGTGAGTCGTTCGTTACCAGCACAGCCGGATAGGATGCGTCGAGCAGACACCTCCGTCGAGGGCTATATAGCTGACGGTAGTCGCGTCTGCGGACGGCGGAAGCAGCGGGAATGGCTCACACGCGTCGAACAAAAGCAACGCGACATGCCATGTGGCCTGTCCGAATCTCCCATCTCCGCTCGCTTTGAGACGCTGCCAGTCATCATCATCCTCGAGGACAATAATCAAAGCCAAGTCATTCTCGCCCAGGTCAGACTTGGTGAGTCGGGTAGAGATCTAGAACGTCAGTGCGAGCTTGAATTCATGAAGAAATAGGCCTCTAACATAGACGCTCACACTGCGAAACGCGGTTTTGTCATCAACGTCTCGTAGGCTCGACCTTACGCAAGCAAACTGCTACGGAAGCTAGGCTTACCTAGCTTGTGACGTAGAATGAGCGGAATTGACAACCAGGTGGGAGAGTGCGAGCGACAAGCTCGGACAAGTACAGTCCAGACCGAAGGCACGTCTTCATCAGATCTCCCTGGTGCGTCACCTTCATAGACCTGAGACTCAGAGGGAAGCGAGAGGGAAGCGTAACGACAACGTACACCGCTACAATCCGGAGCCCATAGCGATCATTCTCGCCATGGGATCTGCAAGGCAAGGTTCCGGTTCGTCTGGTCCAAGCCTATCCACAACCTATCCAAGCTACCAATCCCCCAAGGGCCTAGATACCTCCCAGAGCAGACGTGTGCACCTCGACGGGGGGTAACTCTGCTACGAAGCGTATTTCGATCAATTCGTCAAAGCCAGCGCGCACATCAAATACACGATCACAATGCTTAGGCGCAAGGGAATGCAGCACGTACTCAGGTCCGCTGACGGTCAGTGTATAAGCAGCTAGTTGTATAAAAGACACAAAGGATGAGATCGTCGCACGCACCCCTCTTCACCTTCGCGTTGAGATTTGGGCTGGGGCGGACGTTGTTATTCTCGCAGCGATTCGTAAATAAGTACGACGCGCTCCCCGTGACTGACGCGTGACCCGAGTGTGACGGGACGCGTCGCCGCGTCGCGTCTGTGGCTCCGCCACACGGCAGGGTCCGGCCCGGGCCTGTGGCCGCCACACCAGCCTACAGTGGTGAGCCACTGGCACTGTTGTCCTTTCAGACCACCCTGCGCAGCCCGACCGACCGGTGCTCCTGACAACGTATATTAGTTCAGTGCCTGTGGCGACCCCAAACAGGCATCATTGTCCTACTCGCCACACCGCCTCACAAGCGTCCGCGTCCCCTTTCACCGCAGGACAAAGCCGATCGCCACAGCCCTACTAGTATTCCTTGCATAAAAGGCCATGCGCCCGCGCTCCCCCGGGCCCATCTCCGCACCCCCCTCCGCCCAGGCCCGCCTCAAGTCCGCGAACGCGATCAAAGCGATGCTCCGCGACTCTCTGAACCTCCTGCCACACGAAACCGAACCCGAGCCTGACCGTGACCTCAACCTTGCAATTGGACAGGAGACGATGCCCTGCCCAGCGTCCCCGCGGAACGCAAGACCCGGCGAAGACGAGGCCCATCTGTGGCCCTGGCCCGAAGACGGCTGCGACAGGATCCAGAATGCCGCGGATCTCGGCGTGGATACGTGGGTGGAAGAAGTCGAAGATGAACTTGACGAGAACATGAACGTCGGAGGTGGACTCGAAGACGGGTACGCGCGCAAGCGATGTAACTCGGCGGCGTCCGTGGCCACTGTCCGGGAAGGCTCGCGCAAGTCGGATACGAACGCCGCAGTGCTGGGCAAGGGGAGCAAGAAGATCACCGTCAAGCCCCGCACGGTGTCTGCGAAACGCAAGGGCCTCAAGCGATCTCATGCCTCTCGGAACCTCAAGCTCGACCTAGACATGGACGACAGCCGTAGCTCAACCTCAATGGAAGGTGCCTTATATACACTTGAGGACGACGGGTTCGACGACGTATTCCCGCACAGAACAGAGAACTGCGGCGCGTCCTCGACGTCTGCTGCCTCGCTGCCCACGACCACGCCGGCAATGCAACAGATCATGGAATTTCTTCAAGACGAAGAGACCGACGAGCACTCTGACTCTGGGTCCAAGTTCTCGGCGCTCCTGAATCGCGAGATGAGGCCACACGAACGGTTCGAGATATCCATCAAGCTCAAAACCAAACACATCGTCATGTGGGACGTGAACCTAGAGTACGTGCTTGCCTCAGTCTCCCGCATCCGCACCCACGCTGACCGACCGAACACGCTCACCAGCCACACCTACGCCCTCGAAGGGCTCGTGCACGTCAAAGACCTCAAGCCGCACGGCTTCGCACACCCACTCAAGCCCGTCTCCGCCCTCACCATCAACTGGCAGACCGTCGACGCGCGTGGCGACACCCCCGCCATCGCGGCCCCCACGCTGTACGAGACAGACTTCCGGGGCGGCGCCGCGCTAATGAAGCCCGCGCACGTCCTCACCGCGCTGAACCCCGCGCGGGGCATCCACGCGGAGATCAGCTGGACGTACCTCCCGCCGGGGGTCCGCGGCGCGGGGCGCGGCGGCGCGTGGGCGTTGAGGTTTTGGGTGCCCGTGCCGATGTGGCTGTTTAAGGGACGGGAGATGCTCAGGTCGATGGTGACTGCGAGTGTGCTGTTCGGGGAGGGCACGCCTGATGCGTGGACGGGCTACTCGGGGACGATGGAGGTGACGATGGAGCATCTGAGGCGCGGGAGGGAGATGCGCGTGTGTGGACGGTCGTAGCGGTGCCGCGGGGCGGTATGTTGTATTTGTTGCTCTATCTGGTTGTTCTGGTTGAGGTGTCCCATTTTCATCGCATCGCATAGGATTGGATTGGATTGTAATCGTGGTCGCATATACGGACGTCTCGTCGTGGTCATTTTGTAGTGTCTTGCATGCTCCTATCATACTGTACCCACGTCTCTGATCGTGTAGCAGTGCCCGTCGTGTATTCTTTGCAGCGTCTTTCATATATAGACTCATCTAGCGGTGTCAACATGAGCGGAACCGCAGTATTATCGACCAGCGTTAGCATGCTCACCCAGTGTAGAGGGCTGTAGGAGCGCGCAGCATCCGCGGTGTGTGAGCGCAGGCTTCATATTGGCTGACAGCACCCCACCTCGATCGTGTGGAATGAAGATCGTCGACAAATTCTGCCGGGCGATCACTGTAACTTCAACTGGCTCGCACGAGACACGCGCCGTACGTAGGTGCGAGCGATCACTGCGCCTTTGCTCGTCCCGATGGCGGGCACCGGCGCACAGAGCGCTTGCATCGTGGGGGTCGACGAGGGTGGGTGCGGGCCGACGCGAGGGCGGAGGTACGGTCACGTGGTACGGCGCGCACGGTCCGCAGAGACGCGGGGGCGGGGGAGCGCCCATTTGCCCCGCCTTTTATGCGACGGACATTTACGCGAAAATGTGTGCTCGCCCATCGTCCCATCGCCCCTCTCTCGTCGCCGTCGCCCCCGTCTCCTCGTCGTCTCGTCCACCCGCCATGGCCTCCTTCCTCAAAGCATTCAAGTGAGCCGCACCCCGCCCTCTCCCGACGCCTTCTCACAGCACCTACAGCGCGTCCCTCGTCCGCAGACCGATGCTCACCCAGTGCGCGTCCTCCGCCGTCATGTTCGGCATCGGCGACGTCCTCGCCCAGCAGGCCTTCGAGAAGAAGGGCACTGACCACGACGTGCGTCGCCCTCTTCCCCGCCCGCTCCCACCGCCGCCGCACCCTGTGCTGGCCGACGCGGACGCGCACACGCACGCGAGCGTCAACGTGGGGCTCGGCTGTCGCGCGTGAGATGCTCATCCCCGTCTGCAGTTCCTCCGCACCGCGCGCACCGCCTTCTACGGCGGCGCCCTCTTCGGGCCCCTCCTCACAAAGTGGCTCGACGTCCTCAACCGCCTCAAGGTCCAGTCCCGCGTCCGCGAGGTCGTCTACAAGGTCTGGCTCGACCAGACCGTCTTCACACCTGGTGCGTGCCCCGCGCCTACCCGGTAGAGTGCGCGCTGACGGCGGAGCCCGCGCGCAGGTGTGGTCGGCTTCTTCTTTACCTCCATGACCCTCCTCGAAGGCAAGAGCTTCTCAGACGCGCAGGAGCGTCTCAGCAAAGTGCGTCTCATTCCCTTTCGTCTCGTCCCCTTCTTCGCTGCCCCATCGGGTGTCTGCCGTGGGACGGCGGGCCTCCGGTGCGAGCGGGTCGCCTGTCGGCACGGACCATGCCCCAGGTGATTCGCCCGCCGCGGCAGACGCGACCCCCTTCGCCAGCGCGTCTCGCACTCCACCGCACTCCGTCCGCCCACCGCGGGCCCGCACCCCCTGCCCACTGCTCGCGTCCGCCCGCAATGCTCACGCACCCTCCCCCCGCGCAGGCCTACGTCCCCACGCTCGTCCGCAACTGGGGCGTCTTCGTCCCCACGCAGGTCCTCAACTTCGCCTTCGTCCCGCCGCAGTACCGCTTCTTCACCATCGGCACCGTCGCCCTCTTCTGGAACGCCTACCTCAGCGCCGTCAACGCCAGCAACGCGCGCGTCGCGGAGGCCGCGCACGCAGGGTTGCTCGAGAAGGCCGAGGCTGGCTTGGGCGGGCCTCCAGCGGACGGCGCGCTCGCGGTGAAGGCGTGAGCTTCTTGGACGCTGGGAGCGAAACGCAACTATTTGACAGACGCGGCGCGAGGGGGCGCGCACGCACGCATGATCGACCAATGTTGGCTTAGAGGTTTCCGCACATCTACATACCCACATAGACCCATAGACTCGACAGATACGAACTGCTAATCAATGCTCACTGCTTGTACATTGCCTTGATGTATGCTCTTTTAGGCCGGTCGGGAGTGAGAGATCTGTAGTATTGCATGTTTTCGCCGAGTATTCTGTGCGAACCCAATCCGTGTGTTCCGCGAGAGCAAGGAGCACAACTGCTTAGCGCTGTCATGACGTCCAGGCAAGTTCGTCCCCGGCCACTGTGTGATCTATCCGCGCATGTACTTATGGAGCACGCGCGAGGCTCACATTCCACGCCAGGCAATGTGTTAGTTCTGGGGCTCAAGTAACAACTATCCAAGACCCAAGACAAGACCAGAAAGCATCATACAAAGCAAGCAAACACACACAGCACTCTCTAACATGGGCACCCACCGCTCGTCACGCATCCGGCGTGAGCAGATACGTCTCGTTCTCCCAGTCGATCTCCTGCTTCAGCGCCGACGTCAGGATCAGCTCCTGGTTCCACACGCGGTGCCCTGCCTGCGCGAGCGGCCGCCAGATCGCCTTGTCCGCCGGCGCGGACACGACGTGCCGCTCGGGGTGCCCCGCCAGGATCCGCACCGTCGGGGTCTGCGTGAGCAGCTACAACCGGCCCGCGTCGCGCGTCAGCGACGGTCTGACCAGCGAGTGGGGAGACGCACCTGCCCGCCGCACGCGCTCACGACGTTCTTGAGCAGCTTGCTGTCCACGGGGACGTGCGGGGTGACGTAGAACGTGAGGCCCTTGAAGAGCTTGCCCCCGTTCGCGCGCGCGCGCACGAGCGCGTCCGTCAGCTTGAACCCGAACTTCCCCTCGTTCGCCGGGTCCTTCAGCAGGAACTTGTCTTCAGCTGTACACTCCGGGCGGTCAGCAGGAACGGGTGATAAGGAGCAGGGAACGTACGGAGGAGCTCCTTGACGGAGAAGGACGCGAGGAGCCATTTCTCATTGAGGATGTGCGGCGCGTGCGCCATCGCACAGAGAAACTTCTCCGTGCGCACGAGGTTACGCGCGACGAGGTGCGTGCACTCCGTGGGCTTGGTCGTCATTTGTACGCCCAGCTTCTTCAGGAACTGGTCGTGGTGAGGTCAGGATGTGAGTGAGAGGCATGCTCAGGACGACACGCACCTTCGAGACTTCATCCGAAATGGTGATCTGGGTGGTCAGAATCCGTATGTTCTGTGCACGACTGTACAAAGCGTTCTTAGATGCTGTTGGCCCCTTCATGAAGATCGATCGAACATTACCTCGATGATCCGCTAGCGTCCTTGCCCTTGCTTGCTGGTTTCGCGCGTTGTTCATCACTCACTTCCTCCTCGTCATCGTGAGCGCCCTTCCCAGACTGTCGTCTTTGAGTCTTAGCCTTCGCCACCGCCTTCCCATCCTTCGTCGAGCCTGTCTTCTGCCTCTTCTTCTCCGGCTGCTCATTATTATCCTCTGCCGCTTGCGCCTCCGCATCGCCAACGGACGCCCTCTTCTTCCCCCGGCTCTTCTCCCCACCTTCGACACTCGTCCGCTCCTTCTCCTTGCCCTTCACAGATGACACGTCGCTCTCCCAAGCGCCTTTCAACGCGCCGCTCTTCAGCTGTTTCTGGAAATTCACCACATCCGGCATGATTTCGTCCCGCAGCCTCTGTGTCGCCCTGTTCGCCGCCGCCCGCTTCGACGGCGTGCGCTGCAACGTTGATGGGGTCTCCGCCACCTTGGCCGGTTCAGGCTCCGGCGTCGTCGCCGCAGCTTTCCGGCGGGACTTGGGCATCGGTGGCGGACTAGGTGACGATTCTGGCGTCTCCGCCCTAGCCTTCTCGCGCGTTGGTCTCCCGCGCTTGGAAGGGGGGGATGCAGGCGACTCCGTCGCTGTGGCGCGCACGGACTGCGTCTTGCCCAGTTTGTTCTTCTGCAAAGACCGGGGGCCTGCTTCCGGCCGTATCCCATAGGCGGCGGCTACTGTCGGGACGACGACGGAGACTTCCTTGCGTAGCGAGCGAGTCGACTTGGCCGGAGAATCGGGCTCGACAGATTCGGGCACGGTAGAGCGAGATGACTTTGTAGCGGACCTGGGGACCCTGGTCGACCGTCCGCCCTTGGCGTCTTGCTCGGAGCCGGAGTCAGCGGCAATGCGCTTGCGTACGCCCTTCGGCGGGCCAAACTTTGCTCCCTGAGCAGTGCCCTTGTCCTTCGTCGAGGCACGCGTAGCAGCTGGCTGCACAGGGCTGTCAACCTCCATGACTGCTTCGTCTTCGGAAGACTCCGGAAGGGCTGTCCCTTTTGCAGATGCACCTTTCCGCTTGGTACGAGAGGGCGACACGTTGGCTTTCTGAGCTATCAGTCGAGATGCCGCCGTCTTTGCCTTTCGTGCGAGAGGAGACTGTTCTACCATCTCCACATCTGAGTCTGAATCAGAAGCAGGCGCCGCTCTGGGTCTCCGTTGGTGGGGAGAAGCGGATGTCGAGGGCCTCAACTCGTCGTCTTCTGCTTCTTGTTCGTCTGCGCGCGCGGCACCTCGTCGCCTCATCGCTCTCGCGACACTCTGATACTTGCGCGGGGAAGAGCCTTTGGACTTGGGTTTCCCATCCTCGTCCTCGTCCACGTCCATCCCGTCATCAGCGCCCTTCCGCAGCCGCCCTGTGTCCTCGTCCTCGACTTGGATGTCCGTCTCGAGGAACTCGCCCATGCTCACCTCCGCAGGATTCTCTGCCACTGCCACCGCGACTGCGTCCTCTACCTCGTTCCGCTCCGTCACACTCGCAGCCGTCCCCTCAGGCGGCTTGTTCTCCTTCCCTCCAACCTTCTGCTTCCGCCCATCGGCCCTCTTATCTGAAGCAACCTCGTCGTCGGGGCGTTCCCTCTCTAACACGGCGAGATCCGCGGGCTCGATGATAACCTTCCCGCTCATCGGTCGCTCCGTAATGAGCTTGCTGAAGTCCATGCGCGGCGGAAAGTTGATGAACCGGTCCTGCGCAGGCGTCAGATTGCGCCACTGTGAGAAGCAGTCCTCGAGCCAAGTGTGGTTGACGATGGGAATGGACCAGGAGATGGCCTTCTCAGCTTTCGTGCCCGAGATACTGTACGCGAATCGATCGGTGAGTTGATCTTATGACGTAGAGGAGACGCACTAAGCAGCCACAACGACGGTGTTCTTGGGAGACATGCTCGGGGTGAACTCGGCGCCCATCGTGAGGATGAGTTTCTTGAGATAGTCGCGGTGTTTTCCCGTGTAGTTTGTGATGGTGATGGACTTGGGCTTACGGTCAGCTCCTGCGCGTATACGAACAAAGGAAGCCACCTACATGTTTCGAGAATCCTTCTATTGGCTTCCGTGGGATCGGATAGTGGATGAGCTGATCTGTGGGACGAGAGATGGTCCCGATCGCGCGGCAGTACCACAGCCATGTCAAAGTCCCGATAGTCTTGTTCTCCCTGTACGCCTGGGAGGACGTCGATTTGTGACTCTACCATGAAATTTGGTGTAAAGGCTTACCTTGACGAACGCAGGACCCGAACGATATGCAGTCACAAGCACATCAGCCTCCTCGACTTTCATAGCCTCCTCTTCAACCAGCTCCTCTCCTTTCTTCGTCACATCGAGCTCGACGATGATCCCACCCTCTCGGCGGATATCCTCCTCGTGGGCATGGCGTTGCCTCTCCGAGAATCGGAGGGACATTCCGAGAAGTATGCGCCGACCATTCCAGATGTTGTGTGCGGGAGCTCGTGTGACCGGTAGGTCATTGCCTGCCGCAAGCGCAGTGTCGAAGAAAGGCTTCTTCTCACCTGTTACTCTATACTGCGGGGGAACTTCACCGGCAGCAGCGTCTTGTTTGCTCGTGCTCCAGTCGCCCCTGAACACGGCAGGCTCAGGCCACTCGTATTCTGCAGTCGGGAGACTCCTGATGCCGAGTCGTATCGAATCCTCGTGCCAGTGGGGAACAAGAACCAGCATGCCGGTCTTCTCCTTGAAGTGCAACGCCGTCTCGTACTTCTGGCTGCCCGGCGCGAGTGCGAATACATGGGTCACGTCGCGCGTGAGTGCGCTCCGCCACTGGCCGCCCAGCGCGTTGATCGATGAGTACATGAGCTCTGCATCCGACTCTGATAGGTCCGTAGCGGTGGCTATGACGCCAGAGAAGAGCTGCGCGGGATCCGGTGAGTAGTATTCGGGAGGCTGGGGCGCGTCGAGTATGCGCGAGCGTTCGACCCATGTTGGGGTGACGAGACGGGCCGTCGTGTCCTCTGGCAGGCTTTCGAGCGTGTCATCGTTCGGCAGTGAGTTTGTGATGAAGTGGGTGAGTGACGGGTCGTCGACTGCCACCGCCGTCGCGCCTGCTGCATCTAAGACCCCAGCGAGCTGTTCACGCTGTTCAAAGCGAAGAGTGAGTGATATGTAATATCGGACGTCGTTGAATGTCTCCTTTGCCATTCCATGCAAACAGCAATAGAGCAGTTAGACTGTGAGGGCAGCAGGACAAAGGGGTCAGCGAGAGGAGGAGGCAGCCCAGGTCCGAGTCGCGGTACCGGTGTCGCGCACGCGTCGTAGGCACGTGCCACGTACCGTGAATCGTATGTATAAGCGCTCGATGCCCGCCGCCTGCCGCCGTCACGGTCAAACCACCGTTTCTTTGCTCATCCGCCTTCAAATATCTGGCAATGGCGACAGACATTCGACCCCGTCATTTTAATACACCATACACTGCCCACTATTTGCGGAGGTTTTTCCAGTCATCGGGTGCGTCGTGAAGCCAGCGATCTTGTTGCGGAGGCGCTTCGAGGGCACGACAGCCGAGCCTGCTTCAGCCTCACCTCAACATCTATAAGCACGCACACGTCTGTAGGTGTACGATAGTGTCCTCCTCGAGTGTTACCTGCTGACAGAAGCGTATCCATTGCAGAAGGCTTCACTGGTCGCGCTAGTAGCCCACTAGTACACAACCACAGACGTACACAATCGTGGGACACTTCGTGGTATGCTCGGGGTTGATGCCGGTAACCAACCGCACGTCCCGATATTCAGTTGGACACAAGTCGGATAACGTCAGCAGCCCTCGCACAAGGACCCGCGGCGCGAGGCGCCGTCCTGGTTATGTGCCACGCCACGCGTAGTACACGACCTCTCGCCTCCCCTCGTACTATGTAGTACTCTCAGATCGCTCTTGTTTGCTCCCACTCAACCACTCTCGTTCTTCACGTATCGCGCTAGCATGTCCCCTCACATCAGCGCCAACTCGGCGGCCTCTGTGAGTGGATTTCCAGAGGAAGACTTGAGGGAAGCCGGTCGCAACAGCAGTGGCTACTTCGCCGCAAGGCTGGGCCAGACGTTAGAACGAGGTCGCTACTGTATCATGCGCAAGCTGGGGTGGGGTCAATACTCCAGCGTATGGCTTGCGAGAGACTTCACGTAAGTTCAAGTTGCTCCGTGGCACTCAGCGTTCATGACCTCTGCCTCAAGCGAAAACCGATTTGTCGCGCTCAAGATATTGACCAGCAAAGCCACGGAAGCCTTGTCGGAGAGTGCTGACCAGCAGTCAGACGAGCAACGCATGCTGAAGAAGGTCGCAGACGCCGACCCGGCCCACAGAGGCTACCGCCACCATCTCGCCTACATCGATGCCTTCGACCTTAAAGGACCCCACGGACTACACCATTGTCTAGTCACGGAGGTTCTTGGGTTCGGCATGGACTTCCTTAGGAAGTTACGTGACAAAGGTGATACCCGCATCGCACCCAGTATCGTCAAGCACGTCGTACGCCAAGTTCTCCTCGGTCTGGAGTATCTCCACGAGGAATGTGGTATAGTCCATACAGGTGTGTCACCCGTGAGGTATGGAGCATGGGGTATTGATATCGTATGGCTTTCCAGACCTCAAACATGACAATATCCTCTTCCGCCCACGCGATCTTCACACCATCATCTCGCACGAACTCTCCATAAACCCGTCTATCACGTACGATTGTGGGACAGAGCTCAACCCATCCGTCATACCGGTCGTCTCGCAAAGCCTCCCGTTATCCATAGGCGCTCCAATTCATGAACACGATCTTGATGTCGTGCTCGCCGATCTCGGTCATTGTGCGTTGCTTGTTGTTCCCCTCGGGAATGCGATTCTGAGAGAAAGTTTGAATGCAGCGCACTGGATATCCCATCATTTCCAAGAGCAAATCCAGCCGTTTGCCCTTCGCGCTCCCGAAGTCCTTCTCGGATACCCTTGGAGCACTCCTGTGGATATATGGTCCTTAGGCTGCCTCGTAAGCCCTTTGATGTTCCTGTTCCTAGTTATCCAGATGTGAATCCTGATGCATTCCAGATTAATGAGTGGCTCACCGGTGGCTGGCTCTTCGAGCCCACTCCGGAACCGATGTGGAGCTTCGAGGAAGACCATCTCGCTCGGATGACCGAGGCAGTTGACGCACACTTCGAACCGTCTTTCCTGGCGAACTGTAAGCGTCGAGATGAGTACTTCAACCAAGAAGGTACGTTGGTCGCCCCCACGGCATTGCAGTGCATAACTCGGTACTACCTTCAGGAGCGTTCGCGCATTTTACGGAACACAAGGAGCCTACTTGGCCCTTGCGCAGGATGTTGGAGACGTACTCTGAGCTCGGTAATGACTCGGAGATCGAGGCGACTGAACGATTCATGAAACGCTGTCTGCAACTCTCACCGGAGCGAAGGGCTACGGCAAGGGAGCTCATTGACGACCCATGGCTAGCAGTTTGACAGTCAGATATGCCTTGATTCGGTAGCATGACTAGTAGAGGGTTGGAGTAGGTGCGTAGTGTTCCCGTTCTGATGACAACCTGCCAGCGCGCGATGTACCATGCGATGTAGTGAAAATGATCACCGATTTCTACGAATTCCTAGTGTTCCTACTAGCAATTCTGTAGCTTGCTACGAGATATGGAATACATCTCACCTGCTGTGCTACCCGGAAGGTATGCCTCTCGGATATTTTGATTGATGCAGATCTGTGAGACTACGTGCCAAGTGACAACGTCAGACCGTTGTCTGAGTACCAGCGCCCGTCGCCTGCCGCTTCGACGGGTATAGGAGCGACGGACGACGCGCGACTCGGCCTCCCAGTCACGACGGCGTCCCAGGGGGAGGAGGAGTAGTCCATTGTACGGCCAGCTGTCTTGCGGCGGAGGCGAGCCGGGAGGGCCAGGTGGCGGGGGCGGAGTAATCCGATTTGATCTGTTCGCCGCGGCGTGCGGGGCTAGGCGGGGCTGGGGACGAACGCGATCAGCGGGTCGATCACGGCGTCGGCAAGCACGCTCCAGGGCAATACATGGACCTACAGCGTTAACCTGGCGTGAACCACCGTTACTCTGGAGACGGACGACCTCGCGATCGTCCGGTTGTGTGTCAGCGCCGCGGATGGCGAGGCTCGAAGTCGAGTTGGGCATGTTGCAGTCGCCTCGTGTGCTTATTGATGGTGGTCGTGCCTGCAGACAATGGCGGGAGGCGCACACGCGATGCAGAGGACGGGGCGGCGCGGGGGGAAGAGGATGCTTTGGCCTGTGAACGCGCCGGCAGCGCGCGAGAGTCGTGTTAGATTTAGAATGGGCGGTTCGGGCAGTGCTCGGTTGTGTCCGAGATCGAATGCTCGCACTGCTTCTGTCTTCATCAATCCAAACTCCTGGTGCCGCCCATTTTCACCACGCGTAAGTACGAGCCACAGGAATTCCAGGTCCAAGTACTTACAGCGCGCGGCCTTCGAAACCACGGCCAATCTCCACAGAGATGGCTTGTGCAATCGCATGGTCTTGCGGACAATGATATAATAGTGATTGCTACTTGTGGCTAGACGACCCAAAGACGACCGGGGCGACAGGGCCGGGCGTACTCTGAACGTTGACCAGGTCCGCCGACTCCGGCGTCTTCCTGTCGATCAATCGAAGGAGATGGGCTGATATTCATCAGATTAAGTTAGCTCGCGCAGATAACGGATTTTAGAAAAAAAAAAAGCCGGGCATATGGACGCCCATTAGCCACATGCTTCGGGGACAGCGCACAGCCCGAGACCCGTGCAGTGCTTGGCCAACGCGTGGCGCTACTCTCTCGCAGGAGCCATACCGCACCGCGCACTCTGCATCGCCGACAAGCTCTGCGACGAGCACGACGCGCTGTGATGCAACGTGAGACTGCGACGGAATGGCCACGACAAACTGCGTGCCCTTAGTGATGCCATCCCGGTGGCCCGCCTCGACGAAGAGCAGCCCTGCGGCGTAGCAAACTGGGAACGACTTCGCGTCGTCCTCGAGCTCGATCGTGGTGAACACCAGCCGGTGCTTGTTCTGCCCCACGCACACCGGAGTTTGTGTCAGCGCAGGCGCACCAGGCGGGCCAGGGAAATGCACGTTGTCCGGCTTCCGCAATGCATCCACAAGGCGAGCGTATGTGAGCTCGTTGGTGCAATTCATGCGCACGCACGCGAGCAGGAGGTATGTGAATATCCCGCGCTGTTGGTTGCCGATCATGATCTCCTTCGCCGTCTCGTGGGGGAGGCACGCCGCAAGGAGAACGTGCGAACTCGCTTCTGGCGTCGAGGCTGCGGGATCGGGCTTCGCGAGAGGTATCATCGCCGCACCGCGAGCGTCATCCGGGGGCTGCCACGACCAGATGTCCTGGTCGAGGTCATCCGGGATGCGAGGGCGGAAAAGCCAGCCGCGTGTGGAGAGGTTCCGCACTTCGCCGCCGTCGAACGTGCGATCCATGCCACCTGAGTGGCAGCTGTCCAAGACGACGGCCTGCATCGAGTTTGTCGGAAAGGTGTACACAGAGGCGACATCAAGGAACTCACGATATTGTCTCCCTTCTCATAGGCCAGCCGCCGCATGAGCCCTTCAATCGTTCGATCCGGGATGCCGAAGATGGGGGTTCCACTCGTGTCCAGCATCCCATCGTCGTGCGGACAGATCATTTCGACCTGATCTGCATGGCCCGCAGCGACCCAGCTGGCGGGAGCGTCCCTGCGGTCACCGTGACCAGCGTAGTAAATGACGATCGCGTCGCCCCGCTCGACGGCTGGGTTGTCGATGAGATGGTCGAAGAATGCCTTCAGGATATGCTTGCGCGTCGCCGCCGCGTTGTCGAGATGGACGATCTGGCTCGGAGGAACGCCCAGGGTATCCCTTAGAAAGGCGTAGAAGTCGTTACAATCGTTTGTGCAGCCGCGGAGGTTGGTGATCTTGCTATGCTTGTAGTCGTTTATGCCGATAAGGAGGGCCCAGATGCGAGGTTCACCCTCAGAACGTTGAGCCTCTAGTCGAGCGCATGCCCTGACGGGGTGTCAATCATGGGTTCGCAAGACGACAATGTGAATGTTACCTCAGCAGCTCATCGGTAGCGGTCCGAGGTCCCAATTGGGCTGACGCGGCTGTCGTCGTACTAAAACGAGTACAGGTTCAATATTTCACAATGAAGCAGCTGGTCCAGGGAGGGCTTACGTCCGCTTGCTATAGGCATTCCGCATTCGGCGACGTTTCAAGCACTCTCGCACCCTGCAAGCGAACAGTCGACTCGGTTACTAGTGCGTCAGCCTACGTAGCTCAAAATGCGCACCTATGGTCCTTGCGACCCCGTCGAGCGCCGGGAATTGCACGGGATGCCTTGAACATCGTTTGCTTGGGAGCACATTGTGAGGCAACGAGCACGGTGTGTGTGTACATGGGGGCTGCTGAACCTCTGGTGGCGTGTGGGGGTAAGTGAGCATAGTGCCCTACCACGCACTACGCACCCTTCATCTAAGCGCTGCCGGTATTAGGAAAAGGCTGTGCAGGGGCAATAGAGTTCGATTTCCTCCGAGTAAGTGTGCCATAGCAGCTGCGGTACTTGGGCACAGCATCTTCTGCTATTTGCGAAGAGTGCATTGGAGTAGGGGATCGTATCCCGCTGAATTGACACGGCCTTCCAAGTCGGAGTCACGGCTCTCGGGCCTCTGCACCTTCTTCTAACTCTCGTCGTCCCCAATGTGCTCTCATATACGCAACGTCTCGCGTACGAAGCCCTGCCGCTTGTGCGGGTTGAATACGCCCCGCTCTAGCCATTCCAAAGCCGAAGCTCATGCCTGTTGAGTAGAAAGTGAGACGCGCGGTCAGTTCGCTCAACAATCAGGACTCACTCGCAGACCGCGTAATCCAGGGGAGGACTTCTGGAAGGACGGCGCCGTGACGCTGTACATCACGAGATGCGTACCTTGGGAGCGGCTGACCGTTACGAGTGTTTTGGGTACAGAACGGGTTGCCCTGTCCCGGAGGCACCGCGCGAGCTTGCCGTACAATGGGTATGTCGCGTTCTAGTCAAGTATCAAGAGCGATACGCAAAGAGAGCCGACGTGTCCTTCCCCGCTGTTGCGCGGGCTGTCGGGGGGTAAAAACTAGACCACAAAGGGTTACTGCACCAGGTGCAGTGACCAGCTGTTGTCGAGTCTCTCGTTAGGTGCGTTGTGCTTGTTCTCGCTACGTCCCTCTCGCTCGTCCGCCCTTGGGTCGCGACTGGCATTTCGTCCTCCTCTCTACGTGCATCAAGAGGTTCAACGTGAGTTGCGTGTTTCGCCAGGACACCAGAGGATGAAGAATCTGCACGTCGGAGGGAGCTGTCGCCGTACCAGCTGCCATCCGGAAGAAATTGAAGGAGCTGCTTAGGGCTCGATTCGCTGCGAGTTGGCGGAGTCGCGCCAATACTGAGATTGGGTCCACTCGATGCGTCCGACAAAGTATGTGGGAGATGCGAAGGATCCTTCGTGGCAAAGCTCGCTCGAATGTCGTGGTAGAACACCAAGTCCACGATCGCGTAAGCGCCCGAACCGCGGGCGTCTTATACGGCATCACCCGGGAGCACGGCCTGTCCTGCTCTCGAGTGCTTTCGTTGCGCAAACTGGCCCTTCGCGCAGCTTCGTGCACTAAGTCGAGCCAAGGGCGTTGAGAGACATCAACGGCAATCACACGGCCAGTGAAACGACACAGTTCTATTGAACACGATATAATTGCAAGTACAACGACAGGTCAACAGGCAACACTCGAGAACCACGCTACGTATCGTACATCTACAGACCTGTGGTACGCACTCCGCCGAGCCAGACCCGTGTACACAGTCCAGCTCTGGCGCGGACTCCCGCAACGGAGTGCAGCAGGACGGTGTCCTGCTCGTCGGAACCACTTCCGACGAAATAAGGTGCATGACACACCTACGAGTCGATCTGACTCGGAACCCAACGTCTGGGCTGACTCTCGATAACGAGAGCGCAGCAGGACGAGCTCCTGCTGGTCAAACTTGTCGACCAAAGACGTACCGAGTGGTACATCTCAGGTGCATGATATGCACCTGCGAGCCGAGTCGGCTCGTAAACCCACATCTGGGCTTACTCTCGATAACGAGAGTCATGCGGGGCTCCACGTTCCGCGAACAGCAGTCATAGAGAGAAGAAAAAGACAAATTTCTGGGAGCACTTCACTTGGACATCATGATGTCGCGCATTCAGTCGTGCAAGTCGACCTGGGCGGCGCGCATCGGTTCGTACAGCCCGTGCTGGTCGCCCAGGCCGTAGGTGAGCGTCATGCGCGCAAGGATCGAGGGGCCGTCATCGGGGCTCAGCTCGAGCTGTGGATGCGAATTTGAGTGGGATCATGCAAACCGAGACAGGATAACTTACCAGGGAGATTATGTCGTCCAGCAGGTGCGCCTGGCCGACGGTCATGCCGAGTAGGCCTTGGTACTCGACGTTGACGATGTGCACGTGAAATTGATCTAACGCAAGCGTAAGCCTTGACAGAGTGACGTATGGGAACGGACGCACAGTAGCTGGGCTGATAGTGGACGAAAAGACGCAGAGCCCCGCGCTCAAGGCCCCACTTGTCGTTGACCGCTTTGTGGGCCTCACGCCGGATGCTCTTGAGCATGGGCAAGTGTGCCCTGGTGAGGTTCCTGAGACTGCATATGGCGGGCGACGACGCGATGGCGACGAGGTAGAGCGAGCTGAGCGTTGTCAAGTCCCACTTCATGTCGGGGAGGAGGACGTAGCCAAACTCGGGGTGACTGTCACGGTGGAGGACCTTGTCGGCTTCGGAACGGCCTTCTAGGATATCACGGACCCTAGATAGACATCAACGGCGGAGGATCTAAGATCGAGGACGAAACGCACCATTTAGTGCGAGAAGCGGGGAACGCATCGATGTAGGGTTTCACGATGCGCTCATATAGGGCAGGAGTCTCGTGGACGACGACGAACTTCTGCGCCGTGTACTGAACGTGCGATGAGCTGGTCAGCGTCGTGGTATGAGGTCAAGCGATCAAGACGAACCTTGCGGATGTGGACGTCTGTGGCAGGACAGATGATGTTGATCTTGACATCGGGGCGGGCGGCGGAGGGCGCGAGCCAGCCAAGCAGCCAGGTATACTGTGTGAGGGCTGAGATCTCGGCGCGATCGAGAGGTCTGGTTGGACGCACGATATCGTTGTTCTCGATCAAGCGCACGTCGGCGATGGCGCTCTCGAGGAGAGCGGCGGGCTGGTCAACGGGGAGCGCAGCCTTTTCGATGCGCACAATGGCAGGGCTGCGCTCGCTGGCACCATCCGCTGCAGGGAAAGAGCCGAGGAGGACGATGGTCTGCGTTGCAGCATCTGTGGGAAGGAAGGGTGGTCAGACACTTGGATAGTGGGTGGACGAGGACGGCGGACCGTAGTTGAGAACGCGGTCGAAGGCGAAGAGTCGGAGAGCGGCGACGTCGGCGAGCGGAGAGGCCATTGAGTCTGGAGGCGCAGGTTGAGATGATCGTTGAGAGCAGAGTGGACGTGGGGGGACGAACCGTGTGTGGGTGCTACTTATACACACCATGATAACACGAACCTTGCCGCAGATATCGATCGGGCCATGACGCGATCTCGTGACTCGCCCCGACGCGTCGCGGCTTGAATCCTCAGAGTCAGCGATGTATGCAGACAGCCAGCCAACCAGATTCGCGAGCACCTCCAAAAAGAAAAAAGAAACCGACATGATGCTGCTCGTCTGCTTGGGATGCACAGATTCGGATCGTCCCACTGGCCGACTGACACTGGATGACTGAAACATTGCGACAGCCTGACTCGGAGATACAGTATGCAGCGCTGCATTGATCCGTGATCGAAATTGAATGGCAGAAGCCGCTGTGAAAGGGCACATACAGAATAGTGAACGGAGCACCACAAGGTTAAACGTCCCCATTTAACAATGCCCGGTGTGGTAGCGGGCGACATCCAGAACGTCTGGGGAGCCTTAGCTTGCGTTGATTTGCCACCGCAAATACCTTGGCCTTGAAGCGGGTAGCAGCTGTACCGACCCGATGATGCCTGCATGTGACACCTTTAAGCGACACATCGTGTCGAAATCCCAGCCGTGACCGATTGGCAAATCACTGGAGGGACCTTTCTGGGGAGGAAAGAGTGCTGTAGTCGCCAAGTGTCTTCACGATTCGGTTTCTGCTGCCAATTATATGGTCAAACATACACAGAACGCATAACGAGTCAGGGGGTCCTATAACAGTCTAGTCGACGCATGCCGCGTTCAGTCAAGCTCGTCCGTCTCCTATCCGCCGCTCCAGATAGCCTTCGAGCCCACGTTCAACAATCGACTCGTACTCGGTCGAGCGACTGCAGCCAGCAGTGAGCCATGAGCATACCAGCAAACAGGGGATGTAAACCTACGCGGTACCTGGCTGAGCCAGTGCTGAGGCAACTGCCGTAGCCAAGAGGATAGTGGAGGCGAGGGTCAAGTACCGTATGATGAAATCGCAATGTATGCACCAGGTCGTTACAAAGACGTCGGGTCAAAAGAACATGAGTCGTCGACGAATGAAAAAGCAGGGCTAGAGGGGCGAGTGGATCGTCAGTGTAACAATCGAACCGCTCGTCCGATCGAAAATTCACTTTCCGGCACCCTACTTATTGGGCTCTAAAGAGGTGAAGAGCGTGAGGAAGTGAGTTGGAGAGCGGCGGTGGCCGTACTCTCCCTTATATGCGTTGATCTGTTTAGTCTGATCGCCGGCTTACGACCCATGACTGGCTCGCAGCCAGCGATCTCCGCAATCCTCGCGGAGGCTTTTCGGATCGCTATAGTATGTTTGACGTTCGACAGATGGATGGGTTCGGACCAGCCTGCGACGCAACTTTGCATACAGGTTGCATATGCAGTCGTCGCTTGTCCGGCTCTGCGTTCCTTGAAATGCACCTAGTGGCGAATGTCAGTAATACTTATTACCGAGGGAAAAGACGTACGATTCGGATCACATACAAACTGATCAACGCACTGCCACGGCGGCGTATCGTCTGCCACGAAGCCGCGAGGCACGGTGATGCGTGGTCCTGTTACTGCTTGCGGCTACCAGTAGTCAATGGTAAGTAACACCAGTGGCTTGAATACGCTGCCTACTTGATTATGACAGATTGCACTGGTCGCACGAGCAACATACATACTTATGCATGAAACAAGTGCATGATGATGATGTACCCATCCGGGTAATATCGGCCTCACAATGAGGCATCTGAGAACGGTATTGTCAGCTACTACTGTCCTCGCATTTGCTCAATGAATTGCAGTAAGCATGTACTGTAGTATTATTCGTCGTGCACGCAGAAGTGCTGCAAGAGCGGATAATGCACGAGCGGACGGACGAGCCAGTGGTACGTACCGCAGGGTGGCCGCCTAGAATTGCGCTCACCGTCTAAATCAGTGAGGTCGTCGCTGTCCGGGTCATTCTCTTGCATCAGCCAGTAATCGATCCACACATGAACGTTTGGACAATGGGATCTGGAAAGCCTTTGGAAGGTACGTTGTCAGCCACCGAAGACGAGAAGGATAATCCAGTCACCGCCACAGTCACATCGCCCGTCAGGTCGCGTGGTTTGTCCTACCGTTCCAACTCAATTGCTGCACGAGCAAGGTCCCAACTCGCGAGCGTAGAGTCAGTTACTAACAGCAGGTTGAGTATTGCATCGGGATTCGGCGTATCCGTGACAATGGAGGTGAGTGCTGACCCTGCTATCACGGGACTTAGGACTTAACTTAAATAACCCAGCCACGGCTTAGTAAGCCATGGTGGCCGTGTCGGATGCGTGCCCCGAGTTGCCCGCGTTCCTTGTACTGTACTCCTCCCTCCTTCCTCTCGTACTCCTACCTTCTCACAACCATGGTAAGCTGAGTCAATGGCTCTATCCAAAGAAGAATCGTCCCCTCACATCGCGCACAGTCTACCAACTGTCGCCGCAGACTCATCCGCGACTTCAAGCGCCTCTCCACCGACCCGCCTGGCGGGATCTCAGGTAGTCCATGCCCGGACAACATCATGCTCTGGAACGCGGTCATTTTCGGGCCAGGTAAGTCCTCCGCCTCGCTCTCGCACCATCGCACATCAGCGCCAAATCGCATCGTGCCACACAGCGGACACACCGTTCGAGGACGGCACCTTCAAGCTGCTCCTCACTTTCGATGAGTCGTACCCGAACAAGCCGCCGACGGTCAAGTTCCTCTCGCGGATGTTCCACCCGAACGTGTACGCAAACGGCGAGCTCTGCCTCGATATCCTCCAGAACCGCTGGTCGCCCACGTACGACGTCGCCGCCATCCTCACCTCCATCCAGAGCCTCCTCCACGACCCCAACCCGAACTCCCCGGCGAACGCGGAGGCCGCACAGCTGTATCGCGAGAACATGAAGGAGTATGTGCGGCGCGTACGTGCGACGGTTGAGGAGAGCTGGCTGGACCCGGAGGAGCAGCAGGCGATGAACGCGGCGGAGGGGAGCGCCGCGAGTGGATGAGGATCGCGCAGCTGGCGCGTACTAGGACATGTATTTGGAAGTGTCTGTCACATCACTCTTGTATCATCGTAACCATCCGTACTTATTGTCACTGCATCCACTCGTCTTGTAGATCTGTAACCCTAGTACAACACATGTAAGTACTGGAATTGGATTGCTATCCTTGGGTATCCTATCCGTTGAGGGTGAGTATGGAGTGACGACAGATTACAATGTGTATGGAGTGCATGATGGATATTCCTGTAACTATAGCTCAGGCTGACCTACATTTTCGCGCAGCCTGACATATCGGCTTATCGCTCCTGTGATGATGCCCTGCTGACTCAGTAAGCGCATTTCATGGACTCTGCATGACCTCCGACTTACTCCTCGGGGCGAGCCAGAATCTCGTACAAGAACAATCGAAGAGTCGCTTACCTCTGCAGTGGCCCCGTACGAGCCATGTATGACACTGAAGTGGCTCTTGGTTGATGGGAGAGGATATGTTCTTCCGCATGACGTACGTATTTGCGTCGTTCAGTTGTCCACATGGTGAGCGACAGAAACAAGTGACTGAGTCCTTGGTGGTGCACTGACTTCATCGGAAACAGTGACTTATAAATGGCAATTCGAGAGCTGCGCGAAGCCTCGACTCCCTGCTTCCTTTGCTGTTTGCGACCGACAACCGACGCCACAAACTACGATCGACTACGAAGCATCATGTCCGTACCGAGTGACGAGTATGTGTCCCTTCTGTCTCTTTCCAGTCCGATGTGTGGGCACTTCGACGTCGCCGCTGTGACTCCGCGCAGGCAAGCCGTTGCTCTCGTTGACGACTAACTCTGCTGCCAGCATCACAAAGATCGGCGTGATCCTTGACTCGACGCCCCGTGTACAGATCTTCCTCCGCGTACGCACACCCCGTCACTGTCTCTCGATCCCGCTGACCACCGGTGCTCACACAACGATCTCACCTCATTGATACCAACACATAGCCAATCGCCGCACCCGCCGCTCTTGGCCTCGCAGGGTTCGCCGGCTCGACCTGGATCACCGCCTCCTACATCGCGGCATGGTGGGGCGGCCCCTCCTCGCCGACCATCTTCTTCCCCTTCGTAACGCTCTTCGGCGGGCTCGCGCAGTTCCTCGCGGGCCTGCAGGGCTTCCCCGCGCGCGATGTGCTCGTGACGGTCGTGCACACGATGTGGGGGTGCTTCTGGATGAGCGCGGGATTGGTGTGGCTGCTGACGGCATGCGACGTGCTGCCGGCGCGCACGCTGGCGGACCACTCATCGGAGATGGCGTCGTGGATGGTCGTGTTGATGACGTTTACGTGGATTTGCGCGGTGGTGAGTACGCGGTTTTGCTTGGGTGTGACTTGAACGGTCGGAGGTGGGAGAAGATCATATCGAGGAGTCGCCCGAGAGACGCGAAGCGACTATGATACTTGTCGAATCTGTGCTCATCTAATCTACAATGAATAGGGCGCCTTCGCGCGCGATATGATCCTCTTCGGTATCCTCCTCTCGCTCGCGATCGGGTGCACGCTTGCCACAGGCGGATGGTACGCCTTTGGCTCAGGCGCGTACGCGACCGTCAAGGCTGCGGCGTACTTCTGGATGATCAGCGCGCTGCTCGCGACGTGGCGCTGCGCGGTGCGTACCACGGGTTGTCCTCCACTCCTCCCTGCACACCGCTGACTCTGTTTCCTCGCATCAAGGTCTACATCTGGGAGGAGAACTGGGGCAAGTCCCCGATGTACCCTGTCTTCCGTACTGTACGAGAAGAAGCCGCGCCGTGTAAGCATTCCTCTGTTCCTCGTAGGCATCATTCGAACGACTGATCTATGTGTACGTCAGATATGATGCCTGGTTTAGGAGAGCCAGGCGTGAAGCGTGGAGTGCCGAAGCCGCTCGACAGGCGGGACCTCATCCACAAGGGGTTCACAAATGGGGAGGCCATGGCAGCTTGAAGGCACGATGTCCTAGCGATGGATGGGTGCCGGCTTCCGACACGACAGCACGCGTGTCTACGCATTGGGTTGAGTAGCATCGCGAAGATCATGTACGTTACAGTAAATTTTTAATGACAGAGATTGCCAGCCCACCAGTGTGGTCATAGGAGTGTGGCCTACCCTCCGAAGGGCATGATCTTGTTGGCAGGGTTTGCGAGGGGAGATCTTCGCCGCGATGCCACGCAATATATCGTTTGGCAACGAGGGTTCAAGCTTCAAGTTTATGTCTGTAGTACTGTAGTACTTCAAACCGGACCAGCGCCATCAGTGGGATGGTACACGTTCGTGGCAATCACCAGTCAGCGTGGTTCTCGAGTGTTGCCTGTTAACCTGTCGTTGTACTTGCAATTATATTGTGTTCAATAAACCCGATTGTGTCGTTTAACTGGCCGTGTGATTGCCATTGATGTCTCTCAACGCCCAAGGCTCGATTAATGCATGAGGGGCCGGTCCGTGCAAGGGAAGCACTCAAAAGCAGGACATAGACCAAAAGCGGGTCCTCCCAAGCTCGTGTGGTGCTGTCAGCCTGAGGCACCCACGGTTCGGGCGCTTACGCGATCGTGGATTTGGCCTGTTCTACCACGACATTCGTCCGAGCTTTGCCACGATCTCCCACATACGAAAACTCACGACGCGTCCAGTGGACCCAATCTCAGTATTGGCGCGACTCCGACAACTCGCAACGAACCGAGTCCCAAGCAGCACCTTCAGTCTCTTCCGGATGGCAGCTGGTACGGTGACAGTTCCCTCCGACATTCAGGTTCTTCGTCCTCTGGTGTCCTGGCGAAACACGCAGACTATGCCGAATCTCTTAATGCGTATAGGGAGGAGGACTGAAGGTCAACAGCAACCTAAGGACGGATGAGCGGGAAAGACGCAACAAGCACAACGCATCTACATCGGATAGGCTCGACAACACCTCATCACTGGAGACACATGCACCCGGTGCGGTGACCCTTTCTGGTCTAGCTTCTGTTTCCCTCCGATAGCTTGCGCAACAGTGGGGAAGGACACGTCGACTCTCGTTGCGCACATCGCTTTTGATACTTGACTAGAGCGCGACATAGTCATTGTACAGCAAGCTCGCGCGGTGCCTCCGGGATATGGCAACCCGTTCTGTACTCAAAACACTCGTGACGGTCAGCCGCTCCTAAGGGGCTCACCTTGGCGGAGCCATATTTCGTGTGTGCTATATTGTGCAGCGTCATGGCGCCGTCCTTCCAGAAGTCCTCCCCTGGATTACGCGGTCTGCGAGTGAGTCCTAAATATTGAGCGAACTGACCGCGCGTATCACTTTATACTCAACAGGCATGAGCGTCGGTTTTGAAATGGCCTAGAGTGGGGCGTATTCAACCCGCACGACCGGCAGGTCTTCGCGCGCGAGACGTTGCATGTACGAGAAGGTCCTGAGGGACGATGAGAATAGGCCCGAGAGCCGCACTGCCGACTCAAAGGCCGTGTCAATGCAGCGCAATACGACTCCCTATTTCGGTGCGGTGCACTGTTCGAGGGCATATGGCCGGATAGAAGCGCTGCGGGCCGGAGGCCTAACCCGCCTCTTTGGCCTGCTCATCGGCATCAACACTACAAGCAGAGCAATATCACCGACCTCAGCGGTTGCAAGAACGACTGTGACGATGTCCACGCCTTCCTAACGAACACTTTGGGCGCTCCTGCGAGCCAAATCGTCCGGCTCGAGGACGCTGCGGCGACGCGCACGAAGATTATCGAGGCATTCTACAGCCACTTCATTGACAACCCAGCAAACAAACGGGGCGACACTATCGTGATATACTACGCAGGTCACGGTGATCGGAGGGACGCTCCCGCTAGCTGGGCCATGCAGATCAGGTCGAACTGATCTGTCCGCACGACGATGGGATGCTGGACACGATTGGAAAGCCCGTCTTCGGCATTCCGGATCGAACGATTGAAGGGCTCATGCGGCGGCTGGCCTATGAGAAGGGAGATAATATCGTAAGTTCCTTGATGTCGCCTCTGTGTACACCGTTCTGACAAACTTCATGCAGGCCGTCATCTTCGACAGCTGCCATTCAGGTGGCATGGATCGCACGTTCGATGGCGGCGAAGTGCGGAACCTCTCGACACGCGGCTGGCTTTTCCGCCCTCGCATCCCGGATGACCTCGACCAGGACATCTGGTCGTGGCAGCCCCCGGATGACGCTCGCGGTGCGGCGATGATCCTTCTCGCACCGCTCGATCCCGCAGCCTCGACACCAGAAGCGAGTTCGCACGTTCTCCTTGCGGCGTTCCTCCCGGACGAGACGGCGAAGGAGATCATCATCGACAACCAATCGCGCGGGGTATTCACATACCTCCTGCTCGCGTGCGTGCGCATGCACCGCACCAACGACCTCACATACGCTCGTCTTGTGGAGGCACTGCGGAAGCCGGACAACGTGCAGTTCCCTGGCCCGCCTAGTGCGCTCGCGCTGACGTGTGTGCGTGGGACGGAACAAACACCGGCTCAGGCTGTTCACGACGATCGAGCTCGAGCACGACGCAAAGTCATTCCCAGTTCGGTACGCCGCAGGGCTGCTCTTCGTCGAGGCGGGCTACAGGGACGGCATCAGCAAGGACACGCAGTTTGTTGTGGACATCCCGCAGGGGTCGCAGTCTCGCTTTACGCCGCAACGTGTCGTGCTCATCGCAGAGCTTGTCAGGCACGTGCACGGTACGGTACCTGCGAGAGAGTACCTGCGAGTGTTGGCCGAGCACTGGACGGGACACGAGCTGTGCTCTATTCCCCGAATGTTTGGCTGGAATGGAAAGCTCTCCTCCTCCTCCCCCTCGTCCCCCTCGTCCTCCTTCTGCCGTTTACAATCTCTTGAGATCGTGGCAGATTACGTGTCCCGATTGGCAGGAAGATGCCCGAGTGTATGGCGGCCCGTTTGTGGAAATAATCGGATCGCACGAAATGTAATAGTACCTACGAAAAGTATAATAAATGCACGAAATGTGCATTCACGAAAAGTTTGGAACCACTCACGAAAAGTTTGGATAATCACAAAACTCGGAAGGGTACACGAAATGTATGCTCACGAAAGTCGGCTTGCATGAATCGCGCGCAGTGTGACGCGAGTGTGATCGAGTGACCGTTTGTCACCGAGTGTGATCGAGTGACCGTTTGTCACCGAGTGTGACACGTGAGTGCGTGGCCTTAGCCCGCCTCCGGCACTCAGCTTCGAATTGTAGCGGCCAGGATTTTTTAGGTACATTCAAAACACATAAAACACGCGTCTCGCGCACAGAAACATCCTGGGGAAGTCGCTCTTCCGCCACGAGTTGAATAAAGACATCGCACTCGCGCGCCACCGCGCCACCGCGCCACCGCGCCGGCGCTTGTGGCTGTGGCTGCGCGCGTACCGCTGCGCGCAGTCACATTGACTGCTGTAGTCCAAGTCAGATCCCCTAGGCAGCTAGGTTCTAGCTTTATCTTACGTTCTTGGCCCCTTGGCCCTCGCACATCCATGTATCTAGTGACTAATGAAAGAAATATAGCCGGTGCCACATGTCATGAAGTTGCGAAACTTCAAACAGACTCGCCGTGTAATATAGCCTTTGCGCTTCTAAAGCATGTGGACCACTCATGATCTTGGCTTTGCTCTAATTGGCCATCTTCCGGAAACACAGTCCGATTCGTGTGTAATATGTTGCATAAATGCATATGTCTCGAGGTGATTTCACTGCTTTGTCTTGATGATTCGAGTCACTGGGAGCATTTCTGCTTTTCACAATCACCTGCACTGTTGTTCTGATTCCGTTCCGCAGGTCAAGCTTAAAGCCGTATAAAAGCTGGCTTGTCCTACCGGAAGTTCTTTAGTACTAGTAGTCAATACATTGCATTTGCTGCTCCGAGTATGCTACTATTGTACAAGACAGAAGCACATAATACACCCGCCGGCTTCAAGATGCTCTGAGGCGGGGACGAGTGATGGCCTGCAGTCCATCTGCAGGACCGCGAGCAACAGCAGTTCGTCAGCGCAAACAAAGTTGTCGATGTCCGGCTTCAGGGTTGACCAGCCGCAGGCGCGCACAAGGTCCTCGAACCTGCCGCTCCTCTCCACCAATGAGGCTCTCCCTACCCGAGTCTCGCCGCCGTCCAGATTGACCGCTTGCGCGTATCAGCTGTGCAGCCCGCATACACTCGCGGTGTGTCTACATACCATTCAGCATAAGACAGAGTCTGCCATCATGAGATTACACAAACACACGGACTCACCAGTCATGACTCATACTGCAAAGGTCCCAGCCGCATACTAGACGGCGGTGCAGTGCAATCGCGGTGCTGCTTTCACAAAATGGCTTTGCCCCGGTCAACACAACCACGTCGAGCTGCAACTAGACAAGTCATCGTACATGTACTTTACATCCTACTCTCAGAATTGACACCTCACTGCTTGACCACATACCTCGTTGCGGGCTGCAGAGGCAGCCCTGCCGCCTAATACACCATATTGATCGACTTCATCTACAGTCGTCACAATCGTCAGTACCCCATCATCCGCAGAAACACAGGCTAGAAAATGCGCACCTGGTCGATTGAGCTCTGGTTCGTGACAGTGCGCAGACTCGCGCCCGCGGAGCCTGTTGACGAAGACCTCGAGCTGCCAGCAGTACGTGCTCCAGTACTCCTCACCGTGCACGCCGCCCGTCTTCCCGGAGTACTTCAGGGTAGTGCTTCTCGTACCGTACCGCGTCTCGCCCGTCGCCTTGTCCTTTGTCGCGATGTAGTGGTACAGCTGTTAGTGCCATAGCCGTCAGCGCCGGGACCCTCTCTCAGACGAGCGGGGCACGTACTACGCGGTGGGGCATCGTGAAGTTATAGAGCGTCACGAGTGCACGCTCCGTCTCGACCTCGATCGTAGGGAGCTCCCACACGCGCGGAACGAACCCGGCGACGTTCGCGCGGCGCATGTCCGCATACACCGTCGCCTCGACGTTGTACTCACCCTCTGCGCCCTCCGCGGAGCCCTCACGGTACACGAGCGTCGTGTCCATCGCCTCGTCGACACGCTCATCCCATGGCGACGGCCGCGTGTGCGCGGACTTGACGCACAAGGGGGCACCCGCGTCGAGCGCGAAGCGCGTGCTCGAGAGGACGTACGTCACGTCCATCAGCGCGCCGCCCGCGAGGTCGAACTGCCAGCGGATGTCCGACGCGGGGATCGAGCAGACGGGCGAGGTCATGATCGCGTGTGTCTGCAGGACCTTGTCGTGCTGCGGGCCGGTAAGCATAAGGGAGAGAGAAGGGAGGGCAGACACACCTTTGACACGACGTCCTTGAACGCGTGTGCGGCGGGGTGGCACTGCCAGTGGAACGCCTCCATTACGTGCGCTGCGCGGTCTCGATGACGCGCCGCGCCTCCGCATCGTTAGCGGCGAAGGCCTTCTCGAGGAGGACGTGCTTGCCCTTCTCGAGCGCCTTGATCGCCCACTTGCCGTGCTGCCCGTTCGGGAGCGAGATGTAGCGTGACGAAGTCGACGAGCGGGCTGTAGCAGCTTGTCGTACGACCCGAAGGCGTGTGCGATATTAGCCTTGAAAGGCTTGAAGCCCACAGACATGTGTAAGTAATTACTGAATACAACTACAATCAAGTACTTACCTTGTACCAGCAATAAACCACGTTCAGACGAGGACGCGAGCAGACCGACGCGACGCGTTCAACATCGAACACGGTCACATGAGGGCTCGGGCACGTCGCCGTAGCCACAAGCGCCGGCGCGGTGGCGCGGTGGCGCGCGAGTGCGATGTCTTTATTCAACTCGTGGCGGAAGAGCGACTTCCCCAGGATGTTTCTGTGCGCGAGACGCGTGTTTTATGTGTTTTGAATGTACCTAAAAAATCTTGGCCGCTACAATTCGAAGCTGAGTGCCGGAGGCGGGCTAAGGCCACGCACTCACGTGTCACACTCGGTGACAAACGGTCACTCGATCACACTCGCGTCACACTGCGCGCGCACTGATTCATGCAAGCCGACTTTCGTGAGCATACATTTCGTGTACCCTTCCGAGTTTCGTGATCATCCAAACTTTTCGTGAGTGGTTCCAAACTTTTCGTGAATGCACATTTCGTGCATTTATTATACTTTTCGTAGGTACTATTACATTTCGTGCGATCCGATTATTTCCACAAACGGGCCGCCAGAGTGAGCCGGAGTTTCCCTTCAGATCAACCAGTCTCGAGTCTTTTTTTCGTGTCTGTCATAGTTTTGTGGTCGGCCCAATCGTGTCGTAGTCACAGCAAGCCAGCATGTCTGTAGTAGTGTTCAAGTGATTTCTCCAGCCAATTTCGTGGAGACAGGCCATAGTGTCGAGGTCCGCGTACTTGGACCGCGGGAACTCGGAAGCGGTGCGATCGATCGATCTCGCACGCGCCACCAATACAATCCCAACATGACTCCAGCCACACGCCCCGCCCTCCTCTCCTCCTCGTCCTCCCCGTCGCCTGCGTTACGCGTGCGCCGTCTGCAGGCACGCTTCGGCCTCACCTCAACACGCGAGGCGACTGCAACATGCCCAGCCCCCCCGCCAGCCTCGCCACCGCCGACGCACCACCAGTCCGCCTCCAGACTGGGGCACACTGTAGGTCCACGTCCTGCCCTGGGCGTGTTTCCGACGCCGTGATCGACCCCGCTGATCGCGATCGCCCCTCGCAGCCGCGGCGAACAGATTAGCCCGCCCGCACGACCCCGCCCTCCCCGCTCGCCTCCGCCGCAAGACCACCGGCCGCACGATGGACTCGGACGACTCCGGCTGGGACGCTGACTGGGAGGCCGAGTCGCGCGCGTCGTCCGTCGCCCCCATGCCCGTCCACGCGCGCTGTCACCCCGGCCAGGGCCACGACGAGGGCGGTATGGCGGTCGACGCCGATGGCCCTGCGACGTCCGAGTCGACAATGGCCCACCCGCCGATGGTCTATGCGCCCGCGGCCCACCCTCCCCTGCTCCCCGCAGAGGCCGCCCGCGCGATGGAGGCCACGAAGGAGGCCCTACGCGTCGCGGCGCTCGTCGAAGGTGCGTCGTCTCGCCCCCGCTCCTCGCGCACCACCATCCTAACCTCGCACGCAGACGAGTGCCTCGCCCGCCGCCGCCGCCTCTCCGAGTCGCACCCCCGCCGCCTCCGCAGGTACAACCCCGACTATCTCCTCGCCGCGCGGCGCTGGCACACGCTCCGCCGCCCCGCCTCGAAGCACGCCGAGCACGAGCGCGAAACCGACGCGGAGCGCTCCTCCGCCTGCCAACACTGCCTCACCAGCATCGACTCGCACCCCCCTCCCTACCACAATCCCCTGGCCCCCAAGCCCCCGCCAACGCCCGCCCACCCGCTCTCCTCCCTCGCCGCCCCGCCCCCGCCCTACGACGCCCGCTCCCCGCCCAGCCCAGCGTACACCCCCACAACGCCCGCAGACTGGGAGGCCGTCTACGCCCACCTCGCAAAGCACCGCGCGACCCTCGCCCACCTCCAGCGCGCCGCCGCCGACGCCGAACACGCCCTCCTCGGCGCGTGGGCCCTCGTCGACGAGCTCGTCCTCCCCGTCCTCCGCCAGCGCGCCGTGCCCCGCGACATCCCTGTCGCCGCGCGCTGTGTCGGGTGAGCCCGCGGTGTACGGTGAGGTGGCGATCTCTTGGAATGTGATTCTTGGAAGGAAGTGGACGCGGTGTACGATGGTGTAGCATGACGACTACGATTAAGACGAACGAACGAACGAACGAACGAACGCAAGGTGAAAGATGGGTGTATGCGTGTACTACTGGTGTGTATCATAGCTCCGTTGTCCGTCCTCGCTGCAAGTCCTCGCATGAACTGTGTATCATACTACTGTTAGCTGTCGATTGTTGGCTGCTGTCCTGTCTTGGAATGTATTCGTGTCTCGCAATCAATGACGTCTCGAACACTTTTCTGTCTGCATGTCGTCTGCACGCGTCGCGCCTCACCAGATGATAATGAGATATATTGGGACAAGAGGCCAAAGACAGAATGACGCTGCTCAGCCGCCCGGGCACACCCTACGCACGCCGCGCCCTGTCCCGCCACTCCTCCCAGATACGGTGCTCCAGCCGCGGTGAGCTTCATCGGATACAGCTCCTCCCACAATGCCCAGTCATCCAAGCATGGCACCCCCCAAGCCGCGTACATAATATCCCTCAACTGCGTTGTTGGGACCGCTTCCTCGTGGGCTCTCCTCGCTAGCCACTTGCGCGTGTGCTACTCGTACGCAATGCTGCAGGCCATGCTGAGAAAGGTCAGGCCGATGGGTACGCCGCGCGCGGGCCCGCAAGGCCGATCGTGACGTTGTCGGCATAGAACCCCGTGGGGACTAGGGGATTGAGTGTGGTGCGTAACGGGAGTAATAGACGGGCTCGCAAGAGGACTTGCTGGTTAGCCAGTGCAAGCATCGAAGTTGGCCCGACAGAAAGTGCGTGCCAGTGGAGAGCGACGTACCTGCAGGGACGGTCGTGAACCCGGGCGCTGCGAGGTCATACAGCCCTGAATCCGTTCGGCCGTCTCATCGCACAGTCGTGTGCGAGCGCCGCGGAGTAAGTCGCATTCACCCTCGTCGGTACTTCCGAGGGAGTCGGGCCAGTGTGATCGTGAGTCATGGTAAGCACTGGACGCGGCGCACGCTATCTAGGCCGAGAACTCGAAGCGTGCATGGATTGGTCGTGTATCGCGTTGTCGAGCGTCGAGCGTGATGGCCCCGGCGAGCGACCGCACCCCCGATCCGGAAGGGTCGGAGAGCAGCCATGCACCCAGCTGGATCTACAGCACCATCCACTCATCAGCACTCAGAGTCAGAACACTGCGCCCGCGCACCTTGACAGCATGACCATCTCTCGTTCCACAGCGCAATCGCCTCCGCACGGCAAGTCAGCAGGGTCCACCCCCGTCACACCATGCCATCCAGTGCTTGCTCGGATACATCATTCACATCCGGGTCGTTCCCCGTAACTTAATTGAGTCGGTGAGAACGACAGCACGGGGCACGCCGATGCGCTTCCCCGCGCCCATTGCTGTGGAGAGCGAGGGTGCTGTAGAGTCGGGCGCGGGCGTCGGCTGCGCGAGCGTGCAAGATGCCGTTCGAGTCTGGGCGCGCGACGACGGAGAGCCCAACGGCGGCGATGGCAGGAGGAGGTAGCCACCGTCGAACGGCGCCAGGTCACGAGATCACAGCCGACTCCTGAGGCCTGAGTCCTTGCGCCACCACGAATTCGAACAGTCTGCAGCCACACCAACGGTGTTGGATGAACGAGCCATCGCAGCCTCACGGAATAAACCGTCTCGGGTCAGATATTCAAGACAAACCTCCGAAAAGATCGCGCCAGCCCCTCGAATCACCGCACTCCGAGCCCATGTTCGCGGGCCTTGACGAAGATTCACCGCCTACTGGCACAGAGCCCGCACGCCCAGGAACGTCTTCACGCTTCACCTTATCTGAACTTGCCGAGTGGAATGACGACTTGCAGGAATATAAAGGACTTGCCGCGCGGAAACCACATATCTTCCTGGCGTTTGTCATCAACACCGTCAATGAGAAGAGACCCGGGGCACTCAACAAGCATTTCTCAGCGGCTGAGGATGCCAAGGATCTCCTGGCCAGTGATCCCGGGCTCAGAGAACTATTACGATCTGCGAGCGTGAGTGGAGACTTCAAGCCTGTCATCAATGCGGGTCAGTGTGCTGCCTACTGCCGTCTAAGCTACACGGTGATGTGATCATGCAGACGTGCTCCTGCCGCGAGCACCGAATCCCCGGCAAGAACCAGAACATTATAGCAACTTTTCAAGCAAAGCTTCGAAAGGAGGTGTGTACGAATCTCCGTAGAAAGTATTGTACGCTCATCGCAACTTCCTAGCGGCTGTCGGGTCTTGGCGGCAGGAGTTTCGAGGCACCAGTGATGCGTTACACGCCGTTATTCGGCGCTATATGCAACAGAAGACACCAGAGCCATACGCCCGCTATGCTGCTTACACTCAGTCCTCGGGTACCGGAAAATCACGAATGAACGACGAGCTTGCCAAGAAGATTATCTACATTCCAGTTAGCCTAGCGGCGGATAACAGTGATAGTACGTGGCCTGCATGGTACGATAGTATGCAATCATTGAATGTTTGCAACAGCGTTTCCTCCGCCAGACGTTGAAGCTGGTGATTGGTTCGCATTTCATGCAAGCACGCGGGAGCGCTACGAGCACAGAATGCAAGCTTTTGTCTGTTCTCTTCTTAAAAATGCTCTAGACCGCCTGAAACGTATTGAGGAAGAATGGCAGCGGGCGGGGTATCACGGTATGTCCCGCTCTGGATCTCTGTCAGTGAGGTTGACAATGTGCGTCAAGTACCAGCGGTGACTGGCACTCGGGAGGTTCACGAGCGCATGTCGCTGTTGGCGAGTGAATTCAGGAAGAAGATGGGCGATGGCATGGAGTTTGGTCAGCACGGCGAGTATCGAGCGGCATTCTATCAGTCGGTGATTGAAGGTTCCAGAAATGTGAGTATGCATTCTTTCGTTGTTACATACGCTACATGTATGTGGCCCAGTTTGTGCCGACGAACGTGCAATCAAAAACCAAGAAGGACAGTCCGATACGTTGGTGTAATCTACCTGTGGCTTGTGCCGAGTACTGACAGGAGTTTAGTGGGTCAAAATAACAAGACAGTCAAAACCAGCGCCGAGGAGTTAACTATGGATCCGTGGAAGAAGGCGCGCACCGACGAACCACTTGTCATCCTGTGCTTTGACGAGGCTCACATGCTCACCATGTCTGTGGCCGGTGAATACGACTGGACACGATTCTCAGAGCTACGGCGCGTCCTCCGCATGATCGTAGGTTGGCCAATCTTCACTCTCTTCCTTTCTACAGTCGGCGAACTGGAACAATTCGTCCCGCTTCCTCAGCAAGAGACGTCGAGTCGACTCGCCATCAGAGAGCTGGGCCTGTTCGCACCCATCGTCCTCACCCCGTTTGATATCTTGGCCGAGCGCATATCAAAGTCAAACTGGACCCTGCAACGGGTTGCCTCCACACATCACATGACACATTTAGGCCGCCCCTTGTGAGTGAAAGCACGTACGGGTTATGGTCATACTGACTGTTGTAGGTTTGCCGCGATGTACGACGCCGGCGATGCGGACTTCCAGCAAAACATCGTTAAATTTGCGGGCACCAAGTTGTTGCACTCGAAGACACATCCGTCATCCCTCACAGCAATGCAGTCGCTGGCCTGCATGGGCGTACGGATCCCAATCCACTTCCATCCCACCGTTCCTCCCGATATGGTGAAAGAACGAATCCTAGTAGGTCAGCATCTACGCCTGCTGCTGTATGCCGGCCTTGGGTTCACCAGTATGATCACCACCTGTGCGTCCGAGCCGCTGCTCGCAGAGGTTGCGTATCGGGTCCTAGGTACAAGACGGTGGTCAGCAGGCGAGGCGGTCATGATCGCTCCTAGTGAACGCGGAGCACAAAAGTTCTCGCCGCCGTTACAGGCAGTCTCGGAACATCTCAAGCATTCTTACCTGGATCTGGGCACGCGTGGAGAAACGGTCGCCGCTGTTTTACTGCTCGACGCTCGCGATCGTGCGACGACGTTTCCCCTCGCCCCTAACGAGTTACCACCCGGGACGGACACTGGCGGCGACAAGACGCTTAGATACGATGGAGCTCGGGAACGCCGGATCGTGACCGTGTCGCAGTTCTTGAAGGCGCTCCTAGCAAAACCTTGCCACGACATCACTCCACTCGAGTACCATCATGTCCAGCATGCCGAAGTACGACTGGAATTTGCATTCAAGGACTGTTTCGTCTACTTCAACCACTTCATCAAGGCCACCAGCTTCGAGGTGGTGAATCAGGCGTACCTCAGGCTGGCCATCTCTCGCGGTGCGGCGTTGATCTGCGCAGACAATCAGGCCGGTGTCGACATCATCATCCCGTGTCTGTTCGGAACCCAGCTGGTCTCAGAGAAGGTGACCGCTATCATGGTGCAGGTGAAGAACGACAGGCGGTTCACGACGAAGCTGCAGCGCCACCTGTTTACGGCCATGAACCCGTACACGTGCGGTATCTTCGCCAAAGATGTCAAGGATCCACCGCCGGTCCTACGCATGGTGTTTGCGCTCGCGTCATCTGGGTCAGCTGTAACAAGTCCATCGCGAAGGCAGCGTACGTCTCCGGGGCGCCATGAAGCATCAGCCAAATTCACCGCGTACGATATTTGGTGCGCTGGGGCGGGCGCATCGACGTTCGGAGTTGTTCAGGAGGGCGAACAGGAGGTGATTGACAACATCCTCAAAACGTTGCGTAGGCCGCGCGAGGCGGAGAGGATGTACAAGGACGATGAACCAGTCAGTGCTGTCCGGGCGATGCAACCTCTGTCGTCGACAGACCGCAGCCACTTCGAGCGGTGGGCTGAGATCGAGGAAGGCATCGGGGAGGAGTGTGAACTCTTGGAAGCGGACGAGTAAGCCGGAGGCTGTGCATGTACTACTGTACGAGGTCCCTGAGGAGAACGCAGAGTTGGTCAACTGTATAAGGACCATAGATGATAGTGTATGCCGATATCTGTAGCTACGGAGAAACCAGAGGCTCACGGATTGGACACTTAGATGAAGGTCCACGTAGATTTTACAGTCCTGGAGCGGATCGAAGATAGCCTGTCACATCGAGTATAATGCTCGTCGCCCGTTCCCGTATGACGATGCAACACGTTAGCATGCACGCAGACCCATTGAGGATCGACGAGCAACTGCTTACCGAGCCTTTTCCAGCGACCACGCTTCCGGGACATTACTGATCAACAGCGGGGCTTATCGTCCAGTGCCCGTGAACCTGCTTTCCACGTAAGGTACAATAGGCAAGCTCACGTACACGATCAGATATACCCGTCCGTACGTCCCAAATCAACGGTGGTAAGTGCAAACCCCGTCCAGACGACTCGGAGGCCGTGACGTTCCTCACCAGCACGGCAATCGTATGCACGTGAGTGCGGCTGACGAGGCTGACGGTTCGTGCGCACATATAGAGTTGTCCGTCGACGGCCGCTCGTGCATGCTCCGAGCCCTTCGTCGTCCGACGTGTTCTGGAAGGGAAATCACTACATACCTTCGTCGACGGAACACCCGACAACGTAGTGCGCCTACGAGTCACCACCTGCCGACACGTCCAGCGATGCGTTCACCAACCCCTGCATCAGACTCGAGCGACGCCGAGAGTGGCGACTGGCCCGCGTACAAGCAAGCCATGTCCGCCGCTAGCGCCTTCATCCAAGAATGGTACGCCCACACGCTCTTCCTTCCATCGCGCGCCACTGCTAAGCACCCCGCCCCGCCCCGCCGCAGCGCCTCCGCCCGCCGCCCGACCCTCCTCCTCCCCGACAAAGACGCCGACGGCCTCTGCGCCGGCCTCATCCTCCACTACACCCTCTCCGCGCTCGGCCTCCCGCCTGCGCTCATCTCGACCCACTTCGTCGGGAAGGGCTCGAACGTGCACGCACCCACGGAGCGTGTACGCATCCAGGCGATCGTGCCCCGCCCGGCGTACATCATCGTCGCGGACCAGGGGAGCCGTGCAGGGCCTGCGATACTTCCTGGTGAGGACGAGGGCGACGGGAGGCAGGAGGGAGAGGTAAGGACGTTGATCGTGGATCACCACCTAGCGGATGGCTTCCCCGTTGGCGCGATTGTCCTCTCCGCGGCGAAGCACCAGCCCGTCGCGACGTCCTCGACACTTGCGTACCTCCTTTGCGAGCCGCTCGTGCGCAGGGCATCGCCGGAAGTGCGCGCGCGCATGGAGTGGCTCTGCGTCCTGGGAACGATGGGCGACCTCGGCGTCGCCCACAAGTGGGAGCGGCCTTGGCCGGATATGAGTGCCTGTATGAAGAGGTGGACGAAGAAGGTGCTCGGGGAGGCTGTGGCGTTGGTCAATGCGCGCGAGTATCTTCGATCTTTGAGTCACCGGGTAGTGCAGGGTACTGACTGGATCGCGCGTGTAGCCCGGAGGACAGCGGAGTAAGACGTTCACACTGCGTGGTCTGCCCTCCTGGCGAACGACCCCGCCCAGATCGTCTCTGCTGCGTCGGGCAACAAGCATGTTCAGAGACTCCACAAAGCCCGCCGTGAGATCCGCGCGGAGACCGAGCGGTGTGGGCATACGGCACCCACGTTCTCTGGGGATGGCCGCGTCGCTCTGGTGCGGATCCGGAGCGAGGCACAGGTGCATCCAGTGAGTCGGTCTGGTAGATTAGCGTACGATAATATCGGCACTTCGTACTGACCCCTTGGTGCACAGCTGATCGCGACCCGCTGGGCGTCGACACTCAAGTCGGCCCGCCTGCAGATCGTCATCTGCGCCAACGATGGGTACCTCCCTGGTGCTGAGATGACCAACTTCGCCTGTCGGATCGCGCGTTGCGCCATACCCTCGTCCAAGTCCAAAGGCGCCCCGTCGTCGGCCAAGCGCGAGTCCACTGCGAGTGTCGGTGACAAGGGCGAAGCCGGGAGCGAGATCAACATCCCGGACATCCTGCGAGAGTACGCGGTACGTATTCCGGGCTTGAGGGAGAGCATGGGCGAGGACTTTGCGCGCGGACATGCGCAGGCGAGTGGGGGCATCGTGAAGAGTGAGGACTTTGAACGGTTGTGGCAGGTTATGCGGGACGCACCTGCGGATGGATCGGGTGAGTTCTGCGTTGTCGTAGGCAGGCGGGACCTGGGCTGATGTTGCATTGGTGTGTTAGGACCGCCCAGGAAGAAGAGAAAGGTTGAAGCGACGCAGAAGAATACGTTGGAGGGCTGGATCAAGAAATGAGGACTGCACATCGAGAATTGCTCTGCATGGACCCTGTGCATTTGTGAGATTATGTACCTGCGATTTGTGATATTGCTCGCCGTGAAATCATGACGGCGCTGTCGTGCATTGACTCTGCAACCATACTAGACCTGTTAGCTGTCAGGGCGAGTGCACTCTGCGCTTGTAGTAGTTTCTCGACCTCCCTGGTCGATTCGACCAGAAACGCTGCGCGAAGACTGACATCCTCTGGTAGCAGGGTTTCCAGAGAGGCCGTACCGGTATTCGCCCTTAATCTACCGGTTACCGGTAATTAGTGAGCGGGTGTTGGCTGGACGCGAAATATTCACATCGTTCGTAGTCTGCCAACCCTTTAACAGTCTTGACGACCGGGAATGTGGTGCTGTGAAATGGTCTAAGCAGTATGTTCATGCGCGAGTAACACCGTACCTCGAGATATTGCGTCGATGTTGAGTACGGGGATGCATGTGCTTGCGGCCGCTCGACCGCACGCGGAGTACGTTGCCCGAGAACGATAAGTTAGTGCGCAACAGATTGCATAAAAGTGGTCTTACCGAAGCGACGTCCCTGTACATCCACTGTCACTGTGCTGCCAGCGGCCAGCACGAGGCCTCTGCTGACAGCTTCTGATATGTTTTGGCTATGTTCGAGGACAAGACATGGCCAGCGTCCGCGAGCGCCGAAGGATGCTTACATAATGGCGCGCCTCGGTAGCGGGATGGAAATTGCAAGACTCTTGAAGAGAGTCGGACTTGTGCTCGCTGTCCGCCTCGTTGCGCACGCTGGCAGACACAACGACCTCCCGCTCCCCGACGTCGTCTTTGGTGTCCCCAACACCGCCTCCGCTCCTTTGCCTCCGCTGTCCCTGCCTCCCTGATCGTGCCTGCCGCCGTCGTGCCTCGCGCAGCGTTCGTCCGCCCTATTACTAGCCGCCCGCAACTGTCGACTGCACTTCGCTCTCACTCAACTGAACAGATTTGACTCGACTTGTTCCTCATTCGCGCCTTGATCTGTGTGTTGTGTATGGCTCGCCGCTGATATGGACGCAACTGAGCTCGGTCGCTGGTCGCGATTTGCTGGCAAGGGCGGCATTGGGAAATGCACTGCGCTCCAGGATTATGTCGCTGAGGAACCCGAGGATCTCATGTTCATGAAGGTATGGTGTCCATCTTGCCTCGACGGAAAGCTGTCTGACCTGGGCCATGCAGGACGACGAGATCACCGTGCTCATGCAGCTGGGGGAAGAGGATCTCTTCCTGGTGAGTCGTCGCGTGTCCTCTGCCTCATTCATCCTACGATGCTCACTATTGCCGCCTCACAGGGCTATTGCGAAGGCGTTATAGGCCGTTTCCGCACCTCCTTCGTCCGCTTCCACGGACGGCTCAAGAAACCCGTCATGGCCAAGCGCTCTTCCTCCGGCCACTCCATCTCCCCTTCCCTCCGCTCGCGCTCACACTCCCAGAGCCGCCCCTCCTCCTCCCAGAGCGCAGTCACCCTTGCCGCTCGCGACGTCGTCTCCCCGCCCATCCCCTTCCAGGGCTCCCCGGCCACCTCGCGCGCGAGCAGCCCCGGGATGAGCCGCAGCGTCAGCGGCTCGAGCAGCGTCGTGGCTGAGATGAGCAGTATGGGGTCTATGGGCAGTGTGAGTAAATTTAGGCAATCCAGCTCGATGAGTTCTATGCGTGCGCCGTCGCCGCTGAGCAAGGTGCGTTCTACCGAGGAGGGCCCGCACTACCCAGAGCGATCGACGAGCTATTCCTCCTCAAGATCGGCGACGCTCGAGACGGTTCCCCCTGCTACACCCGCTACTGGGTCTCCGGACGAGGAGGAGTACACTGTGCGGATAGCCGTCGACTCGCGCGACCACCCCGAGCAGCTCTCGCCTGTCATCAGAGAGTCCGTGCTGTTTGTAGACGATGAAGAGGGTACCGGGCACGCACTCATGCCTGGTCCAATGACGAGTCCCCTCAACATACGCAAGTCGCCGTCTGCGTCCTCGCCCCAGCCGCCACCCTCTCCCGTGCGCTCAGACATCAGCTCAGAAATCAGCCCGCGATCGTTCTCGTTCGGCGTGGACGACACGGAGGACAGCAGTCGTCTCTCACTAGACATGTCCGCCGGCGTGGAAGGCATCGGTCTATCCCTACTACAGGGCTTCATAAGCGGAGGCGCAAACGGCGATGACGACGCATCCATCCTTAGCAGCCGCAGCGGAGCGAACACGCCAAACCGCGGCGCAAGCGACCGTCGCCACTCCTTCGCCTCTACCGTGAACATGGACGGCCGCCTCGCCGATAGCCCCCGCTCCGCCACCCAGTCCCTCTCGCACTACTCCCGCTCGCCCTCCCCCGCGCCCTCCATCCAGCCGCTCTCCCCGCTCGAGCCACCTCACGAGCTTGACCCGCCGAACCCGCCGTACGCGCGCGACTCCCAGCGCTCCTCGGTGCAGTCCCTCAAGTCCACGCGCTCGCTCCAGTCTCTCCGGCCGTCGCTCGCCGGTTCGGAGAACAGCGGCGGCTCGGGGTCCGGCTGGGAAGGCGACATATACGATGATTACCGCTATTCACGCTTCTCGATGGCGAGCAAGATGTCGAGGTTCTCTCAGGGGTCGATCAAGCCTATGGATATACCGCCAATGCCGAGTGACCATCCCATGTCGAAGCTGAACGTTGAGAGTAGGTTGAGGGTGTCGGAAGACTTGAATGTGGATGAGGAAGTGGCACAGCCGCCAGCTGCGGTAGTGGTCAGCTCGGAGAGTGGGACGATCACGACAGAGTTGTCAACGGAGGAGGCGTCCGAACGGGGGAACACAACGATTAAGGACAAGGACCGCCCGTCGCCACTGTCCTTCATGGGTAAAGATGGTGGACCCAACTCTCTGCGACACAGCAATGCGAGTGCAGGACAAGTGGCCTCGCCCCTTCTGCACGGGTCATTTGGCTCGCCGACGCAGAGCGTGACACCGAAAACACCGGGTTCCCCGAACACACCGGCGTCCATAGACTCGTTTGTATCGCCTCCACCGGGATCTCCTCAGCAGCAGGTTCTCAGCGGGTTATCGCCTCCGCGAGACATGGACATGCGAAGAGCGTCCGGGCAAGCCATCGTAGTCGAAGACGACGAAGAGCCGCCCTTCGTAGTTGGCCCCTCGTCACCCACGTCTCCGCGAGACCAGGCGGCGTTTGCCTCTGCAAAAGCGCGGGAGGCCGCCGTCGAGCGCGCCATGTCGCCTCCCAACGAGCCAGCGCCTCCCCCGTATGCCATGGCCGGCCCGTCCTCCCGTCCGATGCAGATCGTCATGTCTCCACCGCCCGCCCAGGGACCGCCTCTGCTGCGCACTCGCTCGACGAACCAGCCGCCCGCGGACCCTGCCGCGCGTACTTCGCTTTTCATGCCTCATCCTCATGCACCGAAACCAGCGCAAGTACCTGCGGGTCCGATGTATGGACGCCAAGCTGCACCCTTTCCCCTTCCTCAACAGTACAATGGGCCACCGCCGGGCTCGGCTATTCATATCTTACATACCTTGCTAGGTCAACAGCAGCAGGGCAGACGGCCGGGTGGGGCGTCGACAATTTATGCCCGATTCGACAGGGATTTAGCGACCTCCATCGGGCCTGTGCCGATTTCGTTCACGCTGGAGCCACAGATGAACATTCCGGCGAACAGACCGGTCGGACCGGACATGTACAATCAAGGCCCTGGCAGCCGAGCGGGTTCGCCTGCTGCAGTCCCCTCTCGCATGGGAACGCCGCTCGATCCCTCTCCATACGATGTGGCCGCCACCATGGCCCAAGGATCAAGTCTGTCGAGATCGGCCACGGCCTCGCCAGCAGTCGGCGGACTGGGCCGTGTCGCTTCACCTGCGGTGGGCCAAAACCTGGCACGTTCTGCAACGGCGTCGCCGCGACCTATCAATTCCCCTCCACAACCCCAGGGTGAATTCGGGCGCCCAGACTCCGTCAGTAGTGGTAAGGCCATACCAAGACCCAATTTCTTCCCTAAATCCGGCACACCGCGGCCTCGCTCACGCTCGTTCTCGGGATTCGACTCACCAATCGCAGAAGTAGTTATGCCGCAAGGAAGCGAGTGAGTGTCAGTATTAGTCGTTTGTATGGGAGACTAACGCCTTGTAGTTCGAAGGATGGGTCGTCGTCGGCTCAGTTGTCGTCAGTCGCGCTCATTACCAAAAGGTCCAAATCTGCCACTGCTACACCGGTCGTCGCGTCGTCTCCCGTATCTGTGCCTTCTCCTCAAAAGGCCACGCTCTCGCATACATCCTCGGTTGTCAGAGGCGTACAAAGGCCTTCTCCTCTGTCTCTATCTCAGAACAACGTTGTCGCGGGCCCCGCAACTCCTGGGCCATTTGCAGGGCGTCCTATGCTGATCCCTGCTGCATCTTCAGCTCCGGGGTCGCCTGTCTCCAGAGGAACCTTCGATCGAAACGGAACAATCAGTCCACCCCAGCAGCGGGATGTCCCGACAGGAGGTTCGTCCGTTCGTCACCAATCGACGGCGACCCTAAAGTCTGAACATTCAGCATCTCCATCTAGCCCTCCATCGTCTACAAGGTCTCCTGCATCGCCGCGATCATCATTTCCAGTGATACGACACAGTCGGTCGTCAATCTTGCCGGGCACAAAGGCTGCATTGGGTGACCCGGCACTCCCTTCCTTGCCCCGCGCGCCGGTCGCTCCGGGGCGTCCATCTATAGAGAGCAATAACACACCACCGCGTCCATCTGTGGAGAGCAGTGTGTCGCGCCAATCGGCTGACAGCAACGGCCTGCGGCGTCCATCCCAATTATCAATGGCAATGAAAGTTTCTTCACCCTCTCCTGATGTTTCGGAATCTGCCTCTGGCGTGTCGGCGCGCGCTCCGTCGCTGCGGTCCACAGTATCCTCATCGGGCTTGCGCGTGCAGACGCCGAGCGAGCGTACGCTTTTGCAACCCAGCGAACGCAGCCCGGCATCGAGCACGTTTTCTTTTGATCCACCTGGTGAACAGAAGGTGCACGTTTCCGTCAAGGATATGGACTTTGAGTTGGTCGCTCCAGCCGTGCCGCGATCGCCGCTGGCCACGAGCAGCGCGGACTCGCTGCTCGTGCCGCCTGCCAATGCGGACGCCAAGAGCGTAATCGATGCAAGCCCCCTAAGCTTGAGGCGACCGTCAACCGACACATTCGGGGGAGACAGGGTTGCCAAGGTAACCGATGCCGCGGAGATTGAGGCGCACCGTCAACGAGAGCAGAGATGGATCGCTGCGCTGTCTTCGACGACCCCATCACAGGCACGCAAGACGAAGCGGATGCGGAAGTTGGTCCATGAGGGTGTTCCAGCGTCCGTTCGGTACCGGGTGTGGGCGCTCCTCACGGACAGCAAGGCAAAACGAATGGAGGGTTTGTACGCGCGGTTGGGCCAGAGGGAGAGAATCGCATATATCTCCAGCATCGAGCAAGATGCACAACATATTTTCCACGATCAGCCGTTGCTGGACCATTCGCTCGTGAACGTTCTCCAGGCTTACCTGACCATGGTCCCCGACGTGCAGTACACGAAGGGGCTTGCCATGGTCGCTGGCCAGCTGCTTCTACAGTCTCCTGAGGAGGATGCGTTCTGGACGTTCGTGACGATGATGGACTCGCATATTCGTCCGTACTTTTCCCCGCAGCCGGTCTTGCTAGAGATCGACTCGTCACTATTTGCGAAAGCATTGGAGAGCAACGATGCTGCGCTAGCTCAAAGGATCCTCGTGGAAATGGCGATACCCCCGATCTGCATATGCCGACCTTGGTACGCGCGGTCGTTAATTCGTTCGTGGGACCGCTGGCTGACGACAATCCTCCGAAGGTTCACTGCGCTATTTGCGGATGCCTTTCCTGCTGAATTTCTCCTGCGCGTCTGGGATATCTTTTTGTTCGAAGGTATGTCGCTAATCTGTCGCATAACATTCAGTACGGACTCACCGCATTCCCAGGGATTTCATTCCTTTTCCGCGTGGGATTAGCCATCCTTTCAAGCTGTCGCTCGTCACTCCTGCAGTGTAGAGGTCAAGAATCACTGCTTGCTGTCCTCGCGCACCCTCCGCCGCATTGTCTACCACCCACTCCGGACGCTTTCATTGACCTAGCGTTCTCCGTAAAGCTTCGAGACGAGGATATCTATAAACAGCGTAACAAGCTCGAGGCGCAGCTCAAGCGCCAGGTGCAAGCCCGTTCTCAGCTATCCGCCTCCAGAGTCTCGACGCCAACCATTTCATTGCCGCGCAGCTGAACTCTGCTCAAGGACGTGTCTTCGTGTGGATACCCGCTCGCTACCATAGACCTAAAGGTAATATACTGTCGCAGTCGTTCAATGTGCTATCATAGTGTTATTTTGCTACCGCTACAATCGCCCGCTGTTCCTCTCTCCCAAAGTATGCCATAGCATATATACATGTTCATGACCATTCACAGACGGTTTATCGTACTTGACCACCAATGCATGTAGATCGCAGTCGTCTTTCAGGAAACCATTGACTCCACCGTGTCACTCGTTCCCCGACTGTGAGCTCGTATGCCTTGGAAGGTACGGACGGGTACATTTGATCGTGTCTCCATACGTGGAGACCAGGTTGACGGGCCCTGGACGATAAACCTCGCTGTTCATGATCAAACGTTCATCAATAATTTCCCAGAAGCGTGGTAGCTGGAGGAGGCTCGGTAAGCAGTTGCTCGTCGATCCTCGATGGGTCTGCGTGCATGCTAACGCGTTGCCCGTTTGGCGGCCTTCGTCAGACGGGAACGGGCGACGAGCATTATACTCAATGTGACAGGCTATCTTCGATCCGTTCCAGGACTGTACAATCTACATGGACCCTCATCCAAGTGGTGTCTCCGTGAGCCTCTGATTTCTCCGTAGCTACAGAAATCGTACACTACCATCTATGGTCCTTGTACAATACACTTGACTGGTTCTGCGTTCCCCTCAGGGACCTCGTACAGTAGTACATGCACAGCCTCCGGCTTACTCGTCCGCTTCCAAGAGTTCACACTCCTCCCCGATGCCTTCCTCGATCTCGGCCCACCGCTCGAAGTGGCTGCGGTCTATCGACGACAGAGGTTGCATCGACCGTACAGCACTGACCGGTTCATCGTCCTTGTACATCCTCTCCGTGTCGCGCGGCCTACGCAACGTTTTGAGGATGTTGTCAATCACCTCCTGTTCGCCCTCCTGAACAACTCCGAACGTCGATGCACCCGCCCCAGCACACCAAATATCGTACGCGGTAAATTTGGCTGATGCTTCATGGCGCCGCGGAGACGTACGCTGCCTTCGCGATGGACTTGTTACAGCTGGCCCAGATGACGCGAGCGCAAACACCATGCGTAGGACCGGCGGTGGATCCTTGACATCTTTGGCGAAAATACCGCACGTGTATGGGTTCATGGCCGTAAACAGGTGGCGCTGCACCTTCGTCGTGAACCGCCTGTCGTTCTTCACCTGCACCATGATAGCGGTCACCTTCTCTGAGACCAGCTGGGTTCCGAACAGACACGGGATGATAATGTTGACACCGGCCTGATTGTCTGCGCAGATCAACGCCGCACCGCGAGAGATGGCCAGCCTGAGGTACGCCTGATTCACCACCTCGAAGCTGGTGGCCTTGATGAAGTGGTTGAAGTAGACGAAACAGTCCTTGAATGCAAATTCCAGTCGTAAGTCGGCATGCTGGACATGATGGTACTCGAGTGGAGTGATGTCGTGGCAAGGTTTTGCTAGGAGCGCCTTCAAGAACTGCGACACGGTCACGATCCGGCGTTCCCGAGCTCCGTCGTATCTAAGTGTCTTGTCGCCGCCAGTGTCCGTCCCGGGTGGTAACTCGTTAGGGTCGAGGGGAAACGTAGTCGCACGATCGCGAGCGTCGAGCAGTAAAACAGCGGCGATCGTTTCTCCACGCGTGCCCAGATCCAGGTAAGAATCCCTGAGATGTTCCGAGACTGCCTGTAACGGCGGCGAGAACCTTTGCGCTTCCCGCTCACTAGGAGCGATCATCACCGCCTCGCCTGCTGACCACCGTCTTGTACCTAGGACCCGGTACGCAGCCTCTGCGAGCAACGGCTCAGACGCACAGGTGGTTATCACACTGGTGAACCCAAGGCCGGCATACAGCAGCAGGCGTAGATGCTGAGCTACTAGGATTCGTTCTTTCACCATATCGGGAGGAACGGTGGGATGGAAGTGGATTGGGATCCGTACGCCCATGCAGGCCAGCGACTGCATTGCTGTGAGGGATGACGGATGTGTCTTCGAGTGCAACAACTTGGTGCCCGCAAATTTGATGTCTTGCTGGAAGTCCGCATCGCCGGCGTCGTACATCGCGGCAAACCTACAACAGTCAGTATGACCATAACCCGTACGTGCTTTCACTCACAAGGGACGGCCTAAATGTGCCATGTGATGTGTGGAGGCAACCCGCTGCAGGGTCCAGTTTGACTTTGATATGCGCTCGGCCAAGATATCAAACGGGGTGAGGACGATGGGTGCGAACAGGCCCAGCTCTCTGATGGCGAGTCGACCCGACGTCTCTTGCTGAGGAAGCGGGACGAATTGTTCCAATTTGCCGACTGTAGAAAGGAAGAGAGTGAAGATTGGCCAACCCACGATCATGCGGAGGACGCGCCGTAGCTCTGAGAATCGTGTCCAGTCGTATTCACCGGCCACAGACATGGTGAGCATGTGAGCCTCGTCAAAGCACAGGATGACAAGTGGCTCGTCGGGGCGCGCCTTCTTCCACGGATCCAGGAAGCGAATCAACTCCTCGGCGCTGGTTTTAACCGTCTTGTTATTCTGACCCCGCAAACTCCTGTCAGTACTCGGCACAAGCCACAGATAGATTACACCGACATATCCGACTGTCCTTCTTGACAAACTAGGCCGGATACGTGAAGCATAGCGTACATGACAACGAAAAAAATGCATACTCACATTCTTGGCACCTTCAATCACCGACTGATAGAATGCCGCTCGGTACTCGCCATGCTGACCAAACTCCATGCCATCGCTCATCTTCTTCCTGAATTCACTCGCCAACAGCGACATGCGCTCGTGAACCTCCCGAGTGCCAGTCACCGCTGGTACTTGACGCACATTGTCAGCCTCACTGACAGAGATCCAGAGCGGGACATACCGTGATACCCCGCCCGCTGCCATTCTTCCTCAATACTCTTCAGGCGGTCTAGAGCATTTTTAAGAAGAGAACAGACAAAAGCTTGCATTCTGTGCTCGTAGCGCTCCCGCGTGCTTGCATGAAATGCGAACCAATTACCAGCTTCAACGTCTGGCGGAGGAAACGCTGTTGCAAACATTCAATGATTGCATGATATCGTACCATACAGGTCACGTACTATCACTGTAATCCGCCGCTAGGTTAACTGGAATGTAGATAATCTTCTTGGCAAACTCGTCGTTCATTCGTGATTTTCCGGTACCCGAGGACTGAGCATAAGCAGCATAGCGGGCGTATGGCTCTGGTGTCTTCTGTTGCATATAGCGCCGAATAACGGCGTGTAACGCATCACTGGTGCCTCGAAACTCCTGCCGCCAAGACCCGACAGCCGCTAGGAAGTTGCGATGAGCGTACAATACTTTCTACGGAGATTCGTACACACCTCCTTTCGAAGCTTTGCTTGAAAAGCTGCTATAATGTTCTGGTTCTTGCCGGGGATTCGGTGCTCGCGGCAGGAGCACGTCTGCATGATCACATCACCGTGTAGCTTAGACGGCTGCTAACGGCAGTAGGCAGCACACTGACCCGCATTGATGACAGGCTTGAAGTCTCCACTCACGCTCGCAGATCGTAATAGTTCTCTGAGCTCGGGATCACTGGCCAGGAGATCCATGGAATTTTCAGCCGCTACGAAATGCTTGTTGAGTGCCCCGGGTCTCTTGTCATTGACGGTGTTGATGACAAACGCCAGGAAGATATGTGGTTTCCGCGTGGCAAGTCCTTTATATTCCTGCAAGTCGTCATTCCACTCGGCAAGTTCAGATCAGGTGAAGCGTGAAGACGTTCCTGGGCGTGCGGGCTCTGTGCCAGTAGGCGGTGAATCTTCGTCGAGGCCCGCGAACATGGGCTCGGAGTGCGGTGATTCGAGGGGTTGGCGCGGTCTTTTCGGAGGTTTGTCTCGAGTATCCGATCCGAGACGTTTTGCTCGGTGAGGCTGCGATGGCTCATTCATTCAACGCTCGTGTGGCGGCAGACTGTTCGTAATGGCACACAGGTGGCTGATTGGTGAACCTGAGTCGGCCGTGATCTCGTGACCACTGGTGCCGTCGGACGGTGACGGTGGCTGCCTGGCAAGGGGCGTCCAACTTTGTGTTCTACATATGTGATGCTGATGCATTCCAGGTTGTCGAGTGTCGAGTAGCCAGGCTCACCGGAACCTGGCCCTTAGAACCGAACGACTTTAGGGCTACGAGGGAGAGGAGACCATCTCGCTCGGGTTGACCGGGGCACTTGCCGCGCGTTTCGAACCGTCTGCCGGCGAATTGTACCCACCGCAACCAAATTTCAAGCAAGACGGTGCGTCGGTCTTCCACATATCATCAAAGTCTGTATATATCAGGTTGTCCTTCATGAACATTTGCTCTTTCACAAAATACTTGGCCTTTGCATCAGCTGCAGGTTTTCGGAGCTGAGTGATGACATCAACGCCGCCGAAGATTTCTGAAGCGCTGTTTGCAGCTCTCACTGGTGAGAAGGACTACGGCGAAGGAACTTGTTGACGACTCACGATTAGCAGAGTCATGATGTTTACAAGGACTGACAGTTGTGCCGACACGCAACATCACGTTCACATCGTTCTCGAAAGCCAGTTTAGTCCATACATCGACGTAGCAGGGCAAAGCATGAATGCATGACGTTCGACCTTGACTGGACACCATACTTACGCGCGTACAGCACCCTCGGACAATGCCCAGCAATCCACGTATGACACCCGCTAAGCCCCGTAAATGATATCCCATAACTGCGTTGTTGGGATCGCTTCCTCGTAGGCTCTCCTCGCTAGGCGTGTGTGAGTGTGCTGCTCGTACGCAAATGCGTATGAGACGAGTTCAAACTCGCTGTAAGCCGTGCCGAGGAAGGACAGGCCGATGGGTACGCCGGGCGCGGGGTAGACCGTCTCGGGGCCCGCAAGGCCGATCGTGACGTTGTCGGGATAGAATCCCATGGGGACTAGGGCAGGATTTAGTACGGTGCGTAACGTTAGATGGACTCGCAAGACGACATACTGGTTACTATCGGGTAGCCGGCAATAGCTGCAAGTATCGAAGTTAGCCCGACAGAAAGAGCGTGCACGAGAGTGCATGAAGAGCCACGTACCTGCAGGGACGGTCGTGAAGCCGGGCGCTGGGAGCACCAGAGCATCAAGGTCGTACATGTCTAGCGCGGCGTCGATCCCGTTCGTCCGTCCCATCTCATAGTCGTATGCGAGCGCGGCGTAGTAAGTCGCGTTCATGCCGGTCGTTGCTTCGGAGGCGATCAGGCTAGTCATGGTCATGATCATAGTCAGAACGCATTTGACACTGACTACAGAGCGATGGACACGCACATAGATTGGTCTGTGTATCGCGGAGGCTCTTCGAGGGTTGGGTTTGCGTCGTCGAATGCAATGAGCTCAGCGAGGGACCGCACGCCAGAAGGGTTGGAGAGGAGACTCTTGTACCACGCATTCAACTGGATCTACGAAAATATTTTACCCCTCAGTGTACCAACTCAGAGCACCGAGTGTACACACCTTGAAGTCCGTATCCAGTACGATCGTCTCGTTGTCGGACGTCGCAATCGCCTCCGCACTCGGCAAGTCAGCAGGATCCACCACCGTCGCACCCAGCGCCCTCATCGTATTCAGCGCCTGCTCGAACACCTCGTTCACGTACGGGTCGCTACCCGTAATGGAGTCGTTGAGGAACACCGCGCGGGGCACGCCGATGCGCTTACCCGCGAGCGCATTAGGATTGAGTGCGAGTGTGTAGTCGGGAACGGGTGTCGGCTGCGCGAGTGTGAAGTTGTCATTCGGGTCTGGGCCCGCGATGATTGAGAGCACGATTGCGGCGTCGGCCATGGAGCGCGTAAGCGGGCCGACTGTGTCTTGGTGCTCGGAGATGGGGATCACTGTGTCGATGGTCAGCTATGGACAAGTCGAAGGAAGGTCATGAACCTCCTGCGCGTGAGGTGAGCCCTACGGTCGGCTTTATCCCAGCGAGGTTGTTCTGGTTCGCCGGACAGGTGATGCTTCCGTCTGTCTCAGTACCGAGGGTAACTGCAGCCAGCCCGATGGATGCGGCGACGGCGGATCCTGCAGACGACCCACACTAGTACAGAGCAGTCAGCACTGACCCATTCGCCCGTAAGCACTCATATCTTGGGTACGGACGTACAGGATCGGCGTGAGGGAAGTACGCATTCGTACATTGACCGCCTCGTCCAGACCAGCCCGAGGCTAGGTTGCCTCGGAAGTGTGCAAACTCAGATAGGTTAGCCTTGCCTGCGAGGCGTCAGACGATGTCTTGGGAGTGAGTGTCGCGCTTGAACGCTCACCGAGGATGATGGCTCCGGCGGCACGTAGCTTCGTTATGACACCGGCATCCGCGGGAACGACAGAGTCGAGTAGACTGTACGACCCAGCGGTGGTGTTCATTCCTGTCGGGACGTCAGTTGAGGTCGGTAAAGAGACAATATTGTCTTGTTTACCCTCGGAGGCGATTGTGGCGATGTTATCCTTGACCAATACCGGGATACCATGGAGCAAGCTGCGTGGGCCTGTCTCGAGCCTCTCTGCATCCAACGCGGCCGCTTGCGTCAGAGCGGATGGGTTCGTTTCGATGACGGCGCGGAGCAGGGGCCCCTGCAGATTGACTTCCTCAATTCGAGCGAAGTATGCCTGGCGCAGATATGTGTGAGAGTCCACGTCGACGGACGAGAATACTCACCTTAACGAGTTCAACACTGGTGAACAGGCCGGATTGTAATCCGGCCTACAAAGCTTAGCGTGGTGCAAAGAGAAGTCAACCCAGCATCACGTACTTGCAGTTCTACAACTGACGCTTCGTACAAGTCAGGCAGCGATTCCCTGATAGCAATGCGCTGCTCGGGGAGAAGCGACCTAGCAGACAATCGCGATGCATACACGGCTGCTTGGAACGTGACAAGCGCAAGAACTGAGGAGACAAGGGTCCAGAGTCGCATAGTAGGCAGCATTCCGTGTCCGAGCAGATGCCTTCGATGTGGACCGGCCGACGTCCTCGCCTCTAGTAGATACGATGGGTAGGGCTTATATGCATCCCTGAAGACGGTCTACAAATAGCCTGAGCATGCGTACGTACCACGGACCGTTATCTCGCTCGGATGCAGGGGAAGGAAATGCGTTCCTGTAAATGCACACGACCTCGAGATTTCCCACCAGTACTGGTGGCTTGGTCATGAGCCGCGACCGTCATGGGTCTCGGCAGCTAAGAGAGGTGGTCGAACAGGGAATGCATGGATAGGTCAGCGATGAAGATCAGGAAATAGAGGCTCACGGCATCAGCCCTTGAAAGTTGAGAATGAGGGTCGTCTTTTCCACATTCTCACCGAGGAGAAATTGGGATGAACTATGACCTGGGGTAGACTTGACAATTCGTATGTGCCCTAGGACGAATGCCGTGGAATGAAAATATGAATTCGGCTCATGTACACAGGCGCTTCGGCGAACGCGAGGGGACAGAGCATTAGAAAAGTGATGAAAAATCCTCCAAGTGCGTCTACAAAGCATTATACTACATCAGTACTCAGTGACAGGTCGTATGGTAGGTCTACAAGGTATAAATACCATGCACTGCAGGTTCACGCACTGAATGCTTCTACAAGTTTGAAAAAGCCCCAGAGACAGCCGCCGGAGATGATGGGCAACGTGAGGTTATCGTCCAAGTCTCCGAGATCTACACGAGACGTTGGCAATGAGCTCCCACCCGAGCCATGAGGCGACGAACAACGCACCAAGGGCTTCCGTAATACCCGAAATAAGCCCAGCAACGACGCCGAGCACGCTGAGGCCTAACCATCCGCCCGTCGCGCCGAGATTACTCGGGCTTTCTGTCGTCGGTGCGACTGCCGGCCAGTGCCAGCTACTCGCCTCGCCAACCTGGGGAACGACCCAGCCCCAGAAGCCAGCTGCGATGGCCGCGCCGGTGACGACGGCAGCGGCGAAGCCCGCAACGGATTTGCGCGGGGCGAGAGGGAGAGGGAGAATCGGGAGGCGAGCGGGAAGCTTGGGCGTGCGGGCGCCGAAGAGGCGGCCAACGGTGGATGCAGTCGTGTCCGCCCAGGAGAGACTACGAGTGATTGAATGGGTGGAAGTCTACACGAGAGGAAGAGGGACTCACATGAGGATAGAGACGACGGCGATGTCGATGGGATACACGGCGAGGGCGAACATGACGCCGATGATGTACCATATCACGCCGTTCGTTTTATTCTGGAAAGCAACGCGTGAAGATGCATGACAATGAGCGAAAGTAGCAACCCTGACGTACCCTTTCGCTTTCGCGCATGAGGAATCCAACAGTCTTCTCAAACAACCGTTCGAATCTGGCGGAACGAAGCCGGAGGATATCGCACGGGACGATGATCGCGAGGCCGCTCGCGAGCGCAACGACAACAGTCCTTGGTGAGCCTTGCGAGTAGTATAGGTAAAGCGTCAAGAATCCTTCGACGATGACCGTCACGATTCAGCCCGCCGTCGAATGGCAACAACGCGTCTGGGACTCACCTATCGACGAATGCAGCGCCTTTCGCGGGATCTCCCAGTCAACAACGACCTTCTCCACGACCTGCGGCTGGGCGGCGACCTTGCCCTTCGCGGCGGAGCGCGAGCTCTTCCGCGCGTGCTTTGCAGCGGTCGTGCGCGTGTGGCCGTTCGGTTGCTGGGGCGAGTGGCCGTTGGCATGGGCGTCTCCATTGCCGTTGAGAGTGGGCGACGCGGCGCTAGAGCGTCTTGTGGACATTGGCGAGCGGTCGGAGGGCGATGCGCGTGTAGAAACGGGAGATTGAGACCGCCGTGAGCTGGAGAAAAAGGGAAGTTTGGAAGAGGAATGGAGTCCGAGGCGACTTGGTTCGTGCTTCAGACTGAGTTGAAACGCGTCGTTGGCGGGGATCATGCTATGGCGTGAGGGGCGTGAAAGGAGGAGGATGTCGCTGAAGACGACGAGGACGACGAGGACGACGGCGAGGACGAAGGGAGGGCGAGTGGTGGGACAGACCAAGTCGCGTGCGGTGGTGTCCGAACGCAGCCACGTCAGGGCGTCTAGCCCGGCCACAGAGCCAAGGCACATGTTTTCGCACTAGACATATCCGGCTGTCTCTCTCTTATCGGACAGGGGCGACAGAGTAGTACATTCGCATACGCAGCGTGCATAATCATTTTGGAGATGCCCGGGGCATCGATGTCTCAGAGATACATGGAAACAGCCTAGTACACATAGCCCAACAGCTTGCCACCAACGTTCTTGCGACGCGCCTCCTCGTGGTCGAGGATGCCAGACGACGTCGTCTGCATAGCCGTGATGAGCACCGCAGCCGTCTCCAAATAGCGTGCGACTCACAAGGATGATGATGCCGAACCCACGAGCGGGCAGGAGCAAGTTGACCCACGACTCGATTTGACGGGCCTGGACGTTGTAACGGGGCGAGATGACGCCCGTCTTGTTCAGCCGGCCATTGAGCTGCACGACGATCTTGCCAGACCGGTGGTCGTCGACGATCTCAAACTCGCCAATGTAGCCTGTGAGGAAAACCGACATCAGCATACGGTCGAGCATGACCGAGCAGAGGATCAAAAATGTGGTCTCTGAAGTGAACACACGACCAGTGGAGATGAGCGGGCAGTGCGTCGTATGTAGAGACAGCTAGGCTATAGTTGATGTCTCGGAGCGTTAAAACGTCAGACAAGTGGAAGCACTTCCTCGTCAACCGTAGTTATCACCCCGAAGATTCACGGACGAGAGAATAGAGGCTAGACGTGGGAACTCACCGTGGCGCTGCATGACGCTGAGGAACTTGACGATGACCTTGGAGGAGGGGCGGATGAGCACCTGGCGCTTGCCCCTGCGCTCAGCGTTGACAATGTTGTTCTGCGGGATACTTAGTCCGCGGTCGGCGCAGAGCGTGATGGACACTCACCAAGCAGTCGTTCTAGCATGCCGTCGCTCGCCCGTCATTACGAGCTCCAGGGCGGACACGGAGAAGGAACGTACCAAGACAGAGACGCGGACCATGGTGGGCAGAGGAGAGAGGGTGGAAGGCCGGTGCTAGGGAGAAAGCGCAGAGTAAGCTACAGACGCTCGTCCGAGTGTCGCGCTACGGAAAGCACGAGTCAAGACGAGCTTCGACGGTCACCTTGGCGTGGTCTTGAGGCGGCGGAGGCGGCGGCGGCGGTGAGGGCGACGGCGGGGGCGACGAGGAGGTCGGTGTGTGCTCGGTGGGCGCCTGGAGGCTGTGGCTGGAGCTGTGGCTGGAGCTGTGGCTGGAGCTGTACAGTTCCTCGCAGCCACTCGGGCGTTGCCGGCGTGGACTGGCGCTGCGCCGGCCGTCGACGAGAGACCCAGCAGCACGCCCAGCACCAAGTCCGCCCTCGTCCTCAGCATCCAACATGGTCTGCCCCTCCCGTCCGCCGCCCCCGCTGCTTTGCTGACCGCGTCCGTCGTGTAGGGCCGCGTTCGCACGAAGACCACCAAGAGGGCCTCCCGAGTGCTCATCGAGAAGTAGTCAGTGCTCTCCTCGCCCGACGCCCGCGGCGCAGGCTCACCGTTTCCCACAGCTACCCCCGGCTCACGCTTGACTTCCACACGAACAAGCGTATCATCGATGAAGTTGTGCGTATGCGCCGCACGTCGTAGAGGACTCTGCTGAAGCGATCGTGTAGGCTGTCGTGCCCTCGAAGCGCCTCCGCAACAAGATCGCTGGCTTCACGACGCATTTGATGAAGCGCATCCAGAAGGGCCCCGTCCGCGGCATCTCCTTCAAGCTCCAGGAGGAGGAGCGTGAGCGCAAGGACAACTACGTCCCCGAGGTCTCCGCCCTCGACACCTCCGTCAACGGCCTCGAGGTCGACCCTGACACCAAGGTGCGTCTCGTCTCGTCTGTACGCTCGCCGCCCCCGGCCAACACGCCTCGTCTCACAGGACCTCCTTCACGCCCTCAACTTCGACTCCGTCTCCGTCAACGTGGTCGTCCCCGTCATTGCCGCCCCCGAGCGCGGCCCTCGGCGAGACCGCCGCAACGTCCCCGGTGCCGGGCGGTAAGGCTCGTCCACCCGTCCTCCACTGCATACGCACGCATATCGAGGCGCCCGGCGTCGTCACGGGCGTCCGACAAAACCTCTCGCAGTGTACTCCATGTCCGTCGTGTTATGTCGTCTCTGTTTCTATGCTTCTGCTGTATGCTACCTCCATTGCAACACGCAGCATATGGCCTCTGTGTAAAACGCTCGAACCGATGCCACAACGTGAGGTAGTCGTCGAAGATGTGTGATGTACCACCACGCGTACGTTCCGCTGACCGCTGTTGTTCGCTCCTGCCCGACCACTGCCGCTCGCGCTACCATGTCCCCAGCTCGACGGAAGGTGCTCGCCACAACAGTGGTTACATTGCCGCAAGACTGGGCCAGTCGTTAGAACAAGGCCGCTGATGTATATGTGCAAGCTGGGGTGGGTTAATACTCCAGCGTGTGGCTTGTGAGGGACTTCACGTAAGTTCTGATTGCTCCTCACCCGTTCATGACCTCTGCCTCGAGCGGAAACCGGCTCTTCAGATCTCAAACACGACAACATACTGTTCTGCCCACGTGATCCTCATTGCATGAACTTGCAAACAACCTGTCTGTCGTACAACTATGGCACAGAGCCCAACCCATCGGTTCTGAGAGAAAGTTTGCATGTAGTGCGCTGGATATCATTTTCAGGAGAAAATCCAGCCATTTGCCCTTTTGTTCTCCTGGAGTCATTCTTGGATATCCTTGGAGCACTCCTGTCAATATATGGACCTAAGGCTGCCTCTTGAGCCCTTTGATGGCATGGAATGGGGTATCGCGCCTCATGCGGCCTGCTATCATGAAGACTGGAGCGCTTACCTACGGGGGGTCGCGTCTGGTGCCGACATCTTGACGCCAGCACTCAACGGTACTGCCCGCCCTCGGACTCAACAAGGCACGAAGGAGAGTAACCCGCAGGGACCCACAAGGGGAAATGGGGCTCGGGAGGAACGGTTTTAGCGTTCGGTAGTGATCTATTAGTGCCTGCATGTACCTCGGCATATGGGCTTTAAACTTGGTGAATCAAAAAAAAAAAAAAGAGCCCTTTGATGGCCCTGTCTTTTCTTATTCCATGCATCCCAGGTTGTTGAGTGGCTCACCAAAAAATCTTTCCTTGAACTGTAAGTGACATCTTTGTCAGTTTTATCAGTTGAACTGACTTTACTTGATACATCAATGTCTTATCATCTACATTATTTGAAACAATGATGAACCCATATTGAGCCACATTGATCAAGTCAGTGCAGAGTCAGTCTTGATACATAGACAATGTATCAAAGGCATATTAAGCCATCACTGTGATACACTCAGACTTAAAGCATGGATTTACCAGTGGGTCAAGAGTCACTGACTTGTTTCACATGACTCACCATGGGTTCAGTATTAAATGAAGTGTAACAGAGCCCGAGTCATAAATTCCTTTTAGTTATGTGTGAATTTGCTGTGTTGCAATATGAAGAGCAGCACATTGTGATGGCATAGGAATGATCTGGGGTTGAATCCAATAATTTCAGGACATATTTGCAATCAGATGCATTACTATACAAAGGATTGCCCATAAGAAAGTTGCAACACTGGACATGTATTCAAGCTAGTTGTGTAGCAACTTTCTGACAGGCATTTCTTTGCATTTCAATGCATTTGATTGCAAATAGATGCTAAAACCATTGAATTCAATACCAGATTATACCAATGCAATACAATGTGTGGCTCGTTACATTACAATGCAGCCAATTGCACATAATTAAAAGGTAATTTTGGTCTCTACTTGCATTACCTTGTAACATCCTTCATTTTCTGCTTTCCCCTTGGGTACCCACTACTTGATTCTTATCAGTTTACCTTGCTAGAGAAGTCACTGTACCTATATGATTATTGTACCTACTGCCATTGTTGGGAATCTAGTGTCATGTTAGAAATCAGTAATGGGGACTTGGACCAGAGAACTTAACATGGGAATCCATGCACATGAACTTGCAAGGATCAAGGTGCAAACAGGTGAGCTCAAGTGCTGTACCTACTTCAAAACACAGAGCAGTATCACAACCTCATTGTTACTGCCCTTTGCATTCAATAACCCTCTGTAACAATTCTGTATAGACAATGGCTCTTACTATCATTGAATGGCTGGCAATGGACTTAGCTCTGCAGAGTTGCTTAGATAAACTATGATACTGTAAGCCTGAGTTCATGTCAATGACCCACTGCCTTGTTAATGGCTTCATTGAGCAGCTCAATGAAGCCACTAGAGATATTCTGATTATGCCTCAGAACTCCAAGTGCAGTGACCATTGTAACACTTGTAGTAGTTGATATAGTGGACACAAGCAGCATTGGACAAGTTTTGCCATTGCTTTGTGTAGCACCAACTTGCACAATCTGCCACCTCCAGTGACCAGTGGATCCTCTCCCTCTTCCATGACTGCATGTGGACCTGTTGGCAGACCGCTGGGAGATGCTGTAATGGGGACATGAACCAGAGAACAATGTGGGCAGTTTTGGATTGCTGACATACTGCACATTGCCCTCCTGTTCAATGACAAAGTTGTAAGCAGCAGGGACAATCCCTCTGTGTTGAGGATATGTTACTGATATAAATGGCTAAGTCTCCAATACCAATGTGCTCTACAGGCTGTGTTTCCCAACATTGAGCAAGCTTGTTACGCAAACCAATGATCTGCCTATTTGCTTTGTCTGCAACAGAGACCATCTCTTGTCCCAATGTCAATGTCTCCCTGATATTGTACCTTGCTAGTTTGACAATCAGCATCAGGTCTCTGCATTGATTTGGCTTGGGGCCTGCAGCCAACCACAGGAAACCTCAAACAGACAGAGCACTGAGTCCTTGGTATGTTGTCAGGCAGTGATCTGTGATGCAATCATCAATGACAGCCAGGCTGCCGGCAAGATGGAAGAGGTTGGCCAGGGTGGTGTGGATATGGTGTGAGTCGATGCAATGATTCAGATATGAAGATGTTAACTGCCTCAAACAGATGGGATACAATCCAAGCATTTCCAGGATATCTGGGCAGGGTCCACATATGAGAAATTGATTGCATGCAAGATAGTGCAATGATCATGGCCCAATGGAGGTTGTTGACCCTGCAGGAACAAATCAGGGGTGCAATGTTTGCCACTGCTGAGACATTGTGGGTGCAACCTGCTGAGTCAAGGTCATGTTCATTGCAGAGCCCTTAGATGATAGCAATGTGGCTCAATGTTGACTAGCCAGATTGTGGCTGTCTGTATTCTGTGGGGAGATTGACACCCCTGGGCTGGAGTGGCTGCATGTCAGTGAGAGGCTGATGAATGTTGAAGAAGTGTGTTCCCTCATTTGCCTCCCACACCAGGTGAAAGGTGCTGGGATTCCCTACAAACCAGGATAGACATAATTTGATCCCCTCTTGAATGTGGCCACATTCACCATGTGCTACCATCTGGAGGAGCATATCATCATGGATGGTGACAGGCTTCAGACACTCAGAGGTGGGGTTGCAATGAAAATGAGGTGGCAGCTGATCTGAGGCTGTTACTGCTTCCAGTGTGTAGGCTGGCACAGTGTTTAGGGGACATGGAGACATGTTTCTGAGCATCCCTAATGTGCAAGAGTGCAAGTAAATTACTTTAGTGTTATTTAAGACTCAAGCACAAAAGGACGTCTACATGAGCTGCACAGATAGATCCATCTTTACTAACCACACTTTCCTTGTTTCACAGAAAATGGAGTACATGTCATACCATCCCAGTATGTTCAAGGATGGACTCATACAGAATGATAGTATTCATACATTCAAGCAGGTCTTTTCTGGCATGCTGGTCATCCCAACCCCAACTGTGCAATCACCCTTGTAGTAGTTGATCCCACTGATTCACAAAAAAGTTCAGTGTGGAGTTGCTAGGCATTGCTCCAGAAATTTTGAATAATTCATAGATGCGTCCAATGTAGTATTGACAAACCAGAGGGTAGCAAGTTATCTGCCCTATAACATGCAAGGATCAGGGAGCTCTTGGAAGAGAGTGGCTCAGATACACAGTCAATCAAACAAGGTATGTTGTCACAAAGCTTTACAGTTTTTATTGATTCAAAGTGATCTATGAAGGAATACAGGGGGAGCATGTATATGAGAATCAAAATGCTGGAGCACACAAGGTCTTTGAAGAGCAGCTCATGAAAGATCACAATGAAGAGGCTCCTGATGAGCAGGTTCAAATACCACTAGAGGCTGACATCCTGGATGGCCTACCAGAAGATACTGGACTTTAAACTTCAACTGACATACCAATCACAGAACCGTATGATTTATTTGCACATCATGTGGTTATACAATCAGCGCCTTATGATTGTCCAGTCTGTCTCTCACACGATGAGGTAAGTAGTACAGTACATAATTGTCATAGGGATAACAACATCACATAGTGACCTCATGCAGTCACATCCTAGTGACCTCTTGCTGACCTCTGATTTTCCAGCAGGAAATGATGCTGAGCAATACATCCAATAGTAGCAAGCTCTTCACTGCACCTCTCAGGGGGGCTATATGGATCAGCTATGCAACTGAAGAAGTATACTTCTTGTGGACCAATCTCCAGTACATGAAGGCCCCACTGCAGAGGTCTGTACAGCCCAGAGAAGACCTGTTCCAGTATAGCAGTGAACAGAAGACAGCCTTGAATCAGTTAAAGACAGAGAAAAAACAAATATTATCTTACACATGGCAATAACATAGGCATCAGTGTTGTCCATCTGATTGTAATTGCTATATGCTACTTTTAGGCCAGCCTTGATGTGCCGTGCTGATTGAGGCAACCACCTAGGAGAATCTAGGTCCTTGAGGTCTTCCCATGTCATCATCATGTTCTCAAACAATGGGATGACCTTTGACAGCATTGGTGTGGTATCAGAAGCTAGGGCCAGTGACATTGTGAGAAGCCTGCACAAAAACATCCATATCAATCACATTGATAACATCCACTTGCTACTCATACCATCATTACAAGCAAGAATACACCCAGCAGTTCCCAGTTGTTTGTGGTGAAAACTGGGAACTCCATGCCCTGGTTCTCCTCGCACACGATGAAGTGTTGGTAAACCTGTACTTACATTAACACTCAGGATTGTATGAGGTTGGTACTGACTTACAATCTTCATCTTGAGGAACCGGATGACCATGTAATACATGGAGTCCCAACATGTCTGCATGTCCATGACAAGCTGGGACTCCTCATTGATCTTCTCGCTGAAAGCGAGGGTCTTGTTGCCCTTCTGGATAGTCCCGTCCCACACATTGCAACAAGCTGTAAAGCTTTGGATTACCCTGACTACCTTCCTGACATTCTTGATGGGGCCTGCAAAGACTGAAGGCCCACTGCTACTATCACCCCCGCTGCTGCTGCCGCCATTGTCACTATCCTCATCATCAGATGGGGCAGCAGCTCCATAGGAACAGATGACAGCTTGTGAGCAGCGGATGATAAGATGCAAAAAACAGCTGACACAGTTATTGATGTTGTGGAATTTGACATCCAGGTTTACTCACAAGAGATGCACGTTGAGTTCATGGAGAAAAGTGTTGTTGTTGGACATGCTGTCCATGGTCCAATAATGGATCTGAGAGAAGTCAGAAGATGTTCAAATATGTAGATCAGGACTTACCATGCGCCGGGATAGACATGACAATGTTGGCAATTGTTACGCAAAGCATGACACCTAGAGCACTAGCTCTTAACCTAACCCTCAACATAGGGACATTAGGTTCTAATCATCCTTGGATGGGGAGGATGGTCTGAGATGCTGCTAAGTCCTTCTAGTAGGTCAAGCAGGGGAGCTTCTGATATCCAAGGAGCTGGTAAAGCTTCAATAGATAACCAGGTCAAACTGAGGTTCAACCACAGCTGTACACAAGTCTTATATACAAGAGGAGTTCAGGGCAGGTCCAGGACAAGTCACAACTACCTAGCCAATAGGAGTGCAGGGGAGTGAGTCATAAGTGATGAGTCATGTATGAGTAAGGGACAAGTCAGGACAAGTCAGAGAGCACGTGAACTGCCCAGGTTGTGCCGGAGCAAGTAGCAAAGGAGTCCGAAGACTCGTAAGTGTAGCATCATGGGGTTGGGCCCATGACAGGATAGTACAGCTAAGGAAAATAAGGGGAAAACAGACGTTGACGTAGAAGCAATCTTGACTCCGGTATGGCTGCCACAGATACACTGGAACCAACATGGAGGCAATCGCCATGGACAAGCCACATCTTGCAGATGTCGTCAAGGCCGGGATGGACCTCGCGATCAAATACTACAACCGCACGGACCTCTCGGACAGCTATATATTGTGCATGTGTACGTCTGCTCACCTCTTTGTTGGTTCGGTTTCTCATTCAAGACGTAGTTGTTCATCCCAAGTACAAGCTTGCCCACATACATCAGAACTGGGAGCCGTATTGGATCAATCACGCCATTGCCTGCGTCTGGAGGTAGTCCATTGTGATATTGAAGATTGTAGGCCATTGTGCCTGTGCGGCAGGAAGCTGAAAGACCACGCAAGTCAGTTCACGGAGCCAATGACCAAAAATATTGACTTACACTCCAGTACGCGCAAACGTCTTTGAGCTCCAACCCTGTCCCTCTGTTGAGCCAAGAGTTGTACTCAGCCTTGACGATCTGGTCAATGGTGTTGTCGCCGCCACGGGCCGCGGGCTGGTTATTGTCCAGGTTTCTGACGAAGAGTCTATCAGCTGCCGCATACATCTTGCGTAAGTTCTGAGGCCTATGCGGCTGCGAAGGGCCAGCAGCTTGACGTGCAGCAGGTGCCGCCAGTGCCGCCGCCTGAGGGTGTCGCCGAGCCACATAATCACGCATCTGTGCTGTAGACGTCGCATGAGTACATGCACTAGATATAGAATTAGTCCGCTTACCTTGTGCTTGACGATATCGATGTCGGGTCCGTGCGAGCGGGTCTTCTCCTCCGCAGGGGAGACAGACACAACTCAGCGCAGCCGTCTCAGCCCGGACCTCATGGAAGCTCTGCAAATGCTGAAGTACATGATCCGTGAGAGTCGCCTGTCCTTCACCGACCATCTCAGCAGTTTTGAGTGGGTGCAGGACATGCTCGTGAAGCAGGCTCGCGCTGAGTTGGGCCAAGATGCTGATTTCAACACCTTTGAAGAGCTCCTTAGCCTCGTCTAATGTCTAGGCCTCATCATGCTGTTGCGGTGTTGTCTGGTCACGGCTGTCTGTCGTCGTCTCGTTGTCCCCTCGTATCACTTGTATACCACCGTCTCGTATCGCACTGTCTCGTCGTATCGCAAACTCGCATGTACAATATCGGAATGAATGATGCTCGTGCACACTGCTATCTGCCCGATGAACCAGACTTGCTCCATGACTCACGTCCTAACATGTGCAAGCAGTCGGCGATGCACATGCCTTCGTCACTTCTGTTACATCTTTGTGCCCTCCGATTCTTCTACCTCTGTTACGTGGTCCTCTCCCACCTGCATTTTGCATATGATCAATATATAATCTGTATGTTGTAGCGCGCACCGTCAACCATTTCCTCTGCCAAGAGGTATCCTTGACTCACCTCGAGCTTGCACAATCCTGGACGATGATCGGCTCCAGCCTCTGGAAGCATGCTATGGCAAAGAGAGATTTATCGGGTACACACAAGGTGAGTCTCGCCCGCCTTCCTCCTTGCCTTTAAGTCTCAGTTCCCTTTTAGGGCACCTGCCACCGCACAGGCAGCGCATCGCTCCGCGCAATTGCTCGCGTGGCCCTCGAAGACTGCATCTGCAATATGAACGCCGCAACATTGAACGATGGATGATGTTACGTCAACATTTGTTTTTCTCTATTTGTGCTCGACCCTTGTACTACCTTAACATGGGCCCAACCCCATGAGGCTACGCTTCCAGTCTTCAGACTCCTTTGCTGTTTGCTCCGGTCCAACCCGGGCAGTTCATGTGCTCTTTGACTCAGTATGACTCGTCGTGACTCCTCGCTTACTCATACATGACTCATCGTTAATAGGGGTCAGTTAGGAATTAATCACAAAAGAGGGTACCGGAATTTTGGGCTGAAAGTTGGTATGTAGGACATCTATATCATGTAGATGATGGGTGCAAAGTTTCAGGGAAATCAGCGGACCGGTTTTCGAGCAGTGGGCAATTCTTTTTGTTAATAGGCGCATTTTTGCTATGTGCAGAGCCACAACAACAGCACTTGGCAGGAAGCTTGTTTATAGCAAAAGGCTTCATTTGTATGTGTGAACATTGGTGCCAAGCCGCTTGGCGATTGGAGGTCTGATGCCGGTGCTATGGGCAAAAGATGCGTACCATGGGCAGGAGGGCATATTCTAGGAGACCAAGGAAGGGGATTTGGGGGTAGCTTCTTTATAGCTCATATGATCCATTGGTATGTTGGACCATGGGTACGAAGTTTGGGAGCCATAGCTGCAGCCGTTCCTTCTCGGTTGGCGGGCCTGTCAGCCAAGGGGGAGGGGCATGACCACTAGCATGTGAACCATTATGATTTTGGGGCAGGTTCTTTATAGTCAATATGATTCATTTATGTGTAGGAGTATGGGTACGAAGTTTGGGAGCCATAGATGCAGCCGTTCCTTCTTGGCTGGCGGGCATCCCAGCCAAGGGGGGAGGCCACAACCACTAACATGTGAACCATTACGATTTCGGGGTAGGTTCTTTATGGTCAATATGATCCATTCATATGTGGGATTACGGGTACCGAATTTGGGAGCAATAGCTGCAGCCGTTCTTGTTTGGTTGGCGGGCATCCCAGCCAAGGGGGGAGGTAATGACCACTTGAACCACTATGATCTCGGGGTAGACTCCTTATTGTCAATATGGTCCATTCCTATGTAGGAATACGGGTCCCAAATCTGGGACCCATGTCTGCAGCCATTCTTAATCTGTTGGCGGCCTGTCAGCCAAGGGGGAGGGCCATGGCCACTAGAGAACACTTGAGTTTCATTTCCCTTGCCCATATTTGGCCATGGTCTGGCTCAAGACAAGTGCATTTCCTTTTTTGTCAAACACCACCGCCCATCAGTGGCCAATTTGTCACTTATGATCATGTGCATGACTATGAGGATGGTATATAAACCTGGCCGCTGTCTGACCGCCTCCCTCGTCTCTTTCCCTCTTCCCCCCACCATCCCTTGTCAACAGTAAGTAAATCCCATTGTTAAGCATTACAAGCCGAGCTAACAGTTCATAAGACAACACTGTAATGTCCTCTAACAATGCTGCGGTGCCTGAGTTGCCCAAGTCCTTGAAGCGCAAGGCTGAGGACAATTTGCCTGTGTAAGTTATTGTTAATTCAAGCATTAGATTGTTCACTTATTCGCTTATTACAGTCGTTACCAGAAGAAGGCAAAGGTGGTCCTAATGCTGGAGCAGCAAAGGCGGAAGTGGCGTAAAGCGCACCCTTCTGTACGCCCCGACATGATCATGTCTTCAGTTCCAATCCACGTGCTTGGGTGCCGCCGGATATGGTGGGTGCCCGGTGTCCCACAACTTCCCCCATTGGACTGGGTCCTGGGGTGCAAATAAGGTAAGTGACTTCAATATTGTGGATTTTCCGGCACTGACCAAGCCATTTACACACCGTTTTAGCACCTGGGATGCGTCCTAAGACGCCTCATTACCATACCCTTATGCCCTACAATGATCTTAGCTAGCATTTGTATGGTCATTTGTGTTGAGGGTAATCGGTCAATATGTCTTGCTCTGTTGCTCTGAGACATGTTACATGCCTAGGAATCATTTCTCTAGCATGTCAATTATCATGTAGGTTCAGGCAAACTCCTAATCTGTCCACGCTGTGTGTCAAGTCCCATGTATATGCTCATTTGCCCTCAAACCAGCGTTTGTGAGAATACACATTGCATTCAAGATCTGTGTACATGGATATGACACAAAATGCGTACAGTCTACATCCTATTCTGAACCCTCTTCATCCAAATAATACCCATCTCTGCTGGTGCTTGAACTCGAACTTGACGACGAGCCCTGCTTCTTAGCACCTGGTGGCACCCGCATATTCTTCGACTTCTTAGACCACCTTTCCTCCATCTTCTTTTCCCTGGTTGATTTACTGCCAATGGCTGCCTTGATCATCCTCCCCCTGTCCTTCTGCGGCACAGCCTGCCTTTCCAGCTGGCATTCGAGAGCTGCGCGCTCCGAGACCACTGCCCTAGAGCTCCGCTGTGCTCTGCGAGCATTCCGCTCCTCGCCAATACCCTTGATCATGTAGTGCGCAGGGTTCATGATAATGCGTATGGAGCCGTTCATGGTTTGCCACGTATTTCCCAGAAGAATGGCCCCATCGTTACGGCTGATACGAGTAGCTGGAAGACACTGAATACTCGTGAAGATCTCACCCAGCTCGTCATACACGTCTTGATGCTCTTCTTCGTCAAGCTCCGCTATGTCACACCAAAAGCGGGAGAGGTAGCCTGTCCTGAGGAGGTAGAAGGGGCGGAGTGTGGCGGAATTGGAGGCAATCTCCTGGCTCTCGGGAAAGTACATCTTGACCCTGTCCTTGAAAGACACCTCTTTCGGGCCACGGATGTTTTTCCAGCATCCTGTGTTGATGGCATCCCAGCTGACTTTTGTAATTGAGTCAAAGACGGTGCCCAATGACCATGCCTTCATTGCCTGTTCCAGAGTGTTCACTTCCGGTTCGCCTCTCGACGTGAAGTAGATCTCGTTTAGCATGTCCCACATCTGCGCAGTAAAGGACTGGAATGCGCGACGGACAATGATGAGCAGAGGGAGGTACTGCATGTCATACTGCCAGATGATATTCCAGGGCTCGTCTCGGACTGCAGTCTGGACTGCATTCCAGGTCGGATACTCGCCGAGTGGATATGCGATCGAGGGACCAGAGTTCACGGGGTTGGTGCAAGGGTTGAACTTCTTTTGAATCTTGAGAGCGGCAAGGACATCTTGGCTGTCAAAGTCCTCGATGTCCATAAGGGCGAGCTCTGGCGAGGTCATGTTCAGGTTGTGGAGAAACATCATGCCAAACTGGGACCGATTTTGGCGCATCTGGAGGTCGCCGAGGGAGCGCAGGACATGCCCTGGAACAATGATAGGCATGGTCTCGACGGAGCAGATGAGATGGGTCAGCACGCCAGTGATGCGACCATAGTTTGTAGGCCGTGTGCGGTAGAGAGACATTTGAACAGCCATGAGCTCATCCAGACGGCGAGACAGCCATCTGAACCATAGGTCGGATGTGACCCACAGAATGGGCTGGGATAGGATGAAGGTGTTTGCCTGAAGGAGATGTCAGTTCATTTGGTCTCATGTGCACATGCCAGCTCACCATCTCCCTACACGACGTCATGAGCTGCTCAACCACTCTGCCTCCAATGCGGTACTCATCGCGCACTCCATACAAGTTTGATGGCGCAGACCCTTTATAGAGCTCCAGAAGACGGTTGCAGTCCGTGGACCATGGCTCGTTGAGATTGTAGGCATCACTGTCCGTTGCAAAGATGGGACGGTTGTCATGTGTGCGTGTTGCCTCGTAATAGAGATTGTACGAGGATTGAAAGGCGATGTGGGTGCGCTCTGCCCTTGCCTGGAGCATCTCGGCCTGCATACCGCTGTAGCGAGCGAGGGTGTTGCCCGTGTGCATGGTGCCCTGGCTGTAGCCACCTCGCCCGTACAATGCCTTGAGCGCATCAAGGCGCCATAGGCCGACCATCGGATTTGGTGCCCGTGGAACAAAGCAAAACCCTACATCGACAAGCAGCTCTCCCCGGATATGGCTGAGCATGGCGGGCACATCAAGGACAGGGTACGACTTCTGAAACAGCTCCCATGGATTCTCTTGGGAACGAGACAGGCTGACTTGGGACGCAAGCTTGGTGCTGTCATGGTATGACACGGAGGCCCCATATTTTTGCTTTGTTTTATCCTATTTTTGCTCATTTTCTATGGACTTGCACGATATGCTGTATGGTAGACTTCGCCTGGAACGGCTTTCTGACTAGTCACGTGACACATCACGTGCTAGGGTTCGTCTTGTGACTCGTTCATCATGTGGCCTTGCTTATGTAACTTATCATGTGCCCTGCGGCAGCGCCTAGCCACCTGACTCATTCTGACTCGTTCTGACTCATACGTACACATGACCTCAGTTCTTGGATCCAGCGTAGGTAGACCTGCCCTCAACCTAGTCAGTATATATAGGGTCCTGTATGCTGCCTAGCACTCCAGCTCGTCCTCTTGGAGTTGCTAGGTAAGCACTTCACATTGTACTAAGTAGAGTGCAATGTAACTAACTTGGAGTTGCTAGCATTGCGTTCGACGCTGTTAGACTGTTGTTGACTTCGGTCCAACACCTTGAGGTCAAGTGTTTCTGTTCCCAGTTCTGTTTCTAGTCGCATCAGACATCAGCAGATGGCTGTGAAGGTCGGCCACTGTCTGGTCCCATGGGAAATGCAGAGGCTTGGCACTGGACCGACCCAGTGTTCCCAAATAGCGAGTGTAGTCGCCCCAGAGTGCATTCGGGGTGTTGAGGCATCGCTGCCAGATATCGGCATCCCCACGCCCGAGATCTGCTCGAGCATCGTCATACCCTTTGCATCGCTTCTTCTGCCACTCGTACTTCGGCCAGGCGAGCGAACATGCAGATGCTCGACCGACTTGAGGAACCCTCTGCGATGTAAGGTTGTGAACCTTAATGAGCCCGTTGTAAATATCAGTGAAGGGCAAACTCTTCGGGAACGACAGGTCGTCTGAACCATACGACCTTGCCTTGAAACCGGTTGGGATCGTTGGCACGGAGAGGGTCACACTGGCTGGTGCTGGTACATCAGTGGTGGATGCCCCAGACGACATGGAGGGCTCAGGCGACCCTACAGAGGCTACTTACTAAACGACCCATTGACGACTCGGCACCCTCTGTGACCAGTTCTTCGTCAATGGTTGGCAGAGTGTTGCTGGGGATTTCGCCAGTCACACCAGAACGAAGGGCCCTCCAATCGGAAGAGAGCGAAGCTCGTGAGACCCTCGGGAAGTGCCCATCAGGCTCTGTGATACGACCAGGGCCAGGCGACAAGCAAGTACGGAGTGGACTGGGAGCTTGTGGTGCAATTGCTGACTCGGAGTCCAGACGAGCACGCTTCACAGATCCCGCCGAGTTCGATGACATTGGGAGCAGGTCATCGACAGTCGCAAAGGATCGCTTCCTGCGGAGGGCCTGCATGGCCTCGGACATACCGGGATAGTACTCCATCGGGTCGAAATCGGGAGCAGCGAGCGAAGGGATCATTCGGAGGAGGAGGCTCATCTCACCCCCAGTGATTTGGCGATAGCTATCGGCTGCGATAATAGACCACTTATTCGTCTTCGGGTTGTAGATATGAACGAAGGGCGAGCTGGACTGGGGAGGACAGAGCATATCGCAGAAGGTGGGGTAGTTGCTCAGCCGGAATGCAGGGTGAGTTGTGACGTGAACCGAGGTGATGTCTACTGCCTCGGTTGCTGGCTACAATACAGGAATCAGTTTCGGTGAGATACTCACAGACGACTGCCATGCTCACCTTCAACCACAGTGAGAGTCCAATGGAGTGTTGGATCTGCTTCTGGGCTTCGTGGATACTTGATTTCCTCTGCGCAGGGCTGATCTTGTCATAGGCTTGCTGACGAGCCGATAGCCATGGCTGTGGCATCTCGTGCCGTAATTGCAGTGGCTGTGCATACTGGGTTGGTCGGGTGTCAGGTGGACATTGGGGCGACCTGGCCTGAGATCCAAGTGGCAACTCAGAGGCAGCATTCAGTGACGCAGAGATGACAGGCTGGGATGGTGCAGGGTCGGAAGAGACAGGCTGGGAGGACGATGGTGTGTCGGACGAGTCGGACGAGTTTGCCTGACAAGATGGAAGCTCTAAGTCAGAACAGAAATGTACGAGACGATAAAACGATGCTAACTATCAATGCAGCTGGACCAGGCTGGACCAGTGGTTTAGATGGCTTGTTCATTTTGCGGATCGCATGGGGAGCACACCAAGGCGAGGGTGTACCCGAAGCGATCGCAGCCCGGGCCGCAGCCTGACAACAGTTTCGGCACTGCTCACGAGGGCACAGCTGATTTGCTGCACGAGAGCATTTGCCACACGAAACTGATCCACCTGTACTCAGAAGCCCTGGTCAGTCAAGCCAACAATAACACATGTAAGTCGACTCACCCCGCCCCATCCGCCAACCTGAACTGCCGATCCTAGTATCGACCCCAACAACTCTGATACTGCCAAAGGAATATTGCGAAGCCGGAGATGTGATAGAATGCTGTGATAGAGTACGAAAACGTGTGGTACCCTGTCACTGACAGATGGGCCAGCCAAATCAGCTGACAGCGACAAACAGAGCCCAGAAAAGGTAGCTTACCAATGTTTTTGCTAGACTCAGCTGTAGTTTGAAGGGGAAAACCGAGTGAAGTCCTTAGAATGACAGACGAGGCGACGCGCACAGTGCAAACACATAAGAGAGTCGCCGGCAGTGATGCCGGCGGACAGTCGAGTCGTGCTGCAAAGGTCGGACACCTTATATACCTGAGGGGACGACCGACAAAACTTTCGTTCAGAATACTCGGGGCGAAACTTTCACGCATGAGAGTGTCTAAACTGAAACTTTCAATTGCGTGTCGGCAAACTTGAAACTTTTGTCTCGGCGGACAATCCATTTTGAAACTTTCAATTTACCAGACTATTATCCTATTCGGAAAGTTTCAGACCGAAAGTTTCGGCATGAAAGTTTGCGTGAAACTTTCATTGAAACTTTCTTTTTCGCGGCAGATTTCAATGTTCCCCGTTTCTCCCTTCTATTTTCTGGTCATTGCCAAACCTATACATGTACACAGACGGGTATCGTAACATTGGTCAAAGCAAACCTTACGAAACGTGAATGCGACGACAGCAGAATAGCAATGAAAGCAACGACAGCAGAATAGCGATGAAAGTGACGATAGAACAGACGGACCGTGATTATGTATGTACGAGAAACAAAGCCAAGACGTAAGCCACCGAAGCACCAGATGACAGGAAGTATCTCGCGCATGTACGGATGTTACATGTACCCTCAGAGACATGGCCATCAACGTTTGGTCAACGTATGAGAGAGCCCGAGGACCGTGGCGATCAGTCACAGACTAGTGCGGGCGGCCGACATCTACATCAAGGAAGCACCCGCCCTGCGCTGGGCCGCCTTCCTCTGGTCCCTAGCCACACCCACAGTGTTCGAGCGCTGGCGGTCCTTCCCAGAGCATCGGCGCACGTCGGAAGTGGGAGGTCTCACAGGTGGCGACGGCAGTCGGAGAGGTGCATCCGCCTCGCCCATCTGGATGTCTGCGTCCACGCCAGAATCCGAGCTCGCTGTATCTCCTTCCGCGCCCTCGGTTTGCTCCTTCGCCTTGGTGGCGCACGGAAAGCGCTTGTGCAAGCCTCGACGCGACTCCTTCAGATATTCGCACACGAAGTTCCGACGCACACATTGGCTGCAAAAACAAGCCCAGCATCAGCATCAGCATTGCGCATCGACAGTCACACTGGAACTAGCAGACGAAGACTGTGAGTTGAGACTCACTTGCATCGCTGCTCCGCAGTGCCCGTGACAGGCCGGGGGCCGCACCCGATCCTTCTTCCCTGCGGCTGCACGACAAGGCCTGCTTGGTCCTGGAGCGGCCTGATTTTCACTCCCCTTGTACCTATCATGGCCCGGGCGGTTGCTTGCGACCATGGTTGCCAGCTTGAATGTTGGGGCCTTTGGGATGCCGCCCCTTCCCCTTTGGTGTGCCTTCTTGTCGCGTGCCATGGTAAATGCGCGTAAAAGGTGCGGGAGCAGCGAAAGGAGCTAGTGGGAGCGCAGCAAGCAATGTCGTGGTAGGAGACAAGCAGTGACAGGGCGGAGCGCCGCGCGATCATTTGTTCAGCGCTAGTAAACACGCGTTTGACGTGAAGCGCCCCGATCGATCAATTAGACGCGATGCGACAGGGGTGTGGCTTGCACATGTTGCGCCATGCATGTTTGCTTATTCCGGCACTGTCCGGGCCATTAATTCAAAGGCTTGGTTCGACTGTTCAAAATATACCATCTTCACCAACCTGTAACTTAGGGTTACACTGAGGACAAGCGAGCTGAGGTGAAGCCATGTGACCTATTCCCACGGTTCTAAATCGGGACATCTCTGAGAACTGTTCAATTGTCACTTGTATACCTCTACCTTGTACATACCCCTCCAGTTCGGTTACGTTGACGGTATGTGTCCAAATGCTGATGATGACCCATGGATGCTCATATGTGCATAACCCTTTGTACTTTCCGATGTCTTACCATGCTCATATCTGTCCGGCATATCAGACTCGATCAAGGTATGTTTGTTCTTATGTCAATGTGGTCCATCACTAATCGGCACGTCTTGAGCATTTCGCCATGTCCGCGGAGCCACGGAAGCACATTGCGTTTGTCCTGGATGCCTCTCAGCACCGAACAGACGTGACCCATGTCAGTCTCAGCTGTGGTTCTGGATGGCTGCAATACGCCATGCAGTCGACCATTGCGGACAAATTCCTCACCGATCCAAAGCTGAAAGGCTATATTTATGACTCTGTCAAGGATGGTAAATCGCGCAACCTGCTTTATGCGGGGAAACGCGGTGAATACAAGATGGTCTTCATATGCGAGGACGTGGGTGCCCACTTGCAATGTCATTAATATATATTTGACGACTTGGATAGATGCTCTGGGCGTATCGCCTCGAGATGCACGCGCGCGCAGAGCTGACGATGCTGCTCTGGGAGCCATTTCGCAAGTTCATAATGGACGATTACGGCGCGAGGCCAAAGACCTTGAAGAAGGTGTTGGCTCATCAAGGCTTTGACATGGTCCTGCACAACGGATCACAGCTGACACACGACTGCTAGTACGTCTGAGTTGTGTGTCACTGAGCGAAGCCTATTGACAGGTATGTAGCGATGACCTGCTGTGGGGGCCGCGTAACAGTGCACAGAAGGACGAGTATATCCGTCGACTTGCTGCGCTGAACGAAGTGTTCCCGGTGTGGCCACCCGTAAAGGATGTTGTCTCGAGTGGCCGAGTGTTCGACGTGATGCAGTATCTTCAAGACAGTCCCAATGTCATGGCCGGCATACGGCAGCCGAGGACCACGATGTATACCTCGTCTAAATCTGGGAATCAATTTTACTACAAGCGAGACGGGAGCATACATGGCATTCACGTGATGCGGGGGCGAGACAATCCAGGGGACATTATAGAACAAGACATACAGGAAACAGGGGGTCGCTGGCAGTGGGTCGAGCAAGAGAGGGTGTTACCACTCAGCAACGCGGGTCAAATACGGGTGTTCATGTCCCAAGGATACCTGACCCATGTCATCCACACAACCCGCGTCGGCTCTAAGCTGAAGGGCACGACAGTGAAGGCTGTGCTCCCGCCGTCGGAAATTCGGTATGCGTCATCCTCATGTTGTGTCTTGTCCGGGCTTGAACCAAACTGAAATTTGGCGTTTTGCTCAGGTTACCGCAGTCGGACCCGAACACAGCGTCGAACCTAAGTACAGGCGCATATGTCGGCATATTCGAACGCGAGGGCGGTTCAGTGGACCTCCGTGCACAGTCCATGGACGACCTCATTGACAAGTGCAATCTCATTATATTATGTCTTGCAGGGAGGTCAGGGGACGGAGGGGCGTGTTTAAAGAGCTGCACACGGGTGGACTTTGGTCTCATTAACGATGAGTGGGGAGGTCTGACATGGTGTATTACTGGCGTGAAGTGGGGCTGTGGGATTGAGCTATATGCTTCTGTCGATCCCGATCATACGGTTGTGTTCATTGACAATGTCCTCGATAGTCTCATAGGACGTGCATAGATACTGCTATGGTTGTATAACACAACGCCGATATGCATACGATGGGCCCAGCACAGCCTGCGAGACACAAGATATGCGGTTCAATTGACATTAAACTAGTGGTACATGCAGGACAAGCGATACGAATACACAACAGGCCACGGCGCGACAGTACACTACAGTTTACCCGGGTTCACGAGCGCGTTGCCCACACTATCAATGTCCACGTCATCGCTTTCGAGGTCCATCGACTCGGCATCCTGTTGATTGGGGGGCGGTGCAGGCGACTTGGCCGTCTTCGCCTCAGGCTGCGGGGACCTGGAAGATGCCTTCGCGGACGTGGCGCGCTGGTAATGTCGCTTCATGAGCAAACATATGATAGCCCATATGCTGGAGTCAACCTACAGAGCGGCTGCGACGTGTAGGCTTGGGAGGGGCCTGCGAGGACGTTGACGCGTTCGACTCGGCGCGCTGTGGATAGCAGGTCAAGCGGATACATGTAGCCATGAAGATGGTTGAGTACCTCCTTGCGCTTGTCGCCTGCCTGCGGAGATGTGGGATGCGATGTGTTAGATGTCTATGTAGGACGGTAAGTATGACATGAACACGCCAGAACCGATGAATCCCACAGATATTTGTTTCTCCGCAGGGTCTGCGCTGTTTGCCCTCTCGCCTGCAGCGCGAGTGTTGTCTTGGTCGATGATGAGAGACTGACGAATAGATCAAGGACAGTGTATGACGTACCGACGTTGGACTTTGTCTCCTTGTCAGTGGGGGACTTTTCGCCCTCCTCAACACTGGACGGCTCACGCTCGGCAACGGCGGCCTTGGGTGTTTCACCAACGTTAGGCTCCATGCTCACGTCGTCGGCGGCGCTCGGCTATACAGTCATCAGAAATGGTCTTCCAGTGCTGTAGCAAACTGCGCTAGGCTTACCATGTCCGCGGAAGCTGGCTGGGTATCGTCCGCAGGCTCGCCCTGTGTGCATACAGTCAGCATAAGACTGATAGTATTGACAAGGACACGTACCATGCTGATGTCGACGCGGTCCATTGACTCCTGGACCTCGGCCAAGACAGAGCGCTCCTCCTCCTGGTCCTGGTTATTCGGTTCAAACATCCAGCCAGTCTGTCATTTAGTTACTGCTACGACCTGTTCTGGCGACACGTAGGCATACCTCGGATTCTCCCTCGGCGTCTTCATCGGAGTCAGTGTCCGCGTCGCTCTCCTCGCTGGCCTTGTAGCTGCTCTTGACGCTGCTCTTGACGTCGCTCTCGTCACTGCTGCTCCCTGTACTCCTCTCGTCTTCGCTGGCTGCAGCACTGTTCGAAGGTAACGAGGCCTGTGTGAAAGTACAACCGTGAACAAAACAACCGTGAAATTGTGTATGGCATAGCGTACGTTCGACGGCTCGGGCTCCTCGTCATCTGCCATCACCTATTGTAAGGAAGAGGGTCACTGTGATATCAACACAGGGATAATGGGATACCCACCACGTGCATCCTTGAAGGCACTGCCGTGGATGGCACTGGCTTCCTCGTCTGGGAATTGAATTAGCACACAGAATGGAGGAAAAGCACAGCAGTATATACATTCTTCCCACTGCGAGCCTTCCCGTTGCGAGTGTGTAGTGCGGAGCTTAAGTATATAGTCCGCACATCCAGTAGATAACGTGCATACCTTCTTCCTCGGCTGTGTGTTTGTGAGCGGGACGTTCATGGCATCGTACGCGTTCTTCATCTGTGGACACGCTGTCAGCAATTTATAGAACTCAGCAAGCCATACATACGGTCAGAATTGCCAGGTTGGTTGCCTGGTTGAGGGCCGACGTGAGCTCCTCGTCACCACCCGTGGGAGGCTCGAGGTCTTGAGGAATCTTCTCGAGGTCCCAGCCAGCATTGAGAGCGGCCTCCACATACGCCTTGCCAAATACACGCGTCTGATCGTTCTCGTGAGCCCATTTCGGCCAGTTATATGCTACAAAGTGTTAGATACACGTTTATCAGTGTGCACCGCTGCTGTGGCAAAGGTAAGATCTGACGTACCTCGCGGGTCACGGTGAAGGAGGGCCCTGATGTCGACGTTACCCGAGCACGTCCAGTTATCTGGGTACCAATAAATGGCAAGGCTCCAGATGTGCATAATCGGGTTGAAAGTGTCATGTCGCGGATCGTCCTGTACGTACTGAAGTGCTTCCTGGCGGACAGCAATGGCGCTGTTCACCGTCCACGTCAACGTGCGCAGGTACTCCCAGACGTCGAGGTTTGGTGCGACCCTTTCGGGGCGTTCGCGCGCGGGATACCATGGCGGATGATGTATATCGATGGCCTCGTCCAGTCGGAAGACCAAAAGGCCCCAATACGTGATGTAGCGAGTGAGCAAACACCACGCATCGTAGTAGCGCTTGGTCACAACACCTTGCCGATCGCCGTTCCCGTCGACGATGAGCCAGCAGATTCCCTCGAATTCGTTCTCGTCTGGATCGTCCAGAGTCCAGCCAACTCCACTGACCGCTGCAGTGCGTGCCTTCAGCCACGTCTGCGATTCGCTGGCTGTGGGAGCACAGGAGAGGAACACGTCGAGACATGCCTCAGCCTCGGACAGCTCGGAACGGTCGAGGACATCATAGTCGTCGTCGTCCTGTGTAGCGGCACGCGGGGCAGTTAGCGGTATGCACACAGATACACATGAGTTTTATTTCGTACCTTTGGGCTGTCCTCACGGCTGATGCGAGTCTGGGTTGCCGGGGGCATGCTGACATACATAGGCATGGGCTTCTTCTCCTCCTCCTTCGCGGTGTCCAAACCGGTTCGGGCCACACTGCGGGTGACACGAGAGGATCCAGCCTGCGCGGAACTCTGGGCCTAAGCGCACCAAGTGAGATCAGTCACAATGTCAGCTGCATGTCCACGTACCGGCTCCGCCTTGACCTGGTCCGTGCTCCTCGTCGCCTTTGCTGTTGTCTCCTTCTTCTTCTGAAATGTGTTTGCGAGGTTGGGGATACATCGCCAGCAGTGTATACACGCACCCTTGGCTTCGGCTTTGGCTTCGCCGTGTCCTCGGTCTTCTTCGACGTCTTCTTGCCCGTCTTCGCAGCCTGCGCAGTACGGGTTACTGCATGTGTCACAGATAACAATGTTAGTCGCACGTACCGGCTTCGCCTCCTCCTCTTCACCACTGCTCAAGACTACCGCCGGGACCTCTACCGTGGCCTGCTTCCCCTTACCGCGTCCGGAGGCCTTCTTCGGCTTGGGCTTGGCTGGTCCTGCTTCGTCGCCACTGGCAAGGTCCGCATTGCGGACCTCCTTCGTCCCCTGGACGCTGTCAGTGCGAGGCTTACGCTTTTTCGCCACAGGCTTGGCCTTCGCCTCCTCGTCCGCGCTGTCCAGGACAAACTCGGGCGAGGTGATCTTGTTCTTTTGGCCAGTCTTCCCTTTTCTGGCCGCTGTCTTGGCCGGCGCTGCGTCGTCCTTGCTCTCTGGAACTGGCTTTGGGTCCTCCTGCTTCGCCTGCTTCGCCTTCTTTGCCTTCTTCGTTTTCTTGTCTGGCCTCGGGGTGTCGTCCCCTCTCGCGGCCGGCGCAGCATCGTCCTCGCTCTCTGGTATTGGCTTCGGGTCGTCTTGCCTCGCCTTCTTCTTCTTCTGCTTCTTGTCGGGCTTAGGCTTGGTGTCCGCTTTCGCGGCCGGCCCAGCGTCGCCCTCGCCATCGACCACCATTGAGGAGGTGTCCTGCTTACCCTTCTTCTTCATGTCCTCCTTCACCTTCTTCTTCGGCTGGGGAGGCGCCGGTGCCACGGCATCTTCCGTGGCTTGCTCCATCGCCTCTGCTTCCGGCCGCCTTGATGCTGCGTTGCGGCCAACCATGGTGGGTGATGTCAGGAGTGGTAGGAGGGCAGCTAGGTGGCGGGCAGAGCGTCGTCGTGGTGGCAGGAGACACGCAGTGCACGGCGGAGGGCCGCGCGATCGATTGCTAAGCGCTGGAATACACGCGTTTGACATGAAGCGCCCCGATCGACCAATGGGACGCAGCGCAACAGGCGCGTGGCGTGCGCATGTGGCATCACGCGTTTTCACTGCTGCTTCCTTTACCTCCACCATCTCCAGCCCACACTCGCCTCGTCGTCCTCACTTGTGTCTTTGTCCTCACTCGCATAATGTCGGAAAACCTCGGATTCAACTTGCCAGCTATTCTCGGGAAGCCTCAAGCTGGTGCAACCATGCCGCGGCCCTCAGAGACGCCGGAACCCAGGAAGAAACCCGCGCTTGGAGCCCCCGGAATTTTTATGGACCCGAGGAGTAAGCTAATCCTTCCATAATTTCAGTCAGTGCGCACTAATATCACTTAAGAACTGAAGGGCTTCCACGTGGAGATCGAGGCTGTTGCGGTATGTTCCAGTTGTTGTGAGTGGTGCGTGGACATGGGCTTTGATTGATGATTCATTCAGCTGTGCATGTATTGCGGCGACGTCAACAATGGCGCGTCGCAAATGCTGACCTGCCAGGGGTGTGGACTGTTTGTGTGCTCCGGCGGTCCTGACTGTTGTGTGGAGGAGACCCCCAGTGCCCCACTCAATAGCCATGATTTCCATTGCCCGCAATGCAGTCACTACATGCACCGGCCAATCACGGTGAGTTCGAAGCGGATTTCTGTGTACAAAGTGTGCTTACCTGTTGTGTAGTACCACCTCCGCGCCCACGCTGCGCAATGGTCAGTTTACGCTCAAGGGATGTACCCCATCCTGCTCTACACCGCGCACGAGCCGCGTCTGCCGTACCTCACAACTCTCCTCGGGGCTCAATTCGAGCAGGAGTATGCTCTTTGCCCCGGTAAAGTGAGTGGTCGCTGCTTGAACAGCATACTATAACCTCAATGTGTATTCACCACTTCGTCCATTAGCTCCACTCTGCTTTGCTCACGCTAGCGCAGAAGGGATGGGATGACCTCGACAACATCATCGGTGCAGCCCGGGAGTGGAAGCTCCGTGGACCGAAAAATGAGCTTTCCGTCCTTGCTGCGGTGGAGTGCCACAGCGACCCCGAGAGCGGTGGTATTACCTACCGACGCAATCAGAACGGCAGGTCGTTCGTGAACACGGTCACGACAGTACGTACCCCGTATTCCCTCATTTCTCGTCCTCAGAATGCCTTTTCTAGGTCGTCGAGCTCATGTTCGGCGCGCTGTGGCGTGACCTGCCGGTCATCAAAGGCCACCGTGGCCTGGTGCTCATGTCCTGCGGGTACATGATCACCAACCCTGCCTGCGAAAAGGAGATCTGCACGCTGGTGACGCGGTGAGTATAGCGTGCCATAAACTGATTTCTTCAATATGCTGACTGTTTTCCAGTGGGTACTTCACATTCATCATCGGATTCCCAACCACGACCCTCATCCCGCAGCATGCTGCACTCTCCGTGACCCGTTTCCTCCAGAAGATCATGGTCCGCGGCATTGCTATCGAGGATGCGCTGCAGCAGGCGTGCTTTGTCGACGCCGACTTCATGGCCACGACCGGGCTACACCTCACCTATCGTACAACGGCCAGCACCATCAAGCAGGTGGCCTACGGCACGGCAACATTGGAGGTGCCATGGGGCGCGCGTCTCAACTGCCCGAATCCAGCATGCAAGGGTTCGCCCTTGAACGTGCGTCCCCGAGTCCACAAGAAGCACGAGTTCGGCACGCTGGTGAAGTTCAGGTGCTGGACTTAGGTTATGAGTCGATTTCGACACCCTAGGTTGGTCTAGGTTGGTCAAAAAACCTAAGCCTAGCAGGCACCTAGCCCTCTTCCATTGCACACCACAGCAATGCATGTGAACATCAATCATGCCGCACACGATGTGCAGCACACACAATGCATGCCGCAATGACAAATGCTGTGCGACGTGGGCGCGCCTTGCGCTGCGCGATCTGCACGACTCCGTGCCGCGCGACAAATGTGCGTCATTGCCGTACATGTGCACGGCCCTCCTTTGCAAACCCACCATGTGCGACGTGGGCGCGCCTTGCGCTGCACGATCTGCACGACTCCGTGCCGCGCGACAAATGTGCGTCATTGCCGTACATGTGCACGGCCCTCCTTTGCAAACCCACCATGTGCGACGTGGGCGCGCCTTGCGCTGCACGATCTGCACGACTCCGTGCCGCGCGACAAATGTGCGTCATTGCCGTACATGTGCACGGCCCTCCTTTGCAAACCCACCATGTGCGACGTGGGCGCGCCTTGCGCTGCGCGATCTGCACGACTCCGTGCCGCGCGACAAATGTGCGTCATTGCCGTACATGTGCACGGCCCTCCTTTGCAAACCCACCATGTGCGACGTGGGCGCGCCTTGCACTGCGCGATCTGCACGACTCCGTGCCGCGCGACAAATGTGCGTCATTGCCGTACATGTGCACGGCCCTCCTTTGCAAACCCACCATGTGCGACGTGGGCGCGCCTTGCGCTGCGCGATCTGCACAACTCCATGCCGCGCGACAAATGTGCGTCATTGCCGTACGTGCGCCTGCCACTCCTTTGTCGTGCTCACTGTCGGGCCCGCAATCATGCTTGCAGTATAGCAGACGATGCGCTACTCAATTGTGAATACAGTAGCACAGAAACGAGCGGTCGCACATTACTTCTTGCTAGTTACAGTCGTTGCCTTCATGGCCGCTGACTGATGAGTAGCCCAGACATGACCTGGTGCAGAATTTGGACCAGACAACTGATCGGTTTCTTCATACTGTGAAACAGTCTTCTGACTGTTTCACAGTATGAAGAAACCGATCAGTTGTCTGATCCGAATTCTGCACCAGGTCATGTCTGGGCTACTCATCAGTCAGCGGCCATGAAGTAGGGCTTGATCATTTTAGGTGTGTCAGTCGCACATTCACCTGGTAGCATGCACCTTAAGGGTGTGCGCCATTATCGTACACTGTCGGTGGAGCAGCTGGGTGGTTTGGGTTGCATTGCGATTGTGCTGACTGGTTTCATCATAATTTGAGCCAACGCGACATTGCGATTACCACGATCGACCTTGATGGAGGACCCTCCTGCAAGCTAGGACATTGTCGCACAGGGAAAACAGCGCTGTAACGCTTGTGCGATTGGCAGATGACTCGGTCGCAGGCCAACTGCGCGGTGTGCGGCATTATCGTACACCGTCTGGGGAAAGACCATGTGGGGTGGTTCGGTATGCATTGCAATTCCAACAGACGGGAGTCATATTGATTTGGACCGATACATCTCGATCGCCGGGATCGCCCGCCGGCGGGGCGGGTGCCTTGTTTTGGCACAATCTGGCGGGTTGAACTTTCCTGGCTAATGCACCATCCCGTGGGGAGAACGTTCAGCTCATGGTGCCTTGGAGTTTGCCCAGATGTTGTTTTCAAAGTTTAGCCGGTTCTGTCTATATGAACCCCCTGTCTCAGCGCAGAGTCACCCTCCCCTCCCCCCTCTCCTCTTTCCCCTCATTGCCTCACGCCCTCAGTTTGCAGCGCACAGACATGGCGCCATGGACGTCGTCTCAGACGTTCTTCGACGTGATGGTGTCGCAAACCGACTTGGTGAGCCGGGGTGCGTGGCAGATTCTTACGCGGTCGGACAGCGGTCTGCCCTGGGAAGATGGTCATGTCCCTACGACGTGGCTTGAGGGCCATCAACCCAAGCTCGCCAAAGTGAGGTCGTTTGTGTCGCGCTACAAGGCGATCAGCACCGAGATGGCGAAGCGCGACGCGCTGAGGACAAAGGCAGACAGTGACAGCGAAGGTCGCACTGCGGTGCTTGGCTGGATTGACCGTCAGCAGAAGACCAAGTGGGACGTCCGTGCACGTATTCTGGATGTCCTCGAGGAGTACGACTATTCACCATACCAGTGTATGCGCACACTTGGTGCCAAAGAGGTAAGTGCGATTCAATGCGACATAGGACTACCGTAGTCGCTAACAAGTTTCTGTCGCAGCTGGGAACTGCCGATGAATGCGCTGTGTACACTGTGACCTCGCAGATCGTCGGAGAGTTGTTCGGCGATGACGCCGTGCGTAACGGAACGCATCCTGAGCCATGGGCGCACAGCGCCGTTCGCCGGCTCATCCAGATCATGTGGAAGACCGAGAGGACGCGAATCAAGCGGGAGATCAATTCTTTGGAGGCCTTTGCGGAGAAGGTGAACGAGAAATGGGAGGGTAAGTCATGTTTCGTGTACGGTGTTGCTGTGCTCACGGCAGCGACAGCCGTGCAGTCGAAGAAGAACTTCAACGTCGCAGTGAAGGCGTACGCGAAGCAGCTTGCTGAGAAGGTCGAACTTGTGAAGAAGATCGACAACCCGCTCGTAACCCCCAACTGGAAAGGTCACATCGAGAAGGTGGAAAGGATTTGCGAGCAACTTGCTGATCGGTCGCAGGCAGTGAAAGGTATGCAATTTATGCGATTGCGCTCGTCGCATAGCTCATATTGTTTGCAGGCCTTCCGAAGACTGTCATCGAAGCCATTCAGCAGCTCGCGACCGAGGAAGAAGTGCAAGAGTTGCAGCTGAGCATCTCGCAGCTACTCGAGAAGGTCGATCCTGATCAGGATGAGGAGTTTGCGTTCGCTGGCAGCAATATCGCAAACGAAGGCTGGAATTCAGGTGTCGAACATTACCAACAGTGCACGCTGGACGAGGTCTGGGCCATGCTCGGTCGAGGTACCGAGAAGACCATCCCGTTTTTCAACACGGTCGAAGCGACGGAGAGTGGAGCGGATCCGTGGTCGGTGCAAGGGATCTTGGCTCTCCAGGACGGTCCAACGCAGCCTCTTGTGCCGCACTGGCACCAACTGGTTGGGATCTTGAAGATGCTCGACAATTTCCTCGCTGGGAAGCCGATCCTGCTTGTGGATGGAGTCGGAGTCGGAAAGACGATGCAGGTCGTCGGCGTGATCTGCTTCCTTGCGTTTTTCCATGATCACTTTGAGCGCAATGGATACTTCCCCGGAAAGTACAGTAAGTGAGGTCACGACACGGTCCTTGCAGTCGCTCACAGGCCGTTGTCAGAAACGACCACGTTCAAGGGAAACGGGAACGTTCCCAACGCACCCCATCTCATTGTCGTCCCCGTCTCCCTTGAGTATCAATTCCGACTCGAGATCCATCGCTATTATACCCCCTTCACCTAAGTCCAGGGGGGGTCAGCGTGCCCTCAGCTTGCCTTATATGGTAATTCCTTTTTGGGCCATTACCATATAAGGCAAGTGCTGACTTCGGGCCGCACCTACATGTCTCAGGGGATCTCGCGCGGGCGCGCGAGATCCCCTGCGCACCTCTCAACACCAGTTATGTGGACTGCGTCAAGACCAACATCCAGTACTGAATGTCAGGGGTCTGTGCACTGGCGCGACATCCCCTGGGACATATGCCAGTCCCATGTGCCATGCACGCACCACGCACCATGTGTTAGGGGATCCTGCGCACCCGCGCGAGATCCCCTAGAAAGGGTACGCGCGCACGACACATCCATGTACTCAAACATTGTACACATACAGTCTCCCAGGGGATACTGCGCACCCGCGCAAGATCCCCTAGAAAGGGTATGCATGTATGATACCTCCATGTACCCGCACAGCGTACGCACATGGGCTCCAAGGGGATCCTGCGCACCCGCGCGAGATCCCCTGGAAAGGGTACGCGCGCATGACACATCCATTTACTCAAACATAGTACACACAGTCCCCAGGGGTGCGCGAGATCCCCTACAAAGTATATGCATGTATGATACCTCCATGTACCCGCACAGCGTACGCACATGGGGTCTCAGGGGATCCTGCGCACCCGCGCGAGATCCCCTAGAAAGGGTACGCGCGCACGACGCGTCCGTGTACTCAAACGTAGTACACGCAGTCTCCCAGGGGATCTCGCGCGCGTGCGCGAGATCCCCTCAAGCACATGTCAGCATCGCGAACCATGCCTTAGGTTCCTCAAAGTAACCTATTGTCTCCGGTACTGCGCGCACCATGTAACAGGGGATCCCACCCTCCCGCGCAAGATCCCCTTGGAGGAGTACTGTGTTTCGTAGTATGCGCACATACATTATTGGGATTCACGCGAGCGCGCAGCATCACCTCACTTCCCAATGCTTGAGAACATAATGCACGCACATGGTCTCAGTGTGCATGCACATTGCAGCCGCAGCATCTGAGACACGATAACAAGCTGTCAGATCAATCTGATCGATTGTGTGTGATGAAGTGATCGGTTCTGAGCGCTACAGATGTCCGTACATAGACACACACAAGGCTATCGCTAATCTGGGAATTGCCGATCACACCCCGATGTCCCATGTACAAACGACAGATCCGCTCAAAATTAGACAGAGATACAGATACTAAGATGCCTAGGACATGAAACGATTCCAGTCCGCGTTCAATTCAATCTCTAACATGTCCGCAAGGGCGATCGCTTCTGCCTCCCTTTTGTACAAGCCCATGTACTGGTCCATCACTGGCCATAACGTATCCATGAGGTTCTGCTCACATACGATCGCGTCGAAGCGGGCGCGCCGCTCATCCAAGTAACGCTCCAGAGCCTTAGGGTCCCAAACTTGATCCACGCGTATCACGAGTTGAGTGTCAGCCTCACAGGTATACGCCATGCGCTTGCCCATGAGCTCTAGTACCCTACCCGCGTACGGAGCCGCAAATTTGATGAATTTGGCCATGAACTCGGCCGACATGTACTCGTGTGGGTTATTGTCAAACGCGGCACTCATCCTGTGCGGCCACGATGACTGCCGGTGCAGGCACAGTTAGTCTGAGGGTTACCCAGATACCGACATGATGGACACTCACCGCTACCGTGCACATTATTCCCAATCCGCGTGTCAAGCACTGCTCGCATGTCTCCGAGTTTGGACGTACGTCGCAATTGGCACTGCGGTGGAAGATGCACATTGCACACCGGTCGGCGCCATGCATCTGTAGGTAGCGAGTCAGCCCTGGACGCCACTGAGTACCTACAACTAGCAGGGGTCCGTACTGATTTTGGCTGTTCACGGCGCGGGCACGCTAAGTATTCACCGGCTTGAGAATGGTCAGTCCGCTACTTGGAATATAAATGCTCGGTACTCACCGCTGGCTTCGCACGTCGTTCCACTACCACCGGCAGACACACTTTGGGGAGTGTTGGAGCTGGACATGGCAGCGACTTGAGAAGAGAAGACGGCACCTGACATACCGAGTGCTATGTTTTGCGTCATGTGAGTTGTGTGGCGGCGGGCGCTTCCTGCGGTACGAACCTCCGTTCGGCCACAGTGAGCAGTATTGCATTCACACGGTAAAATCAGTGGTTGCACCCCGGTATCCGCATTGATGTCGCGACGTTGTATTGCGCATGCGCAGAGTCCTGCGCCAATGCGCCTATTTATACAAGTGGCAATATGCGCAGTAGTATGTACTATGCGGTGCGCATCCTTGGATTGTTGTTCCGAGCCTGAGGAACATTGATTGATATGGCAGATCCATGAATGCATGGACGCGCAAGCTCACCATGAACGAGCAGGGATCATCACCGGCATGATCAGTGCAACGTGCGCAGATCACCTCATGTGCGCGCACCGCGCAGTAGGTTGCGTTTGACGCCTGACATTGTATACATCGTTCGCTCGCACGACGCTATGCTAACCGTGAGTTTGGACGCGTCTGTCATGGGACATCACCACGCACCACGACCGTCACTTCCCGTCGCATGCGACTCTCTGCTGCGCATGTGGCGTGTCAATGCAACCGGTCAATATCATAGCTGACATCAAGTTACCGGTGTGTTGCGGCAGGTTTATCGCAGTCATCGGAGTCGAACAATGAGTACAAGTGCCGCCGGCCACTGCAGCATATCTGATAGATCAGATGCGGGAACGTGCGCGGGGCGCCACGCATATCCATACATAGACGCACATGATCTTGATTTGGATTCCACAAGAAGAAGTATGTACTCTACTAGTAAGACCATACGCGAAGTCTCGAACGTGCCTCCTGACGTGCGCGCTGCTCTCTGAGCCGTTGTAACAAGCGCCTGTAACTTCCATCGTATGCGTATAGCATGAGCGTCATTGTTTTGACCGCTCTCCAACTATAGTAAATCTCAAGATACTCCGTCTTATCGCTCTCGTAGAGCGGCGAGAGCGGATTGGAAAGACGCGGGTATACTGTGTGGTGAAAGTGTTCATAAGCGTGCGCATGGCGCGCGCGCTGGGCTTCCCATGCGTGTAAAACCAATTGCAGATTGGCCATGAAGTGGTGGCTGAGGTAGTAGGCTGGTTCACTCTTGACGCGCTGCCACATGCGTGCCCTCGATGGTTGCTGCCCAAGCACACCTGGTCGGTGCTATGTTCATTGAGAAATGCGATGCTCACCACGGTCACGGTACACAGTATCTGGACGCCCAAGTCAACGCATTGGGAGCAGCTCATAGAGCCCGGAAGCACATCACAGCGAGCATGCTGAAGACATGTGCAAACTGAGCATTTCTCGTGAGCCGTAATGTACTGCCACCAAACATATGTCAGTAGGCACAGCGGCGGAAACAGTTATGTAGAGAGGACGAGTTCGCACGCTGGAAATCGACACCGGTTCCGGTGCCTGTTTTGTATCTCCTTCTGAGCTTGGATGAGTGCGAGGCGCGGACGTTTGGGGAATGTCTTACCTCGGTTGCGTTGCAGTCCTGATTCGGCACTGCCCCACCCATATATGAACGGTGATGCATACATGGTGAAGTTGGTACAGTTGAAACCGACGATGACGCCCGGTATCATCTTGGAGCGCAAGGCAAACATGCGTAGCCCACACACGGTCATGTGAGACACGCACGCGAGCGCGACACTTGGGCGGCCCCTGGGGACGCGATCATATGATCTGTTGACGCGTACAGCGGTAGGCGCTTGTTGGTCCACTTCGCGCTTCATCGTTCCGTTGTCGCTTCTTTCGGCATCTTTGCCTGCTCTCGCCGCGTTCATCAATCTTGGCAACACCGCATCACGCGCTTGTCCACGCCCGCGGGCCCATCGCATCTCTACACGCAACACCTACCATGGTCGGCACATGGACGGAGAAGCATACGCAGAAGTACTTTCGGGCCGCGGTGAAGAAACGCGTGGATTTCATCGGCACGCGCAAACATTTAGAGTTTACGGACCAGGTGCCGCCCACGCACGAGTGGACGGCTGAGCTGCTTGAGCAGTTCAACCGCAACCTGCGTGGTGTGTACAATGGGCCTTTTGACTGGGAGACGACGGAGGTCCTGTTGATGAAGTACATCATGGTGCGTCGCATGCTCACAGTGTCTCGGATGATATGAGTCAAACGTGCGTCAGACGGACGACCTCTTGAACTCGCTCAAGAATCTATCGAAAGACGTCGCGCTGCCTCACCTTGTGCGGCTCGTCCTGGACTGGGCCTGCTGGGACCCGCCGGAGGAGGGAGCGTGGCCGCCGGGCTTGAGCATGCGCCGCTACTTCATGAAATGGTGCCACTGCGAGCCGCTGAACTTCAAGTCGGACACGTCGACCGACGTCGACATGGAGCAGGCGGCCAACGCTCTGCTGGATATGTGGATCGGTGAGTGCATCACCGTGTTCGTGTGTGCGTGCGCTCACTGTGTCCCGCTGGTCAGCCAATGACCGTCTGTATGGTGCGTTTGTTCCTCTTTGGTCGGTTGTGTGAGTATGACGATTGGCGCGCATGTACAGCGGACACACCTGTGCAGTATCGCGAGGCGGAGGATGTCCCTGGGGTGACGCAGTACAAGTTGAGGATGCAAGATGTCACGGACGAACAGCGACGCGAGGCGGCGGAGGCGTTGGAGGCATACCTGAACCAGGAGTGGCGGTGCGGTGCGCCGTTGCAGATGAAGGCCTGGATCAAGGTCAGGTCGTACAAGAGGCCAGAGAACCTGCCTCCGGCTGAGAACGACACGGTGGTGAGTTTACAGGGTTGTGCTCTGCATTTGCTGTTGATGCGCTAGGTGACCAGATTCGCGGGCCATACATGTGCCTACAATGCGTCAAGGCTTGCATCCTCGAATGCCGTGTTCCAAACGATACCGAATTACCCAAGTGCGTGTCGTGCCGTGTGCGCAAGATCAAGTGCGCCTATCAGGTTCGTGCGCACAGGATATCTCTGGCACAACA